AACAGCATAATGAGGCCGCGTCGCTCAGCACTCTGGTCGGCACCAAAGACAGACCAGTAGAAGGAGGCCCATGAACAAACACCGAGGCAAACTTGCCAGGGGACTTCCACAAGAATTTGTGACAAAATGAAGACCTTCCACGAATAAATACGAGATGGACGTTCTCGAACCTCATACAGAGAGCGCTGGGCAACAAATCGTGGCATAATTTGGTTCACGAGAGTATTGAAGATAGTGCACAACAGGAAAATACTGAAGAGCACATCCTGGAACCCTTGCTGTGTGTTGTCGGACTGCCAAAAGGAAAACCCGATGAACAGACCGGAGGCGATACCGAGAATGAATTTGGCATAGATGTAGTCGGGTTGGCGGAAGTAGCCCTGGAAGCAGCGTCCAAGTACAATCCAGAGCTGGGTGGAGAGAGGCATGGCAAATTCAGCGTTATCGTCGTCAGCAAAGGGCTCGTGGATTGATTCATTGCGTAGTGAATGAAGCCGATCGAGTTCAGCGAGAACTTCTTGGTATTCTGGGCTTTTACTCCACGCTTGCGCCCAGTCAACTCCGGGACACCCTTCTCCAGCAACCATGTCGAGGATATACTCAGCAGGATTCTCCAATTCTTCGCATTTGCGGGCACCATTGCGTTCAAAGTACTCCAGAAGGGTGGAGGACTGTTCTCCAACATCCCCAAAGTACACTGTTCTGCCACCTTTGGCTAGGAAGAGCAAACGATCAAAGGTTTGGAACCTATACGATATATTAGTGCCTTTTTTTGAAGAGCCAGCCACCCTGATAGACGGTGGACAAGATGTGGTAGGAACTCACAGAGTTGCACTCGGCTGGTGAATCGTAGCCAGTACAGCCTGCCCATGGTCCGCCAGCCGACGAAGAAACTGACAGATGACCCAGGAGCTCTGGGAGTCAAGACCACTCGTAGGTTCGTCAAGGAAAATCAGAAGAGTGGGTTTCGCTGCAAGCTCAACACCAATACTGAGCAGTTTCCGCTGCTCGACGTTCAGTCCTTCTCCAAGGGATCCGACGACCGCTTCAGCAAAGTCTTCCATGCCCAGGACCTTGATCACCTGTTCCACATATTCATACTTTTCATTTTTAGACACACTCTTTGGCTGGCGGAGCATGGCACTGAACCGTAGAGCTTCACGCACCGTGGTAGTGTCAAGGTGAAGATCCTGTTGTTGCACGTAACCGGTCCGGCGGGGGAAATTTGGCAACAATGGCTGGCCATTTACCAGAATATCTCCACTTACTACACCGATTGACACTCGTTGAGCGAGAACATCCAGCAAAGTTGTCTTGCCTGCGCCCGAGACGCCCATTAATGCGGTCAAAGTGCCTGGCTTAACCCATCCGTTCACATTGTCCAAAAGTCGACGAGTGCCTTCCTTCACAGGGATGTCGTAGTCCAGGGCCTTCCATGAGAAAACATCTTTCTGTTGCGGGAGACGGATCGTGTCATTTGTATGCTGTACTTCGAGCTTGTTTGGCGGCTCCAGCACCCCATCCTCGGCATCCTGGCCTACTTGGAGGTGTTTCGGGGCATGGCCAGGACGGAACACGAGTGCTTCTGCCTTTGACTTATCGCTGGAGATGAATTCTGTGGCCGTTAAGTAAACGACATTGAAGAAGATCATGAAAGCGATGAGGATGCCAAAGTTGCGCCACAGATGGGAGTAGTAATAATAATAGTTTTGCGCGATGAATGCATCCCCGGAAACAAACCGCTGACCAGCCACGGCACCGATCGATGAACAGATGAAGGACGTGCCAGTTCCGTAGTCTGGAATAAACTGTGAACATTCATAGTTGCGACCATGGAACTCATTGGCTATCAGTGCCTCGAAGGTATAATAAATCGGATTGATCCACCGAATCCAAGAAAGCCATGGGTGCATGTAAGGCTGTGGGAGTGTAAAACCTGTATAGACAACAATGCAGAGCACCATGATACCGGCAAATGCCATTGCCTGCCCGATGGACTTGGTCAGTGCCCCCAGGCTGCGGAAGAGCCCCGACATGGTGAGGACGGCAAAGATCAGGAACAAGTAGAAGATGAAGAAGGGCCCTGGCTCCCGGCGGAGATTGGCCATGAAGTACAGGACAATGCTGAAGATTGAGATACGCAGGAGCTTGATTGGCAGATCCACCACAAGACTGGCCAACGCGTCAGTAAAAGGATGAACAAATGCATAGCCGGCCTGTTTCTCCACAACCGGGCGCTGGCTATAAAGTTGCATGATTTCGTTGATGGTGAGGAGAGCATTCATGAGCACGGCAAAGTAACACACAGCACCCTTTTGGAAAAAGTAACTCGAGGTGTCCGGCGTGTTGTAGAAGACAGACCCAATAATCAAAGACAGGACTAGCTGGACAATAAGCGGAGACAAGGCCGTCGGCAGATCATTTGACATTCGCTGGTAAGCTCGTCGCGTGCAGAGGCGAATCTGCATGGGGACAGAAAGAAGATAGGGACTGCGAGACCGCGTGTGGTGAGCTTGCTGCTCTTCATGGCTAGCCTGGAGTCTCTTGGCATCGTCGCCACTTGGGGGATGCTCTCGCTCATAGCTCGTAATTTCATTGCGCAATGTCTGGTATTCCGGGCTCCTCTTCCAGTACTCGGCAAATTCTTTGGCGGTGCGCGGCACCTTATTTTCCATCCCGGGGAGGGCCTTGCGCTCCGTGGGGTTGGTGATGGCGGTCAAAAAGTCCCCGCTGACCTGGCGTTCGGGTCTCGCCCAACCCATGTCCTGGAAGTACGAGACAGCTCGATCACGAGGGCCGTAGTAGATCTCATACCCGTCGTAGAGAAGCACTAATTTGTCAAACAGGTCGTACATGGACTGGGACGCTTGGTACGCGGCAATTGCGTGGCATGACTGTCCCATGTCGGCCGCCAGTCGCAAAGACCGGACGAACTTCAGGGCAGAGGCCGCGTCCAAACCACGCGTGCTGTTATCCCAGGCTCCAATGCGACACCGAGACAGAAACATTTCGGCAATACTGACGCGCTTTCTCTCTCCTCCACTCACGCCGCGCACGAATTCACTGCCGACTTTGGTATGGTAGGTGTGCGAGAGCCCAAAAACCGACATGACCACCTTGGTGAGGGTATCGACATACTCGTTTCGGGTCATATCCTCGATGCGCCGATGCGGAGCACGGGCGTGGGCAGCAAACGAGAGCGTCTGGCCAACCGTCAGGTGGGGGAAATGCAGGTCGACTTCTTTGTTGTAGGCCACTTCCCCGCGGTGGTGTTGGATCATCTGCTCGAAGCCGATGCCCTCATAGTGGATCACACTGTTTGGCTCCAAGGTCAACCCTCCCAGATGCCCACAGATGGTTTTGAGAAACGTGGTGCATCCGCTTCCCGGTCGTCCCAGGACCAGTAGAAGCTCGCCGCCCTGTAACAGGCCATCGAAATTGTGCAAGATCCGTCGCGGGGGCGACAGGCGTCCGGAGAGGGCCTTGGTTACAAAGCGGACGGGGAGAGTGAGGCTGGAAATCAGGGTCTCCTGGAACTGCAGGCCAGCGCCCGAGCCACTCACGCACAGGTCGGAGAAGACCACGCCTTGGTGTGGGATGTCGATGCCGGATTCGTGCACTTGGCTGAGCACGGTTTGGGCCCATCGGTGGTGATCAAACTCGGGGCTGCTGGGATCCAGTCGGGGGTCTTTGCTTTCTTTACGGCTGGTCGAAGCCGACAAGACTTGGCCGACTTTGCTGGAGGCAATGCGGTTCAAGGTCTCCAGCTCTCGCTCGTCCAGGGCGGTGACGGTTCTCTCCGTGATGGGAGCAAACTCGATGTCGCTGTCGCTCTCCATGATAATCACACAATGGGGGACGAACCGGGGGGAGGGGAAGGAAGGCACCCAACCGGCACTACTATATAGATCCAGATTTTATGCATCCGCCGGTCGGGGATGGCGCTCCCGAGCCCCACAACGGCCTGTCGGGTTCCGTGTGCCCGACCTAGTGAAAATTCATGTACAAATGAGATGATCACTAAGTATTAGCTGGATAATGAGTGCTAGCTAACGAACCGGAATGGCAAAAGCAAAGGTCGAATAATCATGGCTGTCGCTACAGGAGTGACGCAGGATCATCCAGGGGAGACTAACTAACTAGTTCGACACGAAATAGTTCGCAGCCACCATCGCCCCCAATTCCAGCTGCTGCACCATCGCTTCGGTATCGAATCTCATGCGCTGCGTGAGCCCCATCGGTTTCTCCGTCAAGTTCGGGGGCGGCTGCGAACCGGGCTTCTGGCTATAGAGGAAAAACACATAGCGATGCGGCGCCGCACCAGGGGGTGGGCCAGCAGCAGCCCACGGGCCAATCGCCGGTTCGTCGCTCTCGAGGGCCTGTCCGGGCTGCTTAACGTGGAGGCCAGTTTGAATCCAATGGGCGATGGGACTCATTACATTCCACGAGACGAACGGCGCGTCCAGATCGAGAGAAATCACAGTGTAGGGGCCGGGCGGGAGGTCCGATGGCGCCGAGAGAGTCGGAGTGGGTTGGGTGTCTGGTGGGTGGTGAGCCATGTTCTATAGAGATCGTACGATGCATCGCCTACCTCCCTTGGGGATGTGGAGCCCGGGGGTGACCTGGTGCGAGCCGACGCTCACGCCCAGGGTGGGATAGGTGCCGTTCTTCAGGCCCTCCAGGACCGCCACATGGTTGGAAACGCTGGGCATGGTGGTTGGGAATTCCCTGGCAGGTGTTCAGGGGTCTGGCAGAGGTGCACAGAGGGAAAATGTTCAAGGTGGAAAGTGTTGCGTCAAGGGGCAAGCGGATGGCAGCCGGTCCCGGCCATCACCACCCCGGGACCGGCTCACTACTACTAACTCTGAACACCAAAAGGATATATTTGGTATAACTTGTTTACATACTCATACCATCTCACCACGAATATATATATATCTGCCTGGAATGTCATATCAACCATCATCCTACTAGACGCAGGAATAGTCAGCCATGGAGGGTCAGTTTTCATATTTGCGATAGCCAGGGTAAGAAGGATGTTGGAGAAGCGGGTCCGGCGATGAAGATGGCAGCGAAAAGTGCTGACCAAACACCGTGGGTGTACGAGGGGCATTGGAACGCCCCGGGGGACTGTCCGGCAGACCACACGCTCGTGCGTGGTTGTTCCTGGTGGTTAGCATCGCATTCAAGGCGACTTCCTGTCCGAAGATCCTCCGTGGAGATGTACCGCCCCCTCGGACTGCATGTGCCCGTGGAAATGGGGAGCCCAATGCCTGTAGAACATGCGCTGTATCGACATCTGGGCTGACATTCCCTGTGAAACGCCAACCGGGACGTCTTGGGTGTATGGTTGGTTCGATGGCATTGCGTGGCTTCTCAGGCCAACTCGAATCTCTTCGGTCCGGCTCCGTGGGACTCAGAGGTGAAGATTGGTCATGCTGATTCGACCGAGTTTCGACCGCGGAGTGGAGTCGCTTCTGAGGCACCAGGCCGACGCTGCAACCCATCTGCTCCGCGAGGAATTGGTCATCAATTGTGAAATGCCTGGGCCCCTTTGGGGAGGAAGAAACGGAGCCCGAGCGCTCCACAGATGATGATTGAGATCCCACTGCTTTGTTCTGTTCATCTGCTCGTTGACGCCGTATGTCGGATTCGTCAAAACACTCGTGCGAGGTTTGCACAGAGAGATCATTGCCAGGGGATTGAACCAGTGCGGCTCGCCGAGGGGGAGACGGCAATGATTTGTGGGATTGGAAGGAACTCGAATTGGATCTCAGCGACAGACAGTTATTGTGGATGGCCCCCTTTTCCCTGGCTCGGGAGGCAGATTCCTCGCGATCAAAAAGCATGGACTGGGAAGAGCCATGATTTCCTTGGCGGTCACTGGACTGGAGGCCGGTGGAACGACCATTGATTCGGATGTGGATATCCACAGCGTCCACATTGAGAAGAGTACTCTTGGTCCGTCCGTCGGCCAGCGTCAGGTCCGCTCCGTGATCATGAGCATTCAGTCTCCTCTGATCGTGGTCGTTCAATCTTCGTCGCTTTCCAAACCTCTCTGTTTCTTCGACCGGAGTGAACGCAATATTCAGAGGACGAGCGGCCGCCATAACGGCCCAGTCGCATTTCTGGAGGAGCTGGCGCTTGATCCCCTCCAGATGATTGGTCTTTGGTGCCGGTGACGCAGGGACAGACTCCTCGGCTCTGGGAGAAGGCATGGAGAGTTAGCAGTGCAAGAAGGACTGGCAAACCCCCCATGAGCTCGAAGCAATTGGCCACTGACTTCGGTCTCGGGTCTGCCTTGGCCCTGTCTTGCTCTTTTCTAGAAGCAAAGCTTTCCCACTGGAAGGGGCCTGGTGGACCAGCCACTTTAGAGGTGCTGGACGCTTTCAGCCGGGACCTGACAAAGTTCTGTCGCTGAGTTTTGGGCAATGCCCTCGGTCTGGCAGCCGAATGGCGCCGCAGCTGGCCGCCCGTCCTGTTCATGGTGATGGAGGGTGTGCTGCGAGCAAGCAAGCACCAAGTGCCGGAGCGTATCTATGGACACCCCCAACAAACAGTGCAAACTTACCACGTGATCGCCGCACTTTCTTTCTTTTCTCCTCTTCTCTCTTTTTCCCTTTCTTCCACTCAAACTCGACTCTCACCTCCCCTGGCGTTTCATTCCCCCTGACTGACTGACTGACTGGACCAACCCGGTTCGCATCGCCCCCACCTCCCTTTGCTAGGTAAGCCGTCATTTCTCCCTCCGTTTCCCTCCCTGCCGACCGCAGGCCCCCTTGCCCTGGATGATGAGCAACAATATTCCAAAGCATAGTTCACCTGAAATCTTCGGATTGCTGAACGACAACCTATTACCATCTTTCTTTTTATCTGACCAACCCATCTGCCCACTGTCTGGTTGATTGCCTTGCCATGTTTGACCCATGCTGACGGACCAAAGGATGAAAGTAGTTTCGACGCATTGCTGCCCAACAGTGGGTCGGCAAGGCTCGCCCCGAACCGCCCACCCGCGAGGTTTTGACTAGATACGGAGTAGATAGAATGATAATCCATGTGCTTGCCATGCAGTCCTCCCTCGTAGACGTGGATACCTCCGAGCCAAACAATCCGCGCCATCTTGCGGCGACCCTCGCTCTGTGCCAATCACCCGTCGCCAGTTCACCGCTCCACGCTGCACAGGCCATCACAACACATAGCGTGGTCTGCCAGCACACTCTCCTGCCCATCGGCTAAAAACCTGCTGATCCCCCCTCTACCCTTCCCGTCCCTTTCTTTCTCTTCTCTTCCCAACTTCTTCGAGATACCCATTTTTCCCTTCTTGTTGATTCGTTGGGGATACCCCCTATCATCCATCCCCTACACACGACTACAAATTTTGCCTCAACTGGACGTGGACCTCTCTTCCCATCAGAGTTCTACATTGATTTTCATCAGGACTTCTTTGCATACATATATATACATACTATCCCTCCCAGGACAGGATTTGCTTTCTGCTTGTCGCTTCCCCCAGGCTGCCTTAGTCTGCACACCAACCGAGTCAATAGGTAGTCCCCATCACACTTTCCTTGTTCCTATGCGCGTGCGCTCTCTTTTATTGCCGGACCTGGATCGTGTTATCTTGTTCTTCCAAGGACGTTGTCGACACTTGAACCCCAGGATCTTGTCCATGGACCATAACAGAACTGCCGGAGCTTCTGCCGATGCTGCTGGCATTCGATGATGTTGTTTTTCTTTTTCTTTTGCTGCCATGGATACTCGTCCGCAGCGGCCGCTGCGTGACCGGACTCATCATGAGTGATGTTAATGTTGCACACTCACTTGCCTCCAAAACACTGCCACTGGATCTTGCCCTGGACGTTTTCCCCCATTGGCCTTGCTGGCCTCGTCTTCAAGCCCGAAGTCGAGTGCATGGATTGATCCCTGGACTATGCTGCCGTTTCTGCCACTGGATACCCGGATGGATTGTTCCCCACAAGGATATGAAGATAATGATGTTGAACCCTGGACTCACGATGATATGCTGGCCTTGGCCTTCCGACGATGTTGTCTCCTTTGCCACGGAGTTACAGATGAGAGTTTATGTGCTCTCTACTCGACATGGAGCCGAAGCACCTGCTTCGTCACTTACCCCAGGACATTGACTCATAGCCATGATGCCGGATACTATACTGCCTAGGAAATCGATGCCTTATTTACCTGGACTGCCGCGGATGATGATGACGACGATCATGATGAGACAGACCACTACCTGGCACAACTAGTAGCACTGGCCTAGCTTCAGCTTCACATGGCGCCCTCTTATGTTTTCTTTGACAGCTTGGCTCTATCCCAGAGGATCAACCGGACCTGAATGCAACCAGCAATCTTTTTCTGCCCGGACCATGCGCCCCTCTGCCCTCGGATTGCTTTGTCCTCCATAACGTCTTCGGTGCGTCAACTTGCGAATCGCTAAGCTAGATGGCACTGCTAACATCGAACGCCAGGTCTTCGACCCAACCGGGATCTCGGACATCTTTCTTGTTTTCTGCTGTTTTATGTTTGCGCTGTCGAATTGTAGGTCACTAACATGATGCGTCAACAGTGTATACTGCGACCCATCCATAATGTCGCTCAGGTCCAACGACCCAGACCGGGTCTCTCTTCCACAGACTGGATTGAATCCCGGAGTTCAGTCCATGTCTAGCCTGGCCTCCCGACCAATCCAGGGTGATGACTTGGTCAGCCCAGGCGATTCGTCCTTTTGCTCCAGTATCCACACAGCCCATGGAACCCCCCAGGATATGAATAACTGGACCGTGAATGATGCCGAGTCCGTAGACCAGGCCATCTCTTCTTCCAAGCCGGACTCCCCCTCGGTGCAAATGCTTGCATTCTCCATGTCTCAGCAGCTGATGGCGTCCACGGCTGGGCCCAATGATGTGATGTTCCCAGGGATGGCGGACTTCCCAGCAGTCCAAGACCCCAGTATCCGCAGTGATATGTCCCAGGACTTGAAATACTCCTATATCGATTTTTTTGACAGTGATCCCGACATGCACAGTGGCACTCCAGATGACACCTACTCCGATGAGCACAGTTCACACACCGACGATGGCCAGTTGATCATGAGTCCAGACCCCTGGAATCCCGTGATGGATGATGCTGGACAATACCCCAGAGCCAATCTAGATCGGCTTTCATCTGGCATTTTCCAATCGATTCCAATCTCTCCCCCCTTAACGGAGGCTAGCAATGATGTCTCTGTTACTTCCTCGTGTTCTCACCCGGGCTTTTCTTCGTTTATGGCCTCTGACGATGTCCTATTTGGAGACTTGACTATTGGCAACCAGGGTGCCAACCCAATGGAGCCTTTGTTTCCTAACACGGCCCTCACTGACCAGGACCTCAACAACAAGTGAGTATCTTGAAGGGCAAGTTTGTCCCGCGAATCCTGGTGACTAACTGCGCTACCTAGAACCATCAGACCTATCCGGTCATCGCGCCGGGCGGCCCTGCCAGCCGCGTCTCAACCCCAAGTGAAGGCCGATCCGGAATATTTCCCATCTCTGCCTTTGAGGGATCCAGTTCGGCAAAAGCCCAAGGACAATGGCGAGGCACGGAACCCACGGGACCATCCCTTTTACTCCATGCCCACTCACAGCGATGGGAAATACCACTGCCCATACGCCACTGGAGACAAGACCTGCAACCACACGCCAACCACGCAGAAATGCGCTTACCAGCAAGTTCCCCCTTTCACAATAGCATCGCTAAAACCTAGAGGCTAACCGACATCCACAGCAAATACCTGGACTCCCACTTGAAGCCCTATCATTGCAAGGTGGATGTTTGCATGGACGCTCAACTCCGCTTCTCATCCAACGCTTGCTTGTTCCGCCACGAGCGCGAGGCTCACGGATTGCATGGCCATGGAGATAACCCCAACCTCTGCTTTTGGGAGGGCTGTGAACGGTCCGTTCCAGGATACGGATTTCCCCGGAGGTGGAATCTGTTCGACCACATGCGGCGAGTGCACGACTACACGACTTCAGAGCATCCCAGCTCCCCGGAGGCTCCACCGGTCACCACGACCATCAAGAAAAAGGAACCCGCTGGCCGCAAGAGGAGAGTCACGGGCGCCACCCCGGGCCAGATCATGAAGCGCACTCGTTCTGTGCACTCCCAAGCCAATTCTCTCAAGGCCACCCAAAGCTCAGCCCATCAGGGACATCGGCTGCAAAATGCTGAGCGCACTTACTACAATTGCCGCTCCCGTCTTCTGGAGGAACTGGGCAGTATCACGCCGCAGGATACCACCATGCATGATAAGGTCAATGCCAGCCTTCAGGAACTGTTTACCCTCGGACTGAACTACCGTCACATTGTGGCCAGTCACACCATGCCACAGCCGGCGAATGGATCCTCATCTGCGTGAACGATCGTAGATCTGTTACCTCTTATGATGTGATATCATCCTCAGGCCCAACAGTTGACAGAAGGGCCTCGTTGCACCGGCGTCAAGCTTGAGAGGATACCATCCCATTACGCAAATTTTCAAAGCCAGAAAGGACCATTTTAACCATTGATTGTTATGCCACAGTCAAGATTCCACCCGACGGAACCAAGGATGGCCATAGCCTGAAGGATGTCTGATGAGGAAGAAGCACCCGCTGCGTGGCACTTGCGATCAACTCGGATGCTAGTGGCTTGCCCGGCAAAGGACTCTGCTCATGCGAACCTCCGCGGCGCCTGGATTGAACTGTGAATATGTAGCTCAACCCGACCGGGTGCCCGTGAGGAAGGGCTCGGGGCTGCAGGATGTTGATTGGCACTGACCATCAGGTCGGCCAACATTAAAACCGTGTGAGAGTGGAGGACAGAAAAAGAGGACAAGGGGATTTGGATATATGTTGCTTTTGTTTCTATAGAGTATATTTTCATTCTTCTTGGACAAAATTGTTTGTTTTCGCATCGAGTTCGTTCTTTTTTCTCCCCGGTCTAGACAGGAAAAGAAACAGAGATGGGTTTAAAAGTCATTCAGTCCATGTTTATTGTCTCGTCATGTCGTAAAATCTTGAATCGGCCCTCTATATACACCTGCAACCCCCAAACACAAGCAAGCCTCTTAAGCAGCAACATTTTCGTTGGCTTCGCCGCTGAGATCCGCATTGAGGAAGCGCACAAACGCATCCCCAATCTGGTCCGCCGACAGGCCACCCTGCCCTGCGCCATGACCATGGCCAATGTAAGCGCGGTTCAAGCTGATCCACTGCCGACGCAGGCGCTGCAGCCGTGGAAGGGTCAAGATACCTCCCGCGCCAGCCAGTTCATCCGTGGTACCGGCCGTGGCGACGTGGGCCGGGATGAAGACGGGGGCGGACGCATCGGGTACAGTAATGGTGATCCCTTTGTTGTTCGAGCTCTGCGCCAAGGCTGCCTCGGCGGATGGGTGCGACTGCGTGAACGCCCGAAGGGCGGACACAATGCTCGAGGTCCGCTTCTCCATTGCGTACAGCGCGCTCGGGTCCGTCGCCGCTGCCTGCACTGTTGCTTGATGCGGGACGATCTTGGGTCGTGTCGATACGCCCCCGCCGCGCCCAAGCGTCCTTGTTCCCGTTGCTATACTGGCGGTGTCGGAGACGGTCGATGAGGCGAGCGTTTCTGCCAGATTTGACATCTGCGACTCCTCCGCTTCTGTGTGCGCCGAGGGCAGCTGCACTCCCGTGAGAGCGTGGAAGATGTCTGCCACTGGTGGCTCGGGGTCTGACCATGGTACCGTGAAGAGTGGCTTGTCCCATCGGCTATGTGTGCTGGGCTCTTCGTAGCGAAAGATGAGGTTGTTGAGCAGGTCTGGGGGGTAAGGCTCTTCGTCGTCTTCGGCTGGCGCACCTTCTGCAGTAGTGGTAGGTTTATCATTCAATTCTGGTTGCTGCGCTGTCCGTCGCAGTCGAGCATCGTTGTTCGCGACGCATTGGTCGACCGGAGTGCCGACGTGGACCTTGTTTGAATCTCTAGTCAGCAATCAAGTAGCCCAAGGCTTGAATGAACACATACCACACAGCAGGTGGTACTGGCAGCCTTGGCCTCACACCACAGCTGATACCGCCATCCCTTGATGTAGTTCATCCCGTCCAGGATGACGATGCTGTCGCGTGCAAGGACGCGCTTTGCCCGGGCGTATGCGACGCCGCGGGCTTCTTTCTCGGTGCGGGCATGGTCATAGACGGTGCGTGGATGCGAAGTATCATGTGAGGGAACGACGTGCACTTTGAATCGCGATTTCAGTGGGGATGAGGCAGACGCAAAGAGCTCATCCTGCGACTTGTCGAGCAGCGACGCCAGCTGGCGGGCTCGATAGCTCAGGCCGGAGCATGGGTAGCCGGTCAGGATGACAAGCTAGAAGACAGGAAGAGGGGAAGAGTCAGAGACTGTCAGTCTACTGTGGAGGACAGGGACTCACGGGCATTGCTGGGGGGTGGAAGACGTCGAAGACGAAGAAAGCAACTAGGGCAACTTTTTTCCCGTCGGCGGTGGGGCGGACGATTTAGTTGGTCCCCCACATTATTAGGGATTGACTTGGAGTCCTCAGATATTATTATATGCAACACGAATGATTTGATGACTTAAATTAATTATATACACTCATCATCCTCCGGTCGATTCATCGTCCACCCTACCGATGATCCTCCGCTTGCTTCGGCGGCGTCTGCGATGGTAGACTCCTCCAGCGCGAGCCGTACACCTTCAGCATCACCACCGGCACCAGCAGCACCACCACAATCAGGGCCAAGGTCAGCCAGGCATACTGGATGCCAATACGTTCGCCAAAGGGGAGTCTAACATTCCAAAGATAAGTGGACGCGCTTGACGCAGAAAAGAGGGGGAGGGGGGCAAGAACTCACGCGTAGAAAGAGATCAGGCAAGAGAAGATCTGTCGGAAGGCGTTGAAGATGGTGGAAATCTCCACACTTTGCGGTTTGTAGCACTGAGAACATTAGCAAGGCTTCGAAAGGATGACAGGGACCGACATACATCGGTCGCATAGGCATAGATCGTCGTCGTCGTGATCTGAAGGCCCATGTTGGCGATACCCATGCCGAAGGCGCTGCCCACCCAGTGCGCCGTCTCCGGGTGCGACAGGCACACGCCCTCGATGATGATGCCCACTGGAACCAGCAGGGCTCCCCAGATGGCCGTCAGCCGTGCCTCGGGAAGGCGCTCGCCGTTGTTCTTCTGGGCATGTCGGTTGGACAGCCAATCCGTCACCCACCCCGCGCTGAGCTCACCGATTAGGCCACCGATCAGAAGGGGAATGCTCAGCATCAGGCCAGTCTGCGGCGTGGTGAAACTGTAGATCGTGGTGAACAGCTGGGCTCCCGTCAGGGCAAAGAGAACGGTGCCGTAGCCGAAGCAAGTCATGTACAAGAGCGCAGGCAATAGGATCGGCAGCAGCCGTAGCATCTCAAACGGCCGGACGAAGTCCTTAAGGCGCGGGCGGCGAGCGGGAACACGACTGCGGGTGAACGAGATGTTCTGAGCATAGGATTGCTCCTGATACGGCTCGTCACGGCTCTCGGAGTAAAGCGTCTCGGGCAGACAGAACACGGAGAGAACGAAGGTGCCCAGCTGGATATAGCCTGGAATGTAGAAGCAGGCGCGCCACCCGAGGGAGTTGGCCACAAAGCCTCCGACCAAGGGAGCAAACTGGGGCATTGGCCGTTAGCTATGATCTCAATGGGAGAGGAAAGGATGAAGCTCCATACATGAGCACCGCTGGTCAGACACAGCGTGTAGATGCCCATGTAGACACCACGCTGATGCTGGAAGAACAGGTCACAGATGACCGCCGCCCCCATGGCCATGACGGAGCCGCCGCCCAGCCCGTTGAAGACCCGTGTCACCATGATGCCGGACCATGTTTTACAGTAGCCGGCAGCGATGTTGGTGACGGCCGCGAGCAGGTTGCCCGCCAGGTAGACGGGCCGACGTCCATATTGCCGGGCCAAAGGCACAATCAACAGCGGGCCAACGCCGGCAAAGACGAGATACAGCGTCAGCTCTAGAGGGGTCTGGTTAGCACGACTTCGCTGATCGGCCCGCTCCGAGCTTACCATAACTGGTCTCCACAACGCCCTGGTGGAAGGCCTCCGCCATCAGCACGAACGCCGGGTTGGCGACCGCGGACGAAAAGGGGCCCAGCAGGGCCAGCCAACTGACCTGGAGCGCGACACTCAGCTTCAAGGCCGGGTGCCAGTTCTAGGCCGTAGCCGTCAGTGAATGGATCGCTGTGGGTAAGCCAGGACCAGGACGTACCAATGGGTCATCGTGATGCTCCGTCGGCTGGGGCACGAGTGGCAGCCCATGCGGATCCAGGCGTGGTTCCTTGCGAGTCCGGGCATCCGGTTGTTGCTCGCCGACCACCTCGTCACGGGCGGACTTTTCAGGATCCATGAGCGACAGCAGTCAATCCTCAATCATCGAAAGATAGGGATAGGGTGACTGGAAAAGGGCGGGGAGAGGTTCTTCAGCAACCCCCTAATGTACTAGTTGACTCTCGGGGAGTTAAGTCGCGTCAACCCTATCATGGCCCCCAACGCGACCGGGCCTGGGGGAGGAAGCCCATGTGGAGCCAGTCGTTCGTTGCGTCGGATTAATCTCCACCTCCACCATCGCCATGGGGGACCACCCGCCGCACAAGAAGCGGCGCAACCGCGTGCCCATCTCGTGCTTCAGCTGTCGCTCGCTCAAGACCAAGTGTGACGGCGTCCGGCCGGTATGTTCGACCTGCGCCCACAATGGGCGGGAATGCGTCTTCACCCAGCGCGGCATCTCCGGGGGGAATATGGTGACGGTGAGCCAGGAGTAAGATGATTTGACGCCCACCCGCCTCGGTGCTTATGGACTAACGGGTAGACAAGCTATGTACGTGGTCTGGAGAAACGTCTGGAGCTGCTGGAGCGATCCAACACGGCTTCCGCATTGCCCCCTGCGGCTGCCACCCCGGCCCCCCCGCGGCCAGCGCCCGAGAGATCGATATTGTCGGGACCCAGCTCCTCCGCGGTCATGGTGGACGCCAATGTGTCGATAGGAGGCCTTTCCTTCACCCAGTTGATCCTCAACAGCCTGCACGGCCACGACAATGTCAAGGCGCAGTCCATCATGACGGACCGCGAAGCTCGCGCCAGACCGTCCCTGCTGGCCGGTGATGACCTATATACGCTGCCCGAGAATACGGCAGAGGTCCTGGATCGTTTTTTCACCGTCCGCAATATCCTCGCGCCGGTATTCCACGCCCCCAGCGCTCGGCCGGCGCTCGAGGCGGCAATCCGCTGTTCGCCCGCCGAGAGGCATCATCACCAGTCGGCATTGGCTCTGCTCAACATGATCCTGGCGCTGTGTACGTCACACTTCTTAATCGATGAGGCGAACCCACAAACGGCGCGAAAACACTATGACATCGCCATGGCCCTCCTGCACCCGACCCTCCTCCGCGACTGGAGATTAGAGCATGTTCAAGCCCTCGTGCTAGGCGCGAGATATCTCCAGGGTACTAGCTGTGGGGATGAATGCTGGAATGTCTTGGGTCTGGCCATTCGAATTGCATACGGCCTGCGCCTACACCAAGATCCGCCCGAGACCGACCCGCCTCCGTTGCGAGAAACCAAGCGCCGGGTCTGGTACTCCGCGTATACCCTCGACATGCTCTTGAGCATGATATACGAACGCCCATCGGCAACCAGATCCGATTTCACAGTCTGCCCGCCGGAAGATCTCGACGATGACTGTATTCAGGAAGACCGACTGCTCCGCCCTACACCAAGGCGGCCATCCTTCATGGCCTTCTTTCTTCAAGTGATCAAGCTATATCGTATTGTGGAGAACACTTTAGCTTGCCTGGAAAAGAATCCACAGGACCCCCGGGAAATCGCGGAGCTGATCATGGCTCTGGACGAAGATTACCAGAGATGGCAGCGCGAGCGACCTGCACACCTCGTTCTCAACTATGGCAATGCGCAGGAGCCGCCCTGGATTCTGGCCCTACGCGGCAATATGGTTCGCATTTTGATTCACCGACTGTCTCTGGGTGTGACACTTCACCACCTCGCCCAACCCCAGCAAATTGAGGACTCGATGGTGAGCCATATCTTGCAACATAGCCAGGCGACGTGTGTAGCGGCCGCGATGGATACGGTTGATATTGTGGCCTTGAGGCATGAGCAGACCAGGCATACCATGGGTCTGGACTGGTTTAACATATATTATTGTGAATCTGCCTCCCTCTAAAGCCCCTGGGGACCGAAGCTAATCCTTGCAAACAGTGTTCAACGCCGTCCTCGTCCTGGTCTCCCATGTTGTCGATCCAGCCCACTCCGAGGACCGACCTGCACTAGCGAAAGTGGAACAAGCCCTTCATATGATCAAGGCCATGTCGAGCAACCACTCCTTTGCACGCCGGGCGTCTTTGTTTCTGCAGCAGTTAGTTGGGTACATGAACCAATTTCTGGGATCCCGGAAGCCCAGGGAAGATAATGCACCCCGAGCGCATATCCCGTCAGCGCAGGAGTCGTCCACCTTGCCTCCCACAATGCCTGGCGCGCCCGTATTTCCAGATCTACAAGCGTTGTGCGGTTTTACCCAGAATCTCACAGATAATCTGGAGACGCAACTAGAGGATTTTGATACGAGAGGTCTGTCCGGCTCATTGTGGACGTTCCAAGATCAGGGTTCATACACGGGATTTTCATGAGCGTAATTAGTAGCTTCGAAAAAACTTTGTTTTTTGGATCTATTGGATGACGAATGTAGCGTTGGGCAAGCTATTTGGATATCGTAGGGTTTTTCTGTCATATATCCCACCTTCTACATTCTCACTAGTTTGTCCTACGTCCGCTTAACTCCCCGCCAAGCCCGCAACGGCTCCTTGACTCCCCGGATCCTCTCCAAAGGAAGCGGAATGTGTCCGACAAATTTATTTTATAAGACTTAAATATTTAGATACGACTGGTTCGCTTTGCTCGGTCCAGCATATCGAACACCCTGACTATGTTTCGTATTGCCATCATCGGCGGCGGTCTGGGCGGCCTGTTCACTGCGCTCTCTATCAAGCACCACTCTCCCTCGAAAGATATTCACATCGATGTCTATGAGCAAGCACCCGAGTATGGCGAGATCGGGGCTGGCGTGGGCATTGGGCCTAATGCCGCAGCAGTCATCGGAAAGTTGGGACTCATGGAGGAGGCGATGAAGATTGCCGGCAAGCGTGAGGGCGTCTGGCTCTCGTTCCGGCGTTTTGATACTGGCGCCGAAGTGCACACTGTCAGCACGCCAGCTAAAGGCAATACCGTCCAGCTGCCGATGCATCGTGCTGAGTTTCTGGAGCTTTTGGTGGGCGCAATTACCGAGCGGGGAGCGGCGACTCTGCACACGAATAAGCGCTGTTCGACGCTTGAGGTGAGCTTCTTGGGAGGGATTTTCGTCAAAATGTTGACTGACTGAGACCTAGGACCAAGGAGACACCATGCTAGTGACCTTCGCAGATGGAACGAGCACATCGGCCAACCTAGTGATTGGGGCTGATGGCATCCACTCCGCTGTGCGCTCGCACTACGTGGTAAGAGATACAAGATATGTCGCGCGGGTGTCACTGGCTGACAGCTCACCAGAGTGACAATCCGCAATATGGAGGGATGGTCGTCTACCGCGGTCTCTGTCCTATCGACAAAATCCAGGACCAGTGGTCACTGCCCACGTACGCGGCATTGTTCATGGCGCCCGGAAAGCATTTCCTCACATTCCCAATCAGTAACAATAAGATGTTGAATGTTGTGGGTTTTGTGTCTACCCCGTGGGAGAAGCTGGGGGATGTCACGGAGAGTTGGACGCTGAAGGGTGATAAGGGCGAGGTCGAGGAGCAATTCAAAGACTTTGCGCCGGTGGTACAGGCGGTGCTCCAGAACATGAACACGAACCCACTGAAATGGATCCTGTTCGATCGCCCGTCGACGCCGGAATGGATCTTCTCCGGGGGCAAGGTGGCTCTTCTGGGGGATGCAGCGCATGCAATGTGCCCCCATCAAGGTTCGTCTATCCTATCTATCTGATTTTATGGTGTGCTGAGTGTCCCACCCTGGCAGGTGCTGGCGCTGGCCAAGCTCTCGAAGATGGCTATGTTGTCGGACGAGCTCTCGCGGATCACTTCCAAGAGCCATCCAGTTGCAGTGTGTCGGACGCTCTACAGCTCTACCATGCCATCCGGTACGCTCGTTCGGAGAAAGTGCAGGTGACGTCTCGGCAAGCGGGCGATCTGTATGAAATGAAGAGCCCGGACGTGGCGGGACGGAGCTACGAAGACGGTCTCCCCATCGTCAAGGCCAAACTGGAGGACCGCATGAAATGGATCTGGAGCGAGGATATGGACGAAGTATACGAGGCTGCCCGAGACGCACGGCGACAAGCCCCCCGGCGTGATGGACTTCGTATATTATTTATTGTACCCGGACATTCATTAATGATAGCATACCTCATAATGATCTATTGGCTCTAGCGAATACTTGTATATCAATATTTCGGTTCGTCTTTATTTCAACTCTCCGGGTATCACAATTTTTGATTTACTTCCTCTTCAACTCATCGGAGGCCCATCTGAGCTCATACCCAAACACGGTCCGCCGAAGCCTCTCATCCTGCAGCAAGTCAGCCCATACAGTCGCCATGGCCGGAGGGGAACTTACCCCAGGGTCATTTTCAAACAAGACCTCGTCCATGAGTTTTTCAAATATTTTGGTCACCGTAAACCCGCTGGCCTCGGCTAGCGGAAAGAACTGTTCGGTCTTGGGCAGCAGCCAGGGTTCATACGGCGTGAAGATGACCAGTGCCACCGATCCCGGGTCCTTCTTGAGGGTCTGCTGCATCGTCTTGATCAAATTCGGATGCTCGCGGTGAGCATACACCACATCCGCCATGATCAGAACGTCAAACCGTGGCGACTCCCCATCGGCCGGAGGAGTCAGATGCTCCAGGAGGGTGTCGACGGGGCCGCCCCATTTATAACCCTCGACATGGAGCCGAGATTGACCATCTGGCCCGGCGGCAATCATTGTCTGGGCCAAGTCGGCATTATATCGCATATTCCCCACCAATTCCGGGTCCGGGTAGTCGGTCATGACGACGGTGCGAGCACCCTGGACTGCGCTGACGATACTAGGCACGCCCGCCGCGGCCCCGATCTCGAGGACATCCTTGCCGCGGATCAAGGTGGTGGTGTGCTGTTCGATGTAATGGGCACTGGTCCGACCGGCATTCCACAGTAGATCGGCCTGATTTCATGATTAGTCTCGCCGTCGTCCCATTGCGAATTCTGGAGGAGCCGTACATAGAGAGGGTGGTTGCCGACGAGCCGCACGCGCACGGTCTGACCGGAGAGCATGCGATGCTCGGCGAAGGTGGGCGGTTTTTCATCCGGATAGAAACCCTCGGGGTCCTGGAACAGGTCCCCCGTCCCAACGTCGTCATCCATGCCGGGCTGGTGGGTTAAGTGCTGGCCCCGCGAGCTGGAAAAATATGCTGGTTATCGCTATCAGTGATGCCTGAGGCAGAGATGGAGATCGCTCCACTAACTACACGAGCCTACTGTACTGCTGGAATACGTGGTACTGCTGTTGCTCCTACTGCTGCTGCTCTACATACACAATGCATTCCCTACTCTGTCGTTCCTCTGCTGGATGGTCTGCATCTGGATCGGCCTTCCCGTTCACCACCACGGTCGCATTGGTCCTCCCGTCCTCTGTATGTAACTCCACTCCACCATGTGAATGTGCTGATGGCTCTATCTCTCAGATGGGATCCTCCAAGCCAATCGTATCCAATGACTCTAGCTGGCAGTGCTCAGCCGAGGCTTGTGGGCCATCCATACCATACATACCGTACACCACTCTCCGGCGGTCCAAGTGTGGAGATACCATTCCAATACGCGGGTAATCATGCACATCATCGACTCTTCGTCCTTTCTGCGCTTGTACTAGTTCCCTCCCTTCCCCCTCCTCCTCCTCCTCCTCCTAGAACCTTTTGTCGGGCGCTGGTTGGGGCCGTCTCTCACTCACTCACCAACTCTTCCTGTTCGACCACCACAACCCCCACCCAGGCACGTCATTCTCCAGATTTTGGACCCCGCGGTTAAATTGTCCTGCATTCCCTCCGAACGATCTCCAGTCCCTTGCGCCATTGCCGTCATCCACTCTGGGGTGTAGAGTGTCGAGTTGGCCTCATCGATCCTGCACTCGATTAAAAGCAGATCGGTCGCCATGCCCCCCCCCGTCTCTCAACCTTCCGCCTCGCTCTCTTCGTCGACTACCGCGACTGTCGACCCTGCAACCACCGCCACGGCAGAGTCTCACCCTCAGAAGAATACCTTCAACGTCCCGTCCACGCAGCAGACGACCATGCCACTCCCGTTGCGGTCTCCGTCGACCGTCTGCGCATCACAACATCCCACCCTCCAGATGCAGGGCTTGCCGAAGGTCCTGAACACGACATCCGATCCCGCTCAAGCGGTTCCCGCACCGGGCATTGCCCAGCCAGTCCCGCAATCGGGCGCTGCACCAGCTCCACAACCGGGCACCGACCACTGCTACCCACACCCAATAAACGGCGTCGGCGGCCCAACCGCTACCGCACCCTTTCTGCAAGACTTTAGTCTGGTCGCCGAAGCCGCCAAGCGGGCTCAGATGTCGATTGTCATGCGCGATCTCGAGAGTGTGACCCTATAGATCCGATGGAGGGGCAGGTCCCAAGCCGATAGAGGAAAGTTGCATGCCTCCTGACCGTGGACTGGCTCTGTGGTTGGCAGGACTTTTTTGGGTGGTGTTTTTGGATGACTTTGGCGTCTGACTTGTGATGGGGGTTTTTTCATCGGTCTGTCCTCGACATGGTTCCCGGAGGCGGGGGGTGTACCGTCAACCCCTGGAGGTATTGCGAGAGGCGACCACGACTGGCGTTTGTTAAGTTCAGCTTGAGATCTTATACCATCATCATTATCTTCCACGCTAGTCCTGTTTACTTCCCCCGATCCTTCCTGACATTCAAAGGTTACTTTTTGTAGAAGTACCGAGCTTAACTACACAATAAACCCACCACCACATTTCTGCTCACCCTCTGTGAATATGTCAGTCATTCCCGGCTGGTAAGACGCTTGATTTCGGCTCAAGAAATTAGGCTATCCTTGCGTCGCTCCACTTTTTGCTTTTGTTTGGACTTTCTGTGTTTTGCACACTCCAAGACGGCTCTCTGTGATCCTAGGCAGGATTTTTGCGCTTTCGTTTCTGTCCCTCGTCCCCGGCCCGAACAAACAACGCATCCAACCGCTGCTGTCCTTTTTCCTTGCGCTCCACCTTGACCTTCTCGGCGGCCAGCACCGGTGGTCGCCCCTGCACTCGCCGCTGCGCATCCTCTAGCAGTTCGATTTCCCGTTCGCGCTGTCCGCGGACCGTAGGAATGGACCAGGCAGACGAGGTGGCCGTCTTGTGCGCCAGTTTATACTTGGACCCCGTCAGGTGGGTTTCGTAGGTGTTGGCATCGACCTTCCTCACATGCTATACATGGTGTTACCAATGGGTTTGGTCGTCGGCCCGAGAGGTCTCTCTCACCTGGTGTCCCACAATCAACCAGTGATACTCCGTGCCCACGGGCGCACCACTGCCCCGCGGTGCCTTCCGTGCCCGTCGCTTGTGAGTCTGGTAATCGATGGACCAGCGATCCGGCTCCTCTTTCGTCTCCTTCCAGATCCCCGGATCATAGTTCCATGTATGTGAGCCGCCGACGGCCATCCCGGAGTAGACCTGCCCGCGATGTGTCTTGAGCGAATTGTATCCCCCGCCGGCGGCGGTGGATGGTGTGGCCGTCGCATTGGGGTCAATGCTTTCGTCCGGGGGGTTTTCCTCCTCGTCAAGGAGAGCGGCATCCACTGGACCGCTGGGATAGTCCGTAGAGGCCATGCTGGTGGGACTAGATTTGTTATCTTCGTCGGGGTGATGACCGCTGGGCATTTTCCGTGCGGTTCGTTGAGTGATAACGGTATATGCTGCCGTTGGATAGGTATTAGTTGTCGGTGATGTCACATTGATTCAGTCAGTGCCTGAGTCGTCCACCCGTCCTTTGTTGGTTTGCATGATTCAAGATCTGGATCTAACCCATGTTGTTTACGCGGTGCAATAATAATAGTAATGAGGGGCAGAGAACAGGATTGTTTGTTGTTTTTCTCACAGACACACACACACACACACACACACACACACACACACACACACACACACACAGTCTCTCTCTCTCTCTCTCATCGATACTTGAAGCTACAATCATGCCAGACCCCACTAACCACGCCCTCGTCTTCGGTGCCTCGGGCATCTCCGGCTGGGCTGTTGTGAATGCTCTGCTCAACGACTATCCGGCCGCTGACACCTTCGCGCGAGTCACGGCCCTGACCCACCGTCCCCTTCCCCAGGAATCGTCGCAGTGGCCGCCCTCGGAGAAATTCCGGGCCATTGACGGCATCAACCTGCTGGCGGGCGAGCAGGCCGATCTCGACCATGCGCTGAAGCAGCGGGTGCCGGGCATCGACACCGTCACGCACGTCTACTTCTTTGCGTATGTCCTGAGCATGGAACCCGAACAGGAAATCAGCATAAATGTGGAGATCCTCCGGCGCGCCATGACGGCAATCCAAACTCTCAGTCCGAAACTCAAGTTTGTTGTGCTGCCAACGGGTGCCAAGGTCGGTCTCTGCATAGGTACATAGGTATCTCAATGCTGAATTAATTATTTGACAGGCATACGGGATCCATCTCCTCGATTACTTCCCCTTCAAAGACCAGGTTCCCCTGCGCGAGTCACTCCCACGTATCCCCGAACCCTTTGCCTCGCAGCTTTTCTACTACCCGCAGATCGATCTGCTGCAGTCGCTGTCCGAAGGAAAGAGCTGGTCCTACTGCACCGTGATGCCCGATGTGGTCGTCGGCTTTGTTCCCAACAACAACTACTGCTGCCTGGCACAGTGGCTAGCTCTCTTCCTGAGCCTGCAGCGTGAGATCTCTGGCGAAGGCGCCGAGGTCGCCTTCCCGGGGAACACGGAGACCTGGACGGTGAAGAGCAACGACAGCAACCAGGACGTGATCGCGCGATTTTCAATCCATGCCAGTCTGCATCCGGAAGTCAGCGCCGGCGAGCGGTTCAACATCACCGATAGCGCGGAGCCTTCGACGTGGAAAACCAAGTGGCCGATCCTCTGTGAGTACTTCGGGCTGAAGGGCGTTGCTCCGGACGGAACGAGCGTGGACCCGGTCCTGTTTCTAGCCGAGAACAAGGACAAGTGGTTTGCGATGGAGACCAAGTACGGACTGGAGACGGGCCGGGTGGCCAACAACCGCAGCTTCCCGTATCTACCGATCGGGATTCTCTCCATGATGAAGTGCGACCGTCAGCTGGACTCGACCAAGACGCACGCCGCGTGGGGAAAGGCAACCGAGGAGCTGGACGTGAAGCAGAGCTGGTATACGGCGTTTGATCGGTTCCGGAAGGCCAAGATTATTCCTTAGTTGTTTCGTCACAGAATATCATTGGGGGTGGGTACATAAGTTGTACAAGGTACTAGTCTTACTACTCAATGTATATAGATGGCCCTATAAGTACACGGAGCGTCGTCTTGAATGAGGAGGTGGTAACTAAGAAAGCTACTTGAGATAACTAACCAGTGCTTATTATTACTCCGTGCAGTCCTCGGTGACTGCGGTGGAATATTCCAAACTTGGGAGGATGATGTTGCGCCAACGGATGTACTCTACCGGTTGAACTGGCACGTTGACTGTGTCCGGTTGTATAGTTACCTCAATGCCGGTGCCGGGATGGATGTAGCGCGCGACCGGCGAGGGAGCCACCGATGATTGGTGGAGGGAAAGCGCGACCGGGCGACCAGGATGTAGCGAGGTACTAAGCTCAAACCACTTTTCTGTTCTGAAGATGAAAGTAACTATCCTTTGTACAAGTCTCCGTACAAGCAATGCCCGACCCGGAGGACCAGATCATGGAAAAGGATCGCACAAACGACAGCGACAATGCCACCATCCGCCGGGACCCCGAGGATCGGCCCAGTCCCAATCATAATCTGGAGCTGTATTCGGTCTTCACCGTCGGCCAGAAGAGAGCCATCGTCACCATGGGTTCGCTGGCCGCCTTCTTCTCGCCCTTGTCCTCGAGCATCTACTTGCCGGCCCTCGATACCATCTCCCACTCGTTGAACATCTCCATCTCCCAGGTCAATCTGACCGTCACGACATACCTGGTAGGTCCATGAATACAACCGTCAGGCTCACTGGTTGCTAATCGATCATTTGCAGATCCTTCAGGGTATTGCGCCCATGCTCATTGCCGGGTTCTCCGACTCGGCCGGCCGCCGACCAGCCTATATCATCTGCTTTACGATTTACCTGGCTGCCAACCTGGGTCTGGCCCTGCAGAACAGATACCCGGCACTGATGGTGCTCCGCTGCCTCCAAAGCGCAGGCAGCAGCGGCACCGTCGCGCTAGCCAACGGTTTAGTGGGGGACATGATTACCTCTAGCGAACGAGGCTCGTACATCGCGTTTGCCATGATTGGAAGCATGCTGGGGCCGTCGCTCTCTCCCGTGATCGGCGGCTTGATCAGTCAGTTTGCCGATTGGCACTGGATCTTCTGGTTTCTTCTCATCTTTTCGGGTGTGTTCTTTGCCATTCTCGCCCTGTTCCTGCCCGAGACATGTCGCAAGGTCGTCGGTGACGGCTCTATTCCACCGCCGTGCTTGAACATGTCAGTATCCGACATGATCCGCCACCGCAAACGCCGCGAGAAGGGTCTCGAACCGGACCCGGAGAAAGTCGAAGAGGTGCGAAAGAAGTATGCGCTCCGATTCCCGTCGCCCATTCCGACACTCAAAGTCGTTCTGGATTTGGAAACGGCGGTGGTACTTTTGACGACTGGATCCTTGTTTGCGGGGTTTTATGCTGTCATGACGGGTGCATCAACCTCCTTCCATGAGGTGTATCACTTCAACAACATCCAGGCTGCCTTGATGTATATTCCCATCGGCGCGGGGGAGTCCTGTCGGCTTTCACGACCGGACGTATCGTGGACTGGAACTACCGCCGGCACGCGAAAAAGGCAGGGCTCCCCGTCATCAAAAACGTGCGAGCTGATATCTCCAACTTTAACATCGAGCGGGTTCGGCTGGAAGTCGCTCTGCCGCTCTATTATCTCAGTAATATCACCATGCTGGCCTATGGCTGGGTGCTGGGCCACAAAGTCAACCTGGCCGGCCCTGTCATTCTTTTGTTTCTGGCCGGTTGGACTCTGACGTCCACCTCGCAGGTGTTGAATGCTTTGATGGTGGATCTCTGGCCGGGGAAGTCTGCCACCGCAACCGCAGCAAATAACTTGTTCCGCTGTGAAATGGGTGCGGTGTCTTCTGCCGTGATCAGTCCCATGATCTCTGCCATGGGTCGGGGGTGGGCATACACCACGCTGGCATTCCTCTCGATTGCGCTGTCGCCCAGTTTGTGGCTGGTTGCGCGCAATGGGATGGGATGGCGACAGAAGAGAAACAAGAGGGAAGAGGCGAGGCAAGAAGCGAAAGCCAACCGAACCACGTAGGGACGACGACGATGATGACGATGTTAGCTTAGAACGGTACACACCTACCTGCATAGCTATTGATTTCTCTGTATAGAAAGATAATAATGTACATGTCTTGCTCCCTCCGTTGATCCAGATATTTTTAGCCTGTAAGCAAGCTTGCGTCCGATCTGACGCACGCCCGGCCCACTCTTGGCTTGCAGCCGTGGCGCAGTTAGCGTGGATGAAAACGAAAAAAAAAAATCAATTCAGTACAATTCAATAATCTATAAACGTGTATTTCCACGGTCACCGTATAGTGTACAGTGTATAATGTTTAGGAAATGTATAGATGATTCAGTGTGCCGGAAAGTATTTCCCAGACGCCAAGCTATGCACAACGCCTCGATCGAGTCGAAAAAGAGATCAAAAACAAACTCTGCAGAGAAAAAGAAATCCCCATCCAATGCATCCAGATACATAGTGACACGGTCGATGTTGAATAGAAATCAGAAAATTAACAATAATGTGGCTCCGAACACCTTGTTCCCTTTTTGATTGATGGATGGGATCGTCGCTGCAGCCGGTACATCATGCTGCCCCGTCGATCTTTGAAAGAAATTCTCCATGTCGAATAATATCAATCACATCGTTCACCCCTAGATGAAAGAAGCCTGACTCCGGCCGGCCCGATGAAGGGTCGATGATCCGATCAGGTTGGGTGAGGAAATACTGGCTGTCGGAGGTGCTGGCGCCTTGGAGTGCCGCCAGCTGGAGATGCGGCGGGTGAGGCGCCGACTCAGCCGACGGGGCGGTGACGACCAGGCATCAAAGGACATGATGGACATGGGCCGGGACCGTGGTGCTGCACTCGCCGTCATGGAGGTCTGGGGGCGCGGGCACGAATCCTCCGCAGTGTTGCTGCCGTCGAACAAGAACAGAGTCGAGCGCCGCTTGAGCTTGTCGGCGGTGGCCCGCACGTCTAGCTGCAGCGAGTAGTCTTCCTTGATTTCATCCAGGGCGTGAGAGACTCGGCGCAACAGTTTTGGTGGTCTCTCGACGAAGGATGGAGGCCGTTGTTCGAGGCCATACATCTGCAGTGGTGTCGAGTCAATGCCCTCGTCTACCGGGCTGGAGTAGAAGCGGCGGCATTTGGGTGCCGTCGTATCTCGGCGGGGGCGCTGCGAACCCAACGATAGTGAAGAGGCGGGCTGGGGGTGCCGGTAAGGTGAGCGGGAAGGCTCGCCAGAGGACGAGCTGGAGCTTTGGCTCGAGACATCGGTAGAAGATGATGTCAACATAGTGTCGGAAGCGATGGGAAGAAAGTGATGGTAGTGAGGAAAGAGTAAGAGAAAGGAAAGGAGGAAAAGAGTGGTCCGATCGAGTTTCAAAAGCTGATGTCGAATTCGGAATAAGACTAAGAGTGGATCTTCTCTAAGACAGCGCTGTTAGTTCGTCTTAACTAGCGGCCTGTGTAACATGTAGATGACAGGTAATTTCATACCTTTCTGATTCCTAGACGAAAATAGACGGAAGGATTTTCTTCATCGATGATTTCGGATCTGTTGGGGGCGCGGCATCCTAGCAACGTGCTTCGTCCGAGCTCTCTGTGCGCTCCGTCGTCGGCGTATGCAAGTCAACCGAACTTTGGTAAAGATGCGCTTCCACGGTTCGTACCGGGATCGTAGCGATGCCGGTGCTCATTGGGCCGATTAGGGGCAGTGGCGGGTTTAAACGCAAGGCGCCTACGTATACACTGGATACTACGTACGGAGCTACGACGCGAAACCGAGAGGAGATGCATAAATCATTATGACAACTATAAACCCAACCAACACTCCGAACCACAATAATAATGGGTTTCACGCCCGCTGCCATCTGAAACAGCGCCCGGCGATCCCAGTGAGTTTTTACGAGTGGGGATAGTTCGCCTAGTGGGATGGGGCCGGATGGAGCCCGAAGGACAAACCAGACGCCGCAGAAGTGTCGTGAACATGGTGATCCGCATTTCAGGGGTTACGACCGGGAGTTCAAATCTTGATTAACTATTTTATCCCCCGTGACTAAGTTATTATGTACATAAAGACCATGGCCAGCAATAGCCCAACTATGAAGCCAAAATGTGTAATATATAACATCCACGGAGTACAACGCGCATAGATAGGGGCCCGGTCCCTGGCCCTCGACCATCGTTGCACAAATCCACGGGACTCCGGCTGCGGCTGCGTGCATTGCAATTCTCCGGAAAACGCCCTTATTATGTGAAACACAATGCATTGATTACATCACAAAGCGCAGGTTGGTGTCTAACCTTCGAGTCAGCCGGGGTCATGGTGGCATCGCAGGTCGCTTACCAAGTGGATGGCTGCAGCTCAGCTGCGGCTTCTGGGTGTATTTTCCATCGAGCTCTGATCGGATGGTGTTCAACAGTTGTAAGTAGCTCTGCTGTGGCCACTGCTGCAGCGATTTGATAAACGCCCAGCTCAAGGCGCCCCGCGCCTGTCCTTCCTGAAACGTATCCGCCCTAGTAGTGGGGGGACGGTGAGTATTCACTTGGCTTCCGGTCATTAGGGAAAGTACTTACGACGTCTGGGTGTCCTTGGACCCCGAAAACATCACTACATCGGCCGGCGAGGTCTTGGTCTGGAGAGTGCGCTCGCGTGCAGATCCGCCGTTGGCGGCTTTCTTGAAAAAGCCAATGGCCGTCGACGCGACACTAGACAGATCACCCTGTCCGTATGAGGTCAGCACACTGAAGAGGTCCTGGGCGGCCTCCTTGGCCAGGTTTGGCTCCTTTAGTACTCCCTGTGTGGAGTAGATGTACGGAAGGTCCAACGCCGTGCCGGAGTGACAGGAGTCAAAGATAGCCGTTAGCCGCACACCAGGCCGCAACGGGCGAACCATAATCGCATGCATATCGTCGTCCACAATGTGGCCGGCCACGCGGTAGTCGACCGGGTAGATCACATCGTCGTACCCGTCGTCTTCGTCGCCGTCCAGGTCTGGCGTGCGACCGCCGTGGCCAGAAAAGTGGATAAAGAGCGAGTCATGCGGCTGTGCATCCCGGACCAACCACTGCATGGCACGGATGATGTTGGCCTTGGTCGGGATGCTCATGGGATTGCGCTGGTCGTCGGTGAGGATAACCATGTCCTCCCGGCGATATCCGAAGCGCTGGTTGAGGAATGTTGACATGTTGGTGACGTCGTTGATGCATCCGTGCAGCGAATTAGGCTGTCCAAAGTAGTTGATGCCAATTAGCAGAGCCTTGCGGCGGCCCGTACAGAGCGAATACTGGAACTGGTAATTGGATGGCGCCCCCACCCCAAAGTGTTGGTACCCCTGGGGCGGGCGCGGCGGTAGTTTTGGTGATGAGGTCCGGGGAGGTTCTGGGATGATCCTGTTAGTCTTGCCTGCGCCACTTGAGGGGAGGAGCATACCATAGCGAGGAGCGCCTAGATACTGTTGGGGAGGTGGCGGCTGCGGCGAAGGCGGATGGCCGTACGGGGATGGAGGTGGTCGTGCATGAGCCGGAGGGGAATAGCCACCAGGAGCATAGGGACTCGGAGGGTGCCCCGGTGGCGGGTAGGGCGAATGAGGGGGCCAGTGATATGGCGATGGCGGAGGCTGGTAGGGCTGCGGCGGATGCCATTGCGGGGGAGGTTGTTGGGGAGGACCATCCCACGGTGGTGGTCCTAGCGGCGGATAATACATCAATAACGAGACCAGCAGGATACAGGTGAGATGCCGAGTAAGAAAAACAATCGCATGGCGTGGAAAAGTTCACCCGGCTGGGATGGCACAGGGCTGGCTGACGGGTGGGTCGCACAAACACAGGCTGGTTGTGAGGACCGAAGTCAGAGCCCGAGTCAAAGGGACAACAAGAGCGGTCCGGAAGAGCCGTCGGCCACAATTGCGTGTTCCCAGAGTCCAGTGAGCGTGGGAATCGACTAGAGTAAACAAGAGTATAGTAGGCAGCGACAAATCAGGGACGGCTGACGTGTGGTGCAGTCCCGTGACTGCCAGGAACACGAAAGAGAGAGAAGAACCAAAGACAGTACGACCCAGTAGTATTAAAATCGGTATGGTACCTATTTCTGGATTCTTTGCCACCAGACCGGTTGGTTTTCAGCCGCATTCTCAACATTCAATAGGCAGTAGCGTAGGTCGTGAGGGCAACTCCGCTCGAGCAGAGCCGCACGCCCGCCCCAAGTCCGCCTGAGCGCCACTGATACTGACTGGGGCACGAGGCTCTTCCAAGTGCGGCTCAACTGGCCGGACATTCATTAAACCCCTCCCCTCTTCGTGCCAGACAGATCGATAAGACAATGCCCTCCTTTTGTCTCCCTGCTCGCTGCAATGACGGCGTTCCCGCCACGCTTGGATTCCCTCCCCTTCGATGTTTTTTATCAGATCGCGACCTCACTGGATGACTGCGACCTCATCCACTTGAGTCGCACGAACAGATCCCTTCATACGTCCACCACCAGTGATCTAATTGCTCGCAAAACCGTCGAGGTAAAGAAACTCGTCCCAAAATGTCCCCGTCGCCAGCTGACAGGGTTGCGCAGAATGGCTTACTACACAGCAAAGAGGGTCAGGCCGCCCAGGTGGCTCAGGCCGGCTTTCGCAAGGCTGTTGGGCACCGGTTCGACATTCACGAGGCGGTGGCAACTGCCTCGCCGTATTCTGTTTCAGTGTTAGCCTATGGGGCGGGTTTTCTCTACCGTCAGGGCGTACTCTGTTATCGCGTGCGCCAGGAGATCCGGGTTCTGGACGTCCATGGTGTCGCCCGCCAGGAACGCGTGCTGAACTTGCGGGATGTGATTCCCCGCCTCCTGGGTCCGGTTTCGGTGGCAGAGACACAAGTCTCGCTGCTCCACTATAACGATGGAATCCTGGCCTTCCGATTGCACGGAGCCGCATCGGATGACTCGCTGGTGGTTATCGATCTCGGACGCCGTGCAGACAACAATACAAAGCGCCGACGGCTGTTGTTTCACCGACGTGTGCCTCCGTCCATACCAATCGTGGTGCGTCACAGTCGGTCGTATCTCTGGTATGGAATGTTCACGGCGATGGGCAGCTCGGAAGGTGTCTGGTCCATTGTTGGGATGAACTTGGCGACAATGAACAAGACCGAGTGTGCCCTTCCGGGCGTCATGGCCGGGGATCTCGGCCAGACGCTGTGTTTCGAGATGTACCAAGATCACCTCTACGCGGTCTCAACCCAAACCCAGCTGGATGACGAGGAGGACTTCTCATCTTTCTACTATTGGATCTGCCTCACACCAGGCCATCAGGGCCGCCCGTGGCATGGCCGTCTCTGGCGCCGCGAGCACCGCGAAGGCCCGATCAACGAAATGTGGACTGATCTCTCGGTGCGCACCGACGAGACGACCGGCCGGCCGGTCATCCTTGAGTGCCGCCGTGAGTGGCGGGATGGCAAGAGCGAGAATCATCGCACTTACTACACACAGTCTCTTCCTAGTCCCTCCGAAGCGCTGGTCAGCCTCCCTCAGGGCTTTTGCACAGCCTCCTCGGACACCTCAGACTCCGACAACTTCGATGACCCACTTCTCAAACCCTTTGCTGTCAACCCCCAGCCAAACGACCACAGGCCCGAAAAGCGGCTACGCCAACATTATCATCCCGAATACGAGCCAGGCTCGAACCCTGCGAAGCGACATGACTTTATTGCCGCTCGCACAAAATACCGTGGCTACCATCTCGCCGGAGCTACCTTTGTAGACTTGGTCAACGACCCAGCACCACACGCTGATGGCGTGCGGCCGCGCGATAGGCTGCGGTTGCGGACCGTCTCTCGGAAGCGTAGGTGTCCGGTTGATGAGCTTGGCGAGGAGGGGCCTCAGGGCTTGCTGTTCCAGCCAACGCACACCAACGCAGACGGCCGTCCTGTCGACGGCTCTGAAAAGAGGTATATCTCTCGTGGCATACACCTGTGGCCTGCCGATGACGCGCCGGCTGCGCTACAGCAGCTCCTCTGTCCCAACCATAATGCTGGCTCGGTGCGGGCCGTCTCTGATGACCGCTCACTACTCTACTCTGTCTCCTGTGAGGGATTGCCGCCAGACCACCAAGCCCTAATTCTCATCAGTTTCGACCCATCTATTCGCTTCCCCACTCTGACCTCTCTCCGCACCCTCCAAACACCTCCGTTTGGACCCCTCTGTGCTGTAGAACCGCCTCAGTCACCACAGTCCACTTCCTCTGGTGTGCATGAAGCACCGGCTATGTACCTTGCTCTTCGCCGGGGATATTGGCTGCGTTGATAGGTATAAATCATCTAATAGTGAGATGAGCAGATATATTGCCCGAAAGTGCATAGTAATTGCTAGGGAGTAATACACCACTAGCTTCAATATAATCCATCAAATCCAATCCGACAGAGCACCTCCATGCAAAGCCCCAAGACTAGTACGCACGTAAGAGCCAATGCCGCTGCGAAATGTATATGTACTTGACAAATGATAATCAAGATACTAGTTATATATTTATGTATTATTATCTTCTGTACCGTCTTCCCCAGATCGGGCATGCAGCATCGGCTCGCTTTCTATATACACAACACGCGAGCACTACCCACGCACCCCTCACTCAGGGAGCCGGGTGGACAGGAATATAAACAGGGAAAAAAAAACCCCTTAGGGAACGAAGGACCATACCAGTGGAACAAAAGAAAGAAAAACTCCGAACTCAATCAGCCACAGTGGCCATGCCTCAGGCAAGGGGAATCACAAAAAAGGTCGTCTCGGCATCAGCGGCGCATCCTGACAGACAATGCATTTACGGCTCACCTGCTGCATCCTTCGAATACAGCTTGGCCAGAGTATTGATCATGGCGTCGCGCTTGACTGGGTGCTCGTTTTTGAAGGTGTCGCGCACGGCCACGTTCTGCTTCAGGTGAGAGGCTAAAGCGCTGGTATTGAGTGAGCCCAGCATTCCGCCGCTATTGCTCTTGAAGTCCTGCCCAATCTGTGTGAGATTCAAGCCGCCGTTGTGGGTGAGACGATGAATCGTGTTCTTCAGGATGTCGGCGACGCTGACCACGGCCGTCAGGGGCAATTCGTGCATCGCCTTGGTGTAGTATGGCACCTCAGTGCCATTCCAAACCACGGATCGTGTGACGGTTTTCAGGGCGAGATTCCCGTTCTTGAGGGCCGAAGCTTGCGATTTGAGCACCTCAGAAAGGTGGCCAATCACGGTGGACAGGCTGAGGACGCCTTTCAGGGGGAAAGTGTTGTTCCCAGGCTTCAGTTCGATGTCGGTCAGAGTGGCATTGCCAATGACCAGGTCGCCGCTGTAGATGTCCAGCACGATGGTGCCGATCTGGAGAGTCAGCACTGACGGGTTGGGAAGCATTGCGTTGCCGACGAGATTGGTGCCATCGGCTTCTGGCTTCAACAGGAGTGCACTGTCAGAGATGCTGAACCCCTCGAACTTGTTGAGCGCTGCAGGACGGTCAGTATGCGTGTGGGATTGAATGCACAGGAGAACCCACTGGGAGAGACAATGGTCTTATCCATGACGACGTGGGATTTCAGGACCCCAAGGAACGAATTGGTATCGCCATGGACGGACAGCCCGGCTGCCTTTTCGAACACCACGTTGTGGACATACTGGTCCCAGGTGCTCGAGTTGTGAAAGGGCGTGTAGTGAGAGTCGACGCCCAGGGTGGTATTGCCCTTGATGGTTTGGCCCGGGATTGTGATATCACCCCAGTAGTTCTGGGCCCCGAGGTCGTGAACGTACAAATTCAGCGTAATGGGTTCAATGCGGACGGGCAACGCAATCTTCAGGTCCAGCGCGGACTGCAGGGTCAGGATGACCGAGTCCGGCCTGGGCTGCATGACGGCCGCATTAACCAACAGGAGGTCGGACTTGTTGACCACAAGCTGCGAAATGGCGGGGATACAGATAAGGAAGCTGGTCACGGAATGGTTAGCACATCGTGATGGGACGAATTAGGGCTTCATCACGCGACTCACAAGATAGGGAGGAAAATGGCGAGGAAAACGACATTGCCGACCAAATACAGGCACCAAAAGCGTTTCCAATGGCGCTGTAGTTTCTCCTTGCGCTTGAGCTGCCGCGTCTCCAACGACAGGCCGCCGGCCGACGCAGTCTGCTCGAGCTGGGAGCCCTCGTCGACGCCCTTGGCAGGCAATGGCCCGCGATGCAGGCCTAACGAGTACTTGGCATCATTGGAGCTCAGGTAGGAAGGCCGGTCGTCGATAGTCTTGCCCATGGTGACGGTCTGGCTGTCCAACGGAGGGGAAGGGAGGGAGGAAGCCAGAGATGGGCCGGGGAGGGTATATGTATACACTAACCGGTGGGCTGGAGCCGAAGTACGACCCAGCGCACCAGAGAGAAAAATAAGACCCCCGTCATTTTTGCACGGGGAAGGCCCTTCGTCTCCCTTCGCCCCGTTGTCGTTAGTTACGGTTAGTCCGGGGGGACCAGGGACTGCGGTGGAACCTGTTAGTGTCGGAGCAGGCTTCCCCTGTATGGCCAGACCCACGAGCAAGCCCAAGCCCCGGTGCCCAAAGCGGCCGCGATCAGCAGCCTGGGAGATGGCGATCTACTGCGAACCGCGGCTGGTTGTCATTCTCGAGGATAGGAGATCCCTTCACATGGGCACCGTCGCTTGGCTGAGCTCGGGCGCACGAATTGACACCAGTCCGGATTTTTTGCCTTCTGGGGTCCGGGGTGTGGGGACTGCTATGATTCTGCTTCTTTTTCATTATCTTCTCACGCCCCCAAGCCCGGTTCTACAGAGTACTCACTACGACTGTCGACATGGCCACCGTCTCGAACCCCCCGTCGCCCCTGACCTCCCAGGAGGGCAACGAGGCGTACCACATCACCACTGACTCCAGCCGCCTACACGCCCTGGAGCAGCTGGAGATCCTCCCTCAAATCCTGCAAGAAGGCATCCTGTTCGCGGGATCGGGAGCAGCTCTCTTACTCCAGGCGGCCATGCCAGCGATGCGTCAGGATAATCCTGGCCCGGACGCCCTGGCGACGGAGCTGCTGGAGGCTCTCCAGGCGCACATCAGCTACATCTCTTGCCTGGTGTTTGGCAGCCGGACCGAACGCAAGACGCTCTTGGACATGCTGCACCGCGGCGAGGCACCGCTCATGGGCGGCGGCCGCTCGAACCGGTTCGCCGACCAGCCGGAGCTTCAGACGTGGATGGCAGCCACACTCTACGCCACCTCGACCGACTTCTACCAGCGCGTGTACGGACGCGTCGACTACCGCACAGCTCAGCGCGGCTACGACGAGTTCACCCTGCTGATGAACTGCCTGGGCATTCCCTCGGGCGCCTGGCCGGCAACGCGGCAGGCCTTCTGGTCGTACTGGGATGACCAGGTTACCCGACTAACCGTCTCGCCCGACGCCGCCCGTTTCGCGCGCGACATCCGCGAGAGCAAGGACATGCCGCCGTGGGTGCAGCGCATGAAACCGTTTCTGCGCGCCGTGACGATCGAGATGCTGCCGCCGCAGCTGCGTGACGGCTACGGCCTGCACTCGACTGCCACCACACGTTTTCTGTACCGCTCGTGGATGGGCTTCTCCGTGGCGGTCTACCCGGCCATGCCCGCCAAGATGCGCTCGTACCCGCTGCGTTTCTATCAGGACCGTCTCCGCGAGAAACTGAATGTTGTATGAGGACGGACGGGGATGGCAATCTTGTGTTTCTGTATATACCCAAATGCGTGACGAGATAATGGAGTTTGTAATCAGATTTTTTCCTTTTTTTTTTTTGAATTTGTATGTACACTCTTTCCATGCCAATTATTACTGTATCAACACAAGAACCCGAAGTCGTAAATTCATATCCCAAGTCACCAATCTAGGTAATCAATCTAGGTAAAGATAGTGCCGAGAAGCTGGGACACATCCGCAACCAACTACAGACATGATTAGCTTGCGATTGTGATAAGCCAGATACAATACATACCGGAGTGGCATCACCAATCAAAGTGGTCGTATTTTGCACGAATTCCGCGGTCAGGAGAGTGTGCGCATTGTTCAGGATATCCTGCAGGATATTGAGATTGTCGTCGGACAGCAGCTTGGCCGCGTTGCCGATAATGGTGTCGAGATTGTCGACATTCGTTTGCGTGAGCAGGCCCTCCGCACTGCTCAGGAGCTCCAGCAGTCCCGTGGAAGGCTCAGGGGCGGGCGCAGCGACGGGGTTGGGCCGGGCCTCAGGGGACGCCAGCGCCAGCGGTGCCAGGGCGAGGAGGAAGAGGGGACGGAAGTGCATGATTGTGGTGATGATTCTGTTGGTGTCCGGGGTTGTAAGAGAGAGAATCAGATCATCAGCGCTGCTTTTTCTTTCTCTCCGTCAAAGTCTTATACGAGAAAGGGGCCGCGCAGGAAGGCCCCCACTTAATCTAGGCCAGAATCCTTGGGTAGCAAGCCGCTAGGTTAGCTAGCACAGACCGTTTGCCCGAGCCATGTTAGGCCCACTAAAGGGGAATTCTGGCAGCTGGGACGCGGGTGCTAGAGGAGACTAAAATGACCGAGGTCGATCGCGATCTCCCATGTGAATTCATTATTGGTGTCCCCGGAAAATGCTCGCTTGCAACAGCCCAAAAACCAAAGCGGCTCTCCGCATCTCCACCGGGCTCACCCCGGACGAACCCCGAACGGTAAAAGATCAACCCCGAGTGGACAATCCCCGCCTCTTCGGGTTAGAACAGGACGCCACCAATGAAAAACAAGGATTGGCCGAGCAATTCATGTGATGCTCTCGTTGCGGTGTCATGTCCGATGGACAACGGCTGTGGGTGAGTTAGGGTTCAGCAATTCTCATGGTCAGGCCTGTGAAAATTAAATTGATGTCATTTCTTGTTGCTTGCACCCCTCCCAACTGGTTGCGCAGATTATCCGACAGTTTTTACAGGATGTGCAGGACTCCACATACGTAGCCCACCGACGACAGAGGTGGATAGGAAATAGACCAATCGGGTATTAGACAACTACGATCACATTCATCATCTGAAGACAGGATTTTTTCGATGAAAATCTAGAACTGAAAGTCCTTCCCGTTACGGAGAAAAACTCACGATTGTAAGTTTCACGCTTTCTAGATTTGTTTAATATGAGAGCTTGTAACTAATTGTTAAGGAACTTGATGTTAATCTCGATCGGATGTATAAGACTACATATGGACGGTATATACTCTCTACAAAGAGTCCACCACCGCATGGGCCTGTAACTACTACCGCCTAACCATAACAACAGAATATTCTTGAATGCTGGCTGGTTATTCTTGGTACCCTTTATGGATTCGTCGTAATTCTGTCTTGCTCTCTCTCCTTCCGTGTACACGCTGTCGTGATGTTGCGCGTTCTTTTCCCTTGCGCTCGATTCTGCATCCTCCAGCCGTAGCTGGAAATCCTGTTTTGTTTCCCATCTCCCAATCCCATCGTTGACATGATAGTAACATTCAGACTTCCCGTCTTCGGCGCCGCCCTAAAACCTTTCAATCCTTCCTGCCATTGGTCTTTGTTTAATTTCGAAATGGGACACTGATATCCAGACATATGCAAGATACCACAAACTTTCTGTTGCTATTGCAAAAATAAAGGCTACGAAGACTCTCTTCGAGAAGGGATCAGCCAAGCAGCCACCCCGTCGCTGCCTTGATAAAGGTTGCCTGGCCCGTCTCTTGTCATGGGCGAAGCCAAAATCTCCCTCATATGCTACCTCCAAGTCTCATAATTTCACCATAACCAGGTTCACGAGTTGATCATTCCAGACACCTTTGCAAAAGTCCTGAATATGACATTTGCGGGGTATACTCCCGAGTATCGGCAAGAGTCTTGATACCTTGGACGCTCCGCTGTGACATAAGGGGTGTTTCTGAACCAAGAATGCAACCGCTGGGACCGAGGTCGCTTAGTTGGCCCGAGGATCAGCAGGGTCAGATGCATCTCGATCGGATGTGCGAAGCCGACATGCAGGTGGCCGACAAGCGAGATGCCAGTGTTGCACCGTCGCAGTGATCATCGTGTTGATCTGCAGTATATAAATTAGGGCTAACGGGACTACACAAAGAAGACTCTAGGTGGCATGCTACTACTACTACGGGATAATGATGATTAGATGCAAGAATAAATCAAGATAAATGATCGATCAAATTTGGATATCATAGCTCATTAATCATATCAACCCATCAAGTCTGGGTCCAAATCGTAAGACTGCATCTCCCCAGACAAAGCCTAGTAACCGCCCTTCTTCGCCATATCAGCCTCCGCACCGCGCTGTCTCACTTTCCCTTCATCATGCATATCGCGCCACTTCTGTTCCTCCTCGCGGTCGCCCGCAACGGCAGCCTGGATGCCACCGACGGCGCCCTGCGCGCGGTCCGCGATACCCTGACCCCAGTCCTTAAGCTGACCCTTTGCCTCAGCCTCCTTGCCCGCAGCATTCTGCTCAACGCCCGCACGGCGCAGGTTCTCATTTCCGATCATGTTTCCCACGGCCTCCTTGGTCGAGCCGACGGTCTGGTCCCATGAGGCAGAGCTGCGGCTGGGATCGTCTTTGGCGGTTGCGCCGGTGTTTGGGTCTGCGGCGAAAGGACCAACCTTGGCGGTTGTGTGCGAGGCAGTGTGCTCGTCTTTGGCTTTCTGGATGTTCGCGTCGGCTTGGCTCTGGATGGGCGTTAGTAGCTGTGGAAGGATAGTGGGGAAAGAACGAGAGTATTTACCTGGGTGGAAGAGTCGCCAGTCACGGCGCCCATGGCACGCTGGGCCGCGCCAGTGGCCTGGTCCACGTAGGACTTGAGAGTGGAAGAGTTGCCCTCAGACATGTTGATAGAAGATAGTTCAGAGTTGGTAGTGAAGATGTCAAGGTGGTGGATGAAGTAGTCGTAGTTGTAGGGGAAGAACTTTAGCCCAGACAAACAGTACTTATATACAAAACACCACCACCATCATTGCCACTTCCAAGGCACTCGTTGATTGTGGTTGGAGAAATCACGATATCAATGACATCATAGCTGTGATGTCACTCCTGCCCGATTCGCAACAAAAGAAGAATTCTAGACGAACAGCCACATGGATCTACAGTAAACAGGAACGCGAATAATGATGATGGAGTGGCAAAAGGTTGAATCTATTCTGTAATCGTAGTCTTTCATGTCTTTAAACGCCATACTTCCCACTGCGCCTGGCTCGAAAGTCAACAACCCACACAGTTCAAATGCGATAACACGCTGAACAGAAAGACTAATTAAAAAAAATAAAAATAAAAAAAAACATATCTAAGTCTTTTCACCAATGGCAGATCCCTCCTTCACTGTCGTCCGCCGTCCAGGTGCCACAGAGACCTACCACTTCCAGATGGCCGTCTGGTTGTTCTCCGACTTTACTCAACGCTGCTGAGAGGGCATCTGCAGGACCGTTGCTCAGCAATCGTCGTGCCCATGCATCAATAGCCGGTTCTCCCGTCTCATCCCGCGCCTGTTTCAAGAATGGGATGAGTGCCGTGCCACCCGTCCCGCGCAATTTCTTGCTGTCTGGTGGAGCAGCTGTAGCCAGGTTCTTGGCCTCGGGACGACGGCCGGGACTAATAGACTGTGATGCGCGTCGCGCACCCCGCGAGGGCACGATAATGTAGCGCGAGACGATCTGGATGTGCTTGTCGCGCAATGCGCGCAGCATGGCCAGACAGGCATCGTAGGCCAGTCGTAACGCAGGGTCGGTCCGCCGGGCCTCAACGTACTCGCGGATGTTGGCCACGGAATCGATATGCTCAAGGAACCGGCGGTGCGGCCCAGGCATGTATGCGCGCATCTCGTGGATAAAACCGTGTCGTGATTTCGGGCCATCGTCATTCGTAGCTTGGTCGTTGCGGGATACCCCCGTTGGTCGATGCTCCACTCCAAGGATGATGTCGAAGAACTGAATCAGCGAGCTTTGCGCATTGCTTCCACCGCCGTATTGGCGGTATTCCGGGACGCCATGGCCGTCATCGTACAACAATCCCTTGGGCAGTCCGGCATCGGCCATGTTCTTGCTGCCAGCCAGATATGGTCGGATACGGTGGTAGAAGATGTACGGATCACAGTTGTCGTACATGCGCTGCAGCAATCCGCCAATCTCATCCAACATTTCTGCCAATCGTTCCAAGCAGTCGGTTACCACGCGGCTGTCCCCTACTCGCGCAGCCGCAATAGCCCGCAGCATCAGTGGAATGGACGGGGCGCCTCGGGCCTCGATGGCGACCGAGACTAGGTAAAACCATTGTTCGTCGAGGGATCCGGTGAAGGTATGCAGACACGCAAGATTATCCAGGTCGTCGGCTGGCTCGTCGGGAAATATCGGCTTGTAGTTCCAGAGACACACGCCCGCGTATGTCGCCACAGGGGGTACTTCCAGGTGCTCACAGACTTCGAATAGAGGCACCGTTAGTTGAGGAGGAATTTTCTATTCACCATTAGCATCTCGATTTCCATCTGTTCAAAATTATCATACCTCCGCAGGCCGGTCGCCACTCCACACATATCCGTGTAAAATGAAAACCAACACAACATATGCCCTCCGCCATTCTGCATCCGTGTGTAGATGTGAAGTTGAGAGAACGGGCAGGCGATCCACCATCGACCGCACACGTCTGCTCAAAATGAGCGGCTGCAGATTCTGGACGATGGCCTCCCACTTGGCGTAATATGGGTCTGGCAGAACTCCCAGGGGCGGCTCCGGGGAGAGGAAGCCATGGCCTGGTGAGATGCCGTAGTCGGTCGGCGAGGGAATTGGAGGCAGCATGTCGGGAGAAGGAAAAAAAAAGAGAAGGAAGAGAAGGATAGAGAAATGGCGAGGGCGACGGAAATGGCAAGAGACGGCACGTGCCCCGTCAGTCGTCGCCACCGGTCATGGATCAGATCAGTGAGGATAAGATGAGATGGGAGAGTGATAACGATGAAAACAGGGAGTGATGGAAGAGAGAACACAATAGGAGAGAGAACACAATGGAATAGTTTAGTCGTGTCCGGGGAAACCTTCTCTTATTTGGGTCCGGAGCAGAACGGAAGCGGGCGAAGATGGGAAAACGTTAATTATTTATCAATCATGTATTTCTAAGCCGGAGGTATCGGCCGGTGGGAGGGGGGAAAATTTCCTATAGGCTTGGGCCCAACTCTGACAGCGGGTTATTACATATTGTTGGTTAGGTCCGATATAGGACTAGAATAAGATAGTAGTGGTGTCGTCCAGTTAGTCTCTCGTTCGGGTCTGCGGTGAACGGATGATCGACACCGGGCGGTGCTCGATCGGGAAAATGATGTTACTGGGGTATGGACGAACAACCGAGGATGAAGTAATAAATGGCAATTTGGGATTCATTCTGTACAGGAATTCGGGCAATGCATGAGGGGTGTGGCTGGTAGTTGCTATTTATTACAGAATCCAACGCCGAACGGGAGAGGTTGCTTTTTCTCGAGAATCAAATCAGTGCTGGCTCCACTCGATCGTGTTCAGATCAATGCCCTCTTGCACCAGCTCCCACAGCGGGCTCAGTTCCCGTAGGAAGTGCACGCGTTCCTGCACCGCCTTGAGCACGTAGTCAATCTCCGCGTCGGACGTGAATCGCCCAATGCCGAACCGGATGCTGCTGTGCGCGCTCTCGTCGCTGCTGCCCAGGGCACGCAACACGTAGCTAGGCTCCAGCGAGGCCGAGGTGCAGGCGCTGCCCGAGGACAGTGCAATGTCCTTCAGTGCCATGAGCAGGGACTCACCCTCCACGTAGGCAAACGAAATGTTCACGCAACCGGGGTAGTGGTGTTCGGGGTCGCCATTCAGCGTGGTGTGCTCCATGGACAACAGTCCCTCGCTCAGACGTTTCGACAGGCGCTCGATGTGCTTGGTGTCGTACTAGAATGACTGTCAGTATGGGCTGATTCGAGGCTTTACAACAAGCATTTTTGGTCCATAGCTCATCACCCCTGCGTTTTGCTTCACCGACGCTGGACATATACCCGAAGGGTATGAAGCTACCGCCCACACATCTCGGCTATACTTTTGCAGTGTATAATCACGGCTAACAAGATAAAAGAATCGAACTTACTTCCATATCCTGACTGGCGAGTCGGCATGCCTCGCCGAACCCCACAATCAGATGCGGCGCCAGCGTTCCACTGCGCAGGCCGCGCTCCTGGCCACCGCCGGAGATGATAGGGTCAATACGAACACGAGGGCGACGACGGACGTAGCACGCGCCCATGCCCTTGGGGCCGTAAATCTTGTGGCTGGAGATGGACATCAAGTCGATGTTGAGCTTGTTCACATCCAACGGGATCTTGCCGAACGCCTGCGCGCCATCAGTGTGGAAGAAGACCTTCTTCGACCGGCACAGCCGACCAATCTCCTCCAGGGGCTGGATGACACCAATCTCGTTGTTCACGGCCATGACGCTGACGATGCAGGTCTCCGGGCGCAAGGCAGCCTCCAGGTCCTCCATGCGGATCAGCCCGTTGTTCTGGACGGGCAGATAGGTCACCTCAAAGCCCTCATCCTGCAGGTGACGACAACTGTCGAGCACGCACTTGTGCTCGGTCTGGGTGGTGATGATGTGCTTCTTCTTGCCAGAGCGACCGAAAAACCGCGCCACGCCCTTCAAGCTCATATTGTTGCTCTCCGTCGCGCCGCTGGTGAAAATAATCTCCTTGGGGTCGGCTCCAATCAGGTTGGCGACGTGCTCGCGCGCCTTTTCCACTGCCTTGTCCGATTCCCAACCGTAGGCGTGCGTGCGCGAGTGCGGGTTGCCGTAGATGCCGGTGAGGTAGGGGAGCATGGCGTCGAGAACACGAGGATCGAGTGGGGTGGTTGCTTGCATATCGAGATAGATGGGCCGGGTGCCCTGGTCCATGACAGTGGCCTGCTTCAGGATGCCAGCCGAGGGACTCATGGCGGCATCCCCGGAGACCGCCGACCCGGGCAAGTCGACATTCTGGGGCGCGATGCCGGCCTTCTTCATAAACGACTTCTGCTCCTCCTTGATGGCGGTCTCAACGTTGACCTGGGCCTGTCCGGCCTTGGTCTCGGTCACATAGGACCGGTTGGTAGCGCGGTGCATTGCGGTGGCAACGGGTCGGGAGAAGGGCGCTCTTTGGCCGGACGAGGCCAGACGCCGGGAGCAGGCGCGAGATGCCTGCCTCCAGGCAGCGGGAGCGCTCGACATGATGTAGATGATGATTGATGATGTTGTTGTATGGGATGTGTCGAGGGGATGACTAGAAGACACCGGACCGGGCTTTTGGTTATGTTATCTGATCTCGGCTCGGGGTTTTCTTCCCTGGTTAGTCCGGTGGGTGTGATGCCTGAGGCAGCAACGGGTCATAGTAGTTACCTGTACCGTCCCTAGGCACCGACCACTCCGAGCAGGGTAAAGCAGCAAGGACCTCGCACAGTTAGGGAAGTAGTATGGTCAGGCTGCAAGGATCGTGATAATAATAATAATGGCCCAATCACCTATTCCGCTGCCTATTATACTTACACGAGTCCATATTATTTGATCGCTGCGCCACAACCTTCCGAGTCCCGCCACAGGCATCATCGTCGCATCCCAGCAAAAAGTCTTATGTCATAGAAGGGATCGCCAACTTTTCTCTTGCTTCCTTCCCTTCCGCCTTCACACTCTCACACACTCTCACTCCCACACTCACCTCCCGTCACCATGAGTTTCAAGGGCTTCCAAAAGGGCCTCGCGCGCGCCCCGCAGCAGTTCAAGGTCAAGTTCAACATCGGCGAGCATTCCTCAGATCCCGTCTACTCCGACGCCGAGCGCCGCTTCCAGGAGCTTGAGACCGAGACCAAGAAGCTACACGACGAGTCCAAGAAGTACTTTGACGCCATCAATGGTATGTCCGGCCCTAGATCACACCCTCTCACCTACCACTAACATCCGTCTCCCAGGCATGCTGAACCATCAGATCGGATTCTCCAAAGCCATCGCCGAGCTGTACAAGCCCATCTCCGGACGTGCCTCCGACCCCAACTCCTACAAATTCGAGGGCAACCCCGAGGGCATCCAGGCCTGCGAAGATTACGAGACCATCGTGCGCGAGCTGCAGGAGGCGCTCGCCCCGGAGCTGGAGCTCATCGACAGCCGGATCATCAACCCGGCTGACCAGCTGCTCGAGGTGATCAAGGTGATCCGCAAAGTCGCCGTCAAGCGCGACCACAAGAAACTCGATTACGACCGCCACACGGCCTCCCTGAAGAAGCTGGAGGAAAAGAAGGACAAATCTCTCAAGGATGAAAAGGCGCTGTACAAGGCCGAGAATGACGTCGAGCAAGCAACGCAGGAGTACAACTACTACAACGATCTGCTGAAGGAGGAGCTGCCCAAGCTGTTTACCCTCGAAGCCGAGTTCATCCGCCCACTGTTCCAGTCCTTCTACTATATGCAACTTAACGTCTTCTACACCCTGCACGAGCGCATGCAGGGCATGCAAATCCCCTACTTTAACCTGGACTTGGATGTCGAGGAGGCCTTTGAGCAGAAGCGCGGCGACGTGAAGGAGCGTACCGAGGCCCTCAGCATCGTCCACTTCAAAACTAAGGGTACCGTTCGTCGTTCGGACTCCAAGCTCAAGCCTGGGCTGCGTGGGTCGGACAGCAAGAGCTCGATGAACCGTGCCCGCTCTTCCTCCAATACCGGAAGTCCTCCGCCGCCGTACTCGTCTGCTGTCAGCCCCAACAGTCCTTCCGGTACCTTTTCCGACGCAGCCAAGAGCAAGGGTGCTCCGCCGCCACCACGGGCGAAACCCTCGCATCTCAGCCAGCACCCGGCCGAGACCGTGACTGCATTGTATGACTACGAGGCCCAGGCTCATGGAGACCTTGGTTTTTCTGCCGGTGATGTGATTGAGATTGTTCACCGTACGGATAATCAGAACGAGTGGTGGACGGGTCGGGTCGATGGCCGCGAGGGCCAGTTTCCAGGTGAGTATGCAGCCAACCTCTCTTCAAATTCGCCAGCTAATGATTTCCTTCAGCCAACTACGTGCAATTGCATTAGCATCGGGTATTGCGGTTCTTTCTTTCAGGTTTTTATTCTATCCTTTCTTTCTTTCCTCTGGGCTGCTTCCGGTACATGTGCTGTTATACATAGAGCGTTTATCTGTAAATATTCCACCATTCTTAATTCGATTCACTGCCTGAGCTCGGCTCTACCACCTATCACCTTCTGTCCCAAATACCGACGACTTGAGACGAAAGCTCTCCTTACCCTGTCGCACCTCATCCATTCCCGTCTTGCCTCCAGACGCCTCGTTTGGCGACACAGGGACATCAGATACAGTATACACCGCTAATATTCTACGAATACCATGACATAAATGGCACAAGAAGCGAAATTTGCGTGTATTAACTAACTATGCGATTGCAGTCTCGCCTGTGCCGGACGCGATCCAGAGATCTCCGAGTACAAAAGGAAAAACCCTCGGAGATAGAGCAAAGACAAATGGAACGAAGTGTAATAAGCCTGGGTCTCGACCACTGGAATGAAAGAAGAAACAAGGACGGTGCAAGCCAGATACAACCAATCTATGCTACAGATCCATACCGCTCTTTTTATCAAACCACATCATGGTTCCTGCGAACGCTCTCAATCGAGATGTCATGCTCAACAGCAATCCCATACTGGATCTCTGAATCCGCCGACTTGGCGCTCAACGGCTGGTCCGAGTAGCACAGGGTCTGCGTCGCGGTGCTGCCGGACCTATCCGATTCCGTGAGTTTGCGGGGCACGGTAGTGGCGGTCGTGTTCGTGTGGGCGGTAACACCAAATGCCAGAGCCTGCCACAGGTTGCGACGGCCATGGTGATGATTGCCCGTGCGGCGACTATGATGGTCGAGGGTAGCACCGGCCCAGATTGAGGAAAGAGGAAGTGAAATGGTGACGAGGGTGAGGACGTTGGAGGACAGCTCAGGGACGGTGATGGCGTATTGCAGGATCGAGAAGATGGCCGGCACCGCGAGGGTCTGGCAGCCCATGACGAAAATGGCCTTCATGGGCCCGAAATCACGCACGCCCAGGCGGTTACGCTGCTTGATAGCGTAGCCCAGCTTGGTGACAAACACCGCGCAGAAGAAGCAGATGCTGATCGTGATGACGATGTTGGTCGCGCTCTCCAACCACCAGACTGGTGCGGTGCTGGCTGCCATCATAATGTACACCGAGTTCTCGACCATCCATCCAATGCGGAATCCAATCGGCACCAGTGCCATCAGAATCGACACGCCCAGAAGAGCACGGCGGTAGCGACGGCGCAAAGTCGCGCACACGACCTGGACTTGCATGACCAGCGAAACCTGAACACAGATCACCAGCAACGTCTCGAAGACGACGGAGATGATAGCAATGGCGTATGCGCTGGGTGGGACGGCAGAGTAGTCATAGGAGAAGTAGGGATAGACCTTCTCGAAGCCGGTCGAGAAGTGAATCGTCTCGAAGAGCAAACGAAGGATGTTGAATATCAGCGCTAGGCCGTTCAGCAGGAACACTGCGGAGCTACGTTTCTCGGGCCGGGTTAACAGCAACAAAATGACCAGCAGCACGATGGAAGCGCCCAGCTGGGAACCATAGTTGATACAGACGCGCACATTGTACTGGACGAACTCGTCCAGCATGCCGATCGGCACGGGGAACGAGGTGCCATTGGCGTAGTGGAAGTAGACGTTCTGCGTGTACGGGTCGATCATGTTGCCGAGCTTCGAGGAAGAAATCACAAAGGGAAATAAGAAAGAAAAGGATAGATGCAGCAGGATCAAGCAAACGGCATCCGGTTAGGATAAGAGATCTGTATAAGAACAGACCGCATGTCGCGCGACGCGGGCAGGTCTCGGAGGGGAGGTGTAGTAGGCATGGTGAGTGAATGAGCCGAGACAGACAATGTATATGGGAGTCTTGAGGTCAACGATTCAATTTCAGACAAAGGAGAGTCTCGCTTTTGTGGCGAAGGTAATAGCGTGGATTGTGGTGAGGGAGAACAATACGAAGGCTTCGGGAGAACAATATCAAGACGGGAAGGACAAAGCCACACGTCGGGGGCCCCCCAGACAGGTTCCCGCGGGCAGAGGTGAAGAGACGGGTCTAGCCACCCATAGCTCGTGTTGTTCGAGGGGGGATAGCGGTAGGTCTGTCCTCGGTTGGAGAGCCAGTCGAGTTGGTCCTTCATGGTATCGGGTCACGTGGTGAGGGTTGACTCGGAGGCTATTGCCTCACCGTGCAGATATGGCCAACTCTAGGGATAATGAATAATGGAAGCAGCTTCGGACTTCGAGTCTATCCCCGGCCTCGGAATTGGGTGATACGAAATATGATATGATGGGCGAGGACCCGTAGTGGGGGGCGGACCTATAGATCACCGATATATATATTTCAGGACTGAATCTGCGAATCACCAGCAGTGACCGGGGCGAAGCGAGGTTCATACATCTTGTTCATGTGAATAAAATCCACCAGCATGAGAGATCACACAATCATCAACGCGATCGTGATGCGCATAGACGTAACTACCGCCTAGTATACTTCCGCCCTGCGCCAAGCGGTTGCGGGGAAACATAGGCTAGGCATTCGTCCGACCTTCCACTTCCTCCGCAACCCACCATGGCCGTCCCCCAGCGGACGCTGACCTGGCTGTACAGCGTCCTCACCAAGGTGAAAATATATTCTTGCTGCCGTCAGAGCGCACGCTGACTCCTGCAGGACCACTACGACCCCCAACAAACCTACCACGATCCCAATCGCTCCTATCACGACGTTGCCAACGCGCTCGCCCAGTATCCCTCGCTTTCGCCCCGAACCGATGTATATAGTGAGTACCACTGCTCGCGAGAATCATTACCAATGGCCCTAACTCCATCCCCGTTCTAGCCTACGAAAATGGCTTCTCGGCGCTCCTTCTCCACCTCGTGGGCACCTTGCCGGTCGTCTTTCGCGGCACCACCTACCGATTCCCCATCGCAATGTGGATTCCCAATACCTACCCGCGTGACCCCCCGATGGTGTATGTGACGCCAACACAGGACATGGCTGTACGGGTCGGACAACATGTGACGCTGGAAGGGCGCGTCTATCACCACTACCTGGCGCACTGGGCGGAAGCCTGGGAGGTGGGTGCTTTTCGCTGCATGGAGCATCTGTTCAAGACTAACCATGACTACAGAGGTCCACACTTGTCGACTTTCTCTTGATTCTCCGCGAAGTGTTCGCCAAGGAGCCACCGGTTCAGTATAGACAGCAGAGGCCGCCGCAGCCACATCCCGAGCAGACCAACACTCCGCCACCCAGGCCACCTTTACCACCTGGGGTCGGGTCTGCGACAATACAGAACCAGTCGCCGCCGCCACAACCTGCGGCCCAAATCCCTCCACAGCCGCCTCCGAAGCCCGGTGCCGCACTTGAACCGCGAGACCCGCAGCAGCACCAACAACAAGCAGATCTCGCTGAGCGATATCGATCCCCCCCTCCACTCCCGCCAAAGGCACAGCCAGGCAATATGACCCCTTCCAGCCCTGGAATTGCCGCACCTCCGTCGAATGTACCTCTGCCGGGTCATGTAGGCAGTTCGCTGAGCAGCTCTCATCGATTACCGCCGCCATCGACCCAATCGATAGGGCAAACGATGTCGCCTCCGTCGCATCAAGGTTCGGTGTCATACCACCGAAATAGCACCGGCTTTGCCAGCCCCGGCCCCGGACCGAACGTACCAGGTCAATTTCCTTACCAACCAGGCTTTCAAGGTTCCCAGCCAGGCCCGCAAGCTCAGCCAGTCCATCAACCACCGGGTGTGCCTCATCATCCCCCGGGATATCAGCCTCGGCCTCCGCAGCAGCAGCCACCACCGGGGCCCTCCTATCCACAGAATTCTCACTTCCCACCGCATTACCAGCGTCCCCCCTCTGCAGCTCCAGCACCCCAGCCAGACGCCCCAGATCTCCTGACTTCACCGTTCGAGCTTGACCTGCCATCTTTTGCCGCGGGACCCGCGCCGCCGATCCCGCCAAACCCTGAGAAGGATGCACTGCTGCGCGCTGTCTCGCAGGCGTTGGCCGAGACATTAAGCACCAACGCAGCACGATCGGACACAGCGGCTCACTCCCTCGTCTCCCAGTCCCAATCCCTGCACGCAGCGCTGGCCACCTTACAGGGGGAGGTAACGGGACTAAATTCCCTTCATGCAACTTTGCAGTCCAACACCGCAGTCCTGCAACAATCGCTCCACCGTGCCGACGCCGCCATCGCCGATGCAAAGACCCGCTCCGCCTCCGTCTCGACCTCTGTACCTGTATCAAGTTCTACTGCTGCCACAGCTACCGGGGCCCCAACAGGCCTACCGCCCATCGACGAAGTCCTCGTCGCCCCCACGGTGGTAGGCAAACAGCTGTACGATTTGGTGGCTGAGGAACAGGGGATCCAGCAAGCCCTGTACGCTCTACAAGCTGCACTCGTCCGTGGCGTAGTCGGGGTGGATTCCTGGTCGCGACAGACACGCGGTCTAGCTCGTGAAGCGTTCCTGAAACGTGCTCTGATCCGCAAGATTGGGAGAGGGATGGGCTTGGAGAGTCCGGCGTGAGAGAGTGGCCCAGGGATAGAGATTAGATCGTGCTCCTCGTACAAGTATATACCCTTTTTGTGCAGAATGAAAGAATGGGACCCAATTCGATATGTTAGCTGGATCGATCTTCTGGTCATGGAGATGAGATAATGTCCCAGAGTGTAGGTCTGCAGTCTACGAGTCAACTTGAATAATGATCATGCCAAAGATAAATTCCATTTCGGACTCCCGCCTCCACGCATGTCATCACTAACTGTACACGACACGCAGGGTCGACGGAAGTAAAAACAATGACCACCATATGTAAACCAAATCGCGTCCATACATACAAAGAAACACAAGTGGTGTGCGTGTGGGTGGGAAGTGATTTCAACATCAACAACATAGACAACAACAAGGAACAAGCAAAAAGAGATCAAAACCATTGCGCCCGGACCGAAGACACTTGCTCATGAAACCTCATTTGCGTCAGAGAAGGGACTTTCTACCCGCTTTAGGGCCGGCTGGTTGTTTCGGCTTGAGCTCGCGCTGTGTCGGTGGCGGTGACCCAATGTCGATCCGCTCTGACGCTTGGAGCCCGAGGATGTGGCCTCCGTTGGGATGGAGGCCTGGTCATGAAAGGGACCATCGCTTGGAGCCTCGAGTTCCGGGATCGCAGGGGGCGCGGGAGAGGGGGAGTGAGCCGGTGGCCGCACGCGGTAGCCATCCTCTTCATCGGAAGAATTGCCATCAAAGGTGGAAGTGTCGTGAGTAAATTGGTGGCTGGCGGGGGAGCTGTCGCCGGACATAACACCGTTGGACGCTTCGGCCGCTTCGGTCGTGGCGCTGCGGCTCGTGTCGGGCTTGCTTTCTTTCTTCTTCAGCGAGGCGCCGCGCACCATCACGGGCTTGGCCATCACAGTGCGCGCGACAATTGAGCTGCTCGAGTTCCCGGCAGGTCCCAAAGTGCCGGAAGAACCAATAGCATCGGCCTTGGCCAATTGAGCTGGCGTGATGGCCGGCACGGCGGGAGCGTCGGACGGTGTCACTACCACCGGCGTCGCATTGCCTGGTGCGTTCAATCCTGGCGTGCTGGGGTTAGACGCGGTGTGAATGCTGACAACGTTGGCACGAGAACGGGCGACCTGCTGCGCCGGCTGTGCGCTGACAATGGCGTCGTTACGATATATGGTCGTGGCGACACTGCTGCGCAGAGTCGGAGAGAAACTCTGGTGGCCGGTGGCCTGAGTCCAGGCCGAGTCGCGCAGATCACCGGGCATGAAGAAGTGCTGGTCGGGCGTAGCACCGGGCAGTGGAGGAACCGGAGGCACGAGCGTGGACGGCGTCTCGGGGGAGAACGATTGGTGACCCCGGGGATGTAGGCGATCTGGATGACGTTCGAAGCGCGTGTGAGCACAGTCGAGGCGATCGACTGCACGGACTTGCGCTGATTCCGTCGAGCGTCGAAGTCGCTGTTCTTTTCCGACTCGCGCTCCTGGCGCTTCTTGCGGATGACAAACCACCAAATCAGAAACACGATGATACCCACGGCGACCACGCCTGCGATCACACCGCCGGCGATGGCGCCGGTATCAGAGCCACCGCTGCTGGAGTTTGACGAACTGCCGGAGGACGTGGAATCGGACCCAGGGATCTTTTGGCAATACGAGCTTGCACATTCGGTGCATGTTCGAATGATCTGCTGGCACTGCGTGCCCTCGGGACAGGCGGGACATGGCGGAGCCGATGTTGGGCAGGGCTTGCACTTGTCGACGGAACGGCGCGTGAGGCCTGCATAGATTCATCGGGTTAGCGGTCGGGGGGCCATGGAGTGGAGACGGGCAATCGGGGGCCCATACCATTCAGCGTTAAAAAGTCGCGATAAACCGGTTCCAGCAGCATGACGGGTGATAGAAGAGAGACGAAAATACGACAGAGGATATAGATATATGCAAGAGAAAGGACCGATCAACGGTGTAGTGAATGTGCGGAAAACAAGTCGAAGAGAGATGTAGTGAAAAAAAGGAGTGTGGGAGGCTCAATCGGCGTCAAGTCGAGAGCGTCCAGGCAAGATCATCAACTCCGAGCCGCAAGACAGGGCGTCGGATTGGGGAGAGGGAAAACGAGCGTCGGGGTGGAAGGGAGAAGCGTCGGCAGAGAAGAAGGGGGTTTAGCGGAGGGTCATGGTCTGCGACCGTGGGTAGGGGTGGAGACGGGAAGGGTCGAGTGCGGTCGGATCAGGGGAAGCGACTGATAGCACCGTGCCGACAGGTGGGATGTAGAGGATGGATGGGAGCTTGACGGGAAGGAGAAGAAGAAGAAGAAGAAGAGAAGAGAAGAGAAGAGGAGAGGGAAGAGAAGGAAGGACGAGTTGGGCGTCGAGCGAGTCAGTGGGTTTTCTCCTGATGGGAAAAGAGGAGGTGCGGCAATCAGCACGGGCTGGGCTTAGCACCACGACCCGCTGGTTTCTAACAATAGGTCGCACCGGCACGGTACATAGTCTCGGAGGATGAGGGTATCGACTACGGTACGAGCATGGTCTATTTTAGACGGGCCTGCCTCCTCTCATCCTCCTATTCTACCCTGTTTGCCTCTACTCTTCACCTCTTCTTGGATGTGGCAGCAACCCAGCCGGGGCCGTGGCCGTGGAGGGTCGACGGTCTGGACTCCCGGATTATCATGGGCCCGAAATTAATCTAGCGGACCTGAGTCAGCCAGATCAGGTGACCTCAGCCGATGTCCATCAAGCACCAAAGAGTGGGGGGTTGTCTCACCCCGGCAAGGCTGAGCGGACACTAGACATGGCGCTGGGTGGCGGGCCCGTCGGCGCCCGGCAGGATTTGCTGAGACAGATTGTCTGTGGTTGGGTGGTGACATGCCATCGGATCTGAAGAATGCGGGTGAGTTGGCGCGTTTCACTAGCGGGTGGTGGAGCGGGACCGAGGGAGCTAGTGTCGCAAAGACGAGAGAAAAGACCACGAGAAAGAAAGGACTCGGAAGAAAGAGGATGGCCAGGGTAAACACGAAGAGGAACGAGGATAAACAATCATATTGATGATTCCATGCTGGTGGCGAGAGAATGGTGGTTGTCCAGCAAAGAGTGATCCGCGGATTCCAACGCGCTCCCAGTGGCCAGTCAGACTGGCCCTGCTCGGGTCCAGCCTAGATCGGAGGCACCTTATTGTCCCTGACCCAAGGGATGGCCGGCATGCTTATTGTATCATTACTGGGCACCACCGATGTTATTCGGTGGGAGGAACGGAACAAGTGAAGGCGAACAAGACAGAGAGAGGGAGGAAAAAAAAAAAGAGGCACTAACCCGTGTCGAGACAAGCCCTGTCTATTTTTGCTGCGACTCAGCCATACGATCTAGTTTCACTTTATCCTCCTCCTTTTTCTTTCTTTCTCCCTGTCCTCACCCTCTTCTCTTCTTCCCCCCGTCCCCATCCCATCCCATCCCATCCCTCTCTCTCTATCCCATCCTTTTGCTGGCCTTGCCTCACTCCCCGTGGGAAATCCTCCCTTGCCCATCGTTCGCTCGCTCATCCCTGGGTTTGAGGATTATTCCCTGCATGCTCCTTGTTTCCCCGATACCCCTCTTCTGCTGCACTTGATTTTTTTTTCCCCTGCTTCGATTCACCGTTCCCACACCTAAATCATGGCCTATCAGGGCTCGGGCGCGCACTCGCCTGGCTACGACGGCAACCACCCCAACGCGCCGGTAAGAGTGGAGTGTCCGCACAGGACGGCCATCGCTAACCAGACCAGTATCGCGAGGACGAGGATGCCGCACACGGTCTGCTGTCCCATCAGCAACAGGGCCCCTTTGCCACACCTTTCGACGACCCCCACTCGCGCGGTGTCTCCCCCGTACGACCAGCCTCAGGCTACAGCTTGACTGAGACCTACGCCTCAGATGCCGCACCCGCTTACCACGACCCCTATGCCGCAGGCTCAGTGTACTCGGGCCAATCGGACAATCCCGCAGCGGTCTTTGGTGTTCCGGGTCGCGTTGCGTCGCCCTATGCTCGCAGCGAGACCTCGTCGGTCGAAGCCTGGCGCCAGCGACAAGCACCAGGTGGCGGTCCTGGCAGTAGCAGCGGTGGTGGTGGGAACCTGCGCCGATACGCGACGCGAAAAGTCAAGCTGGTGCAAGGCTCCGTGCTGAGTGTGGATTATCCTGTCCCCAGCGCTATTCAGAATGCCATCCAAGCCAGATACCGCAACGACCTGGAGGGCGGTAGCGAGGAGTTTACACACATGCGATGTAGGTGATTAACATTTCGAACACACAGGACAACGCCCACTAACCCGCGGTTCTTAGACACTGCGGCGACCTGCGATCCGAATGAGTTCACCCTACACAATGGTTACAATCTGCGGCCGGCCATGTACAACCGCCACACCGAGCTGCTGATTGCCATCACCTACTACAACGAAGACAAGACCCTCACAGCGCGCACACTCCATGGTGTGATGCAAAACATCCGCGACATTGTCAACCTGAAGAAATCCGAATTCTGGAACAAGGGCGGACCCGCTTGGCAGAAGATCGTCGTGGCCTTGGTGTTCGATGGAATCGATCCCTGCGACAAGGATGTCCTGGATGTCCTGGCAACCGTTGGTGTTTACCAAGATGGTGTTATGAAGCGTGACGTTGATGGCAAGGAGACTGTGGCCCATGTGGTAAGTGGATCGACAAGACCCATCAGAACTCCACTAACGGCCGCATCTAGTTCGAGTACACGACCCAGTTGTCCGTGACCCCAACCCAACAGCTCATCCGGCCCACCGACGATGGCCCGAGCACACTCCCTCCCGTGCAGATGATGTTCTGTCTGAAGCAGAAGAACAGCAAGAAGATCAACTCCCACCGCTGGTTGTTCAACGCCTTTGGTCGGATTCTGAACCCAGAGATCTGTATTCTGCTGGATGCTGGTACAAAACCTGGCTCCAAGTCGTTGCTGTATCTCTGGGAGGCCTTCTACAATGACAAGGATCTCGGTGGTGCCTGCGGTGAGATCCATGCCATGCTGGGCAAGGGATGGCGAAACTTGGTCAACCCTCTGGTGGCAGCCCAGAATTTTGAGTACAAAATCAGTAACATTCTCGACAAGCCTCTGGAGAGTTCTTTTGGCTACGTGAGTGTGTTGCCTGGTGCCTTCTCTGCTTATCGGTTCCGTGCGATCATGGGTCGCCCCCTGGAACAATATTTCCACGGTGACCACACGCTGTCCAAGCAGCTGGGCAAGAAGGGTATTGAGGGCATGAATATCTTCAAGAAGAACATGTTCTTGGCCGAGGACCGCATTCTGTGTTTCGAGCTGGTTGCCAAGGCAGGCTCGAAATGGCATCTGTCGTACGTCAAGGCCTCCAAGGCCGAAACGGACGTACCCGAGGGTGCTCCCGAATTTATCTCGCAGCGTCGTCGTTGGCTGAACGGTTCCTTTGCCGCCGGCATCTACTCCCTGATGCACTTTGGCCGCATGTATAAGAGCGGACACAACATCATCCGTATGTTCTTCCTGCACATCCAGATGTTGTACAACATCTTCAACACCATCCTCACATGGTTTTCGCTGGCCTCGTACTGGCTGACCACCACCGTCATTATCGATCTCGTCGGCACCCCCAGCCCCGACAACAACAATACTGCCTTCCCCTTTGGCACGGAGGCCACGCCCATTGTCAACACCGTCGTCAAGTACGCGTACCTGGGTTTCTTGCTGCTGCAATTTATTCTCGCGCTCGGCAATCGGCCCAAGGGCTCCAAGTTTTCGTACTTGGCCTCCTTCGTCGCATTTGGTATCATTCAGCTCTACATCATCGTTGACTCGATGTACCTCGTGGTTCGCGCGTTCACCGGCAACGCTCCCATGGACTTTGTGACCAACAAGGGCATCGGCGCGTTCCTCAGCTCGTTCTTTGGGTCGACCGGTGCCGGTATCATTATCATTGCCTTGGCAGCCACTTTTGGTCTGTACTTTGTGGCCTCGTTCATGTACGCGGACCCGTGGCACATGTTCACGTCCTTCCCCCAATACCTCATGGTGCAGTCGTCCTACATCAACATTCTCAATGTGTATGCCTTCAGCAACTGGCACGATGTGTCATGGGGTACCAAGGGCTCTGACAAGGCTGATGCACTGCCGTCTGCCAAGACAACCAAGGATGAGGGCAGCAAGGACGCCGTGATTGAGGAGATCGACAAGCCGCAGGCGGATATCGACAGCCAGTTCGAGACGACGGTCAAGCGCGCGCTGACTCCATACGTGGCGCCGGTGGCGCACGAGGAGAAGAGCTTGGAGGATTCGTACAAGAGTTTCCGAACGCGCCTGGTCACCTTTTGGATTTTCAGCAATGCTTTCCTCGCCGTGTGCATCACCAGCGAGGCCGCCAACAAGTTTGGTTTTACGGTATGTTCTTTCTTCTTCTCCCATGATTCCACCCACTAACACCCATTCTAGAACTCGGCCACCAAGCGGACCGCGCGTTTCTTCCAGGCCCTCCTGTGGTGTAACGCTGTTGTGGCGCTGTTCCGTTTCACGGGTGCTGTCTGGTTCCTAGGCCGCACTGGTATTAAGTGCTGCTTCGCCCGGCGGTAGAGTGGATAGCCGCGCAGCCTCGGCGGGTTAATGGGATGATGGCGCTTTTCTCTTTTTTGTCACGAACCACTACTCTTGGCATGCCTACTTTTTGTTTTCTGTTTTCTTTGCGACATGTATTCTAACTAAAGATGTCCGTCCCTTTTTTTCCTTGCGTGTTTTTTTTCCTTTCTCTCTTTTGGGATTCTTACGAGTATGTCCGGTCCGCGGGGATGGTCAGCATCCCCGGGCTAGATTTGTCCAGCGATGCAAAGGGAAGCATTCGGGGCGCAATACATGAGGAGTGAACATGGGTTTTGTTTCTTGTAGTCGTATTAAGTCTCGTCGTGAGTACTTCCATAGGTACTTACCTAACATGGACATGGATTACTCATAGCGGTGGCCAAGGCGGAGATGCAATCATCGCGATAACCCCCGCCAGCATCCTTCTTTTCTGCCCCTTCAACTCCCCCATTCTTCCTCCATCCCAGCCCGGTTGGATCTTCATTCTCATCCAGCCACCTCTCGGCCCGTGATTCTGTTTTCCCGCTTCATTCCACCAGGTGGGGTGGCGACTCGCCCAAGATGTTGAAAATATGGTCGATGGTATGTATGGCGCCCAGCCATCTTCTGGCTCGAACACGAAGAAATGCTTACCCCCAGTGCAGAAGCAGCAACAGCAGCAGGCTGAAAATGCCGATGGCGGTGCGGGAAAGAAAAAGAAGAAGGTCACGGCGGCGCAGTTGCGCGTGCAGCGAGGTTGGTTCCCCAGACCTCTCGCTCTGCTCTCTCTCTGGTCTCTTCTCACTCGACCACCGAGCCAACCCAAAGAGCCGAAGAGTGATTGATGATGGCTAATACTAATAACCCACAGACCTCCAAGAACTCACGCTGGGCAGCACGATGAAAATGTCCTTCCCCAACCCTGACGACATCCTCAACTTCACCCTGACCATCGAGCCGGACGAGGGCATGTACAAGGGCGGCGTCTTCCACTTCAGTTTCGCCGTCAACCAGAATTTCCCGCACGATCCGCCCAAGGTCAAGTGCACGCAGAAGATCTACCATCCCAACATCGACCTGGAGGGCAACGTGTGTCTGAACATTCTACGGGAGGACTGGAAGCCCGTTTTGAATCTCAACGCCGTCATCGTGGGCATGCAGGTGCGTTTCCTTTCCTCTTTCGGTCCTGTCTCACTACCTGACTGTGTTCCGCCAACGTATGTAGTTCCTCTTCCTCGAACCCAACGCCTCCGATCCCTTGAACAAAGAAGCGGCAGATGACCTCCGCACGAACCGGGACACTTTCAAACGGAATGTTCGCTCCTCCATGGCCGGCGGGTCCGTCCGAAGCGTCTCGTATGAGCGGGTGCTGCGGTAGAGGAAAGATTGCAGGAATTGATCCCAACTGGCTGGCTCGAGTATGACCAAGTGAGAAATACGGGTGGACGATCTACGGTGCAGCGTTTTCGGGACGCCGCGGGAGGGAGGATTACTACAAACGGTTTCGCGCGTCGGCACGCTGGTGTGCCACGTACATATATCGGCGTAATTAGCGACTGAATTCAATAGATCTGATTCAATCAATCTGGACCCGATGGGAGGATAGTTGATGTAGCAAATGCTCTGCCAAACACACGAGATAACTGAATCCAAGACTCAAATTGTTCGACCACTACAGGGCGTATATGTACAATCGATTCCAGACCAAGCCCTCCGGACTCATACACGACCCGTCGATCCAACTATCCTGCGGAATACAAGCACGATGGCAATTCCTCAGTGGCGTTGCTTTTTTCTGGATACATTTCAAACAAAGGAAAAGAGAGTGATGATGCCGACGGGCACAGAGGAAAGACGATCAGTGCCGGGGAGCCGATTTATGCCCGCTGGGCGGCGCGCTCCGTCTCCAGACGGGCGTAGTAGGAGTCGCGGGCACGGACACGGGGGAGGTGGTAGCCTGACACGAGAGAATGTTAGAGGTGGATGCGTATAGTGGGTTGAAGCATGTCTACTACGTACCGTACCACCAGAGGTAGCCGAAGGTGGTGCCGAAACCTGATGGAATCGTGGTTAGTCAATTGCTCTGGTTGCATAGATGTCCACCCTCTCAATGGAATTGCGATCGATGTTCAATGGTCGGTCCTACCCCCACGAGGGAATATGACCACCACGCCAGGACGCATAACCAGACGACTCACCAAAAGCGGTGCTCAGGTCCAGAACCAGACCTCGGCGAAGCATCTGCATCAAGCCCAAAACGTCAGTCTACTGCTCAGATCCTCGTCGGTGATCCAACCAGCCCGCTCGGGCGCAGCCGGAAGGGGGGACAGGGAACACCTACGCCGGTGATGGGGGGATAGCAGTGGGCATTGTGACGGATCGATGTCGCCAGTCGGTTCTCAAGGAGACAATTGACCGGGAAGGGATAGCTCTTCGACTGCCGGATGTGTTGGTTGGGTGGTGGTGGAGGGGAGAGGAGAGCGAGAGATGAATGACAGAAAGAGTGAGGTGAAGTCGAAGCTTGCGGGTTAAGCGAGGCGCCGGATTGGTCGATGGGGCCACCGCCTACAGCACAGCCAGAGTGAAGGAACTGCGTGAACTATAATGATTGAGGGTATAGTTATGATTATGATTATGATGCTTGACAGATTTGTTTTGAGGATGGTCAATTTCACCTCCTTCAATGCTTCCTGGTTTTCGGTTCTGGTCAAGAGAGAAGAAAGTCTCTGCCCGAGGCACTCACACGTGACCCCATCCTGTCTTGCCGCAACATTGGAGAGCTTCCCCTTCACCCTGTGAACACATCGGCCATGGCATCTTCAGGGCCCTCCCTCAAGCGGCCATCCTCCTCGATGGGTCCTCACGACAACAAACGTCCGAAACAATACTACCATCACCACCACCGCTTGCAGGATCCCTTCACGGTGCCGCCGACGACTGAGCCCGCCGTGCAGGATGACGCCAGTATCGACCTTCTCATGAACCGCGCGATGGGGCAGCTCCTGCGGGACTCGGGCTTTGACATGGCACATCCTGCCGCGCTGGCGAGCTTGCGCAGCGCCACAGAGGAGTGTATGTGATGGGCAACAAGGCGTTCATCCGACCAAGAACTGACGGGTCTTTCTAGATCTCTTTCGATTCACAGCCTATGTCCGCCAATCCATGGCATCTTCCCGACGGACTCAACCCATCCCTCAAGATTTCGAACTTGCCTTGAAGCGCCTCCGCCTCCGCATCGACGACCTTCACCCTTATCTCAAAGCGCAACCACCTGCAGCACCGGCAGCTCCGCTACTGCCCTCCCCTCCGCCCGAGGATGAGGGGATACGCAAGTTCCCATTCCTGAGCTCGCTCAGCGGCGAAGACGACCGCGCCACCCGCTCCTACATCCCCGAGAACTTCCCAGACTTCCCCAGCAAACACACCTACTCCGCGACAGCGGTCTTCACCGAACGCGAAAGCGACACTCGCAAGATCCGCGAGCGCGCTACCGAAGATGGACGTCACGGAGAAGAAGCGCTGCGCAAGTTGGCACGCGCCGCGTTCCGCGACAATCAAGTCAATTCGACGGGTAACAAGAAGCTCTGGGGTCGGCGGATGGAGAGCATGGAGGGCATGTTTGAGAAGACCGTCAAGGGTGTGATGAAGAAAGCGCAGAAAGATTCTCTGGTTTCTTCCAACGTCCCCGGTGCACTAAGCATGGCTATGGATATTGACTCGACGCCAGTTCCGGCGGAGGCCGATTCCAAGATTCGGTCCAAGGTATCGTTGAATCTAGAGCTGGGCCCAATTGTCAACTGTGAACGAGACTTTTGGCGGCGGACGACGTCGGCAAGTGCACGACGAGTAGAGGATAAGGAGCCGCAGCTGACGGCCAGTGTTGAGCCCTTTGAGACTATTGGACTTTGAGACTACTCAAGGTACATCATATTGGGACGCTTCGCATGGAAAAAGGTTGGCGTTTTTTGTGAGATTCGTTTGGCGCTTTGTGTACGATTCAGGAGCATGATTTAGGAGTTAGGAGATACCCCAGGCAGTGACAAGCATAATCATTCCGTTTTGAATTGTAAAAGAAAAAAAAAGACCTTCCACGTGGAACTCCGCCCAATGCAATTGATAGTCCCCAAATCACTTTCTCCTTTCGGCCTCCCGTTTATGCGCCGCCTCTTCCTCCGCTATTCGCAGTGGTTCCCACGAGGTTGTCTCGACCGTCAATCCGCCAGCACATCTGCAGCCTCGTCAGTAATGCCCTTCGTAGTCGACCCAGGAGTTGGTTCCGTAAAGACGTACCGCCGGAATAAGCGCACAACAGGTTTGCAGACAACCGCCCCCGGCTGCGGAATACCATCTTGCGGTGGATTGCACGAGTATTGCATCATCTCCAGCAGCGCACACTCCTTCAAATCGATCGCGGGACCTTTGCGGCGCTTCTCTTGAAAATTGCGGCGGACAGTGTTGACATGGTCAGGGAGGGTTTCGGCGGAGAAGACGGGGACGAGCGGCGCCATTGGTGGTGGTGGTGGTTGAGGAAAGAAGTTGGAGAGCGGAAGATCGCCCGCTTTGGCTTTCTCTTCTACACTTACCTTGGTTTCTGGCTGGGTTCCTCGCCTCACCACACCACGCCATATTATATGATGAGAATTGATATTTCTTTGCCGATACAAGTGATGTGCGATCCTTGATGCTGTTGGCTACTGCCGATTATGGCTGCCAATCTCGGGGCCAGCGCGCTGGCTGATGTGCACCAGGAGGGCCTGGACCAGGTACTGGGATCTGCTCTCCAATGTTGGGTTATTCCTGCGCTGACTTGCGTAGATTCTACATGAGTTGGTGTCTATGTATTCTGACCAGCAACAGCCGCTGGGGGTTCCTGTTCTTGACTCTTTGCTCGAAGTGTTCACATCGAGACCATCACGCGTCTCAGTCGGCGCTCAAGCCCAGTCTGGACAAGCTTCGGATGCATCTCTGCCGGGAGTTGGCGGGCTGCTGCTTCATGCAGATAATGAAAACCAGCCACGAATACAACTGCCCCATTTGCATGGCGACAGTAACCCCGACGCCCGTTCCAGCCGCGGGACCAAGCGACCAGATACGGTCCTGGAGATTTCCAGCAGCTTGTCAGCCGCAGGCAAATCGCACCTGCTATATTACCTAACTGCTCTTGCGATTTTGCCGTCGACGTACGGGGATCTTCCAATAGGCGGCCGGCATGAGGCCGTGGTCTTCATAGATACCGATGGCCGATTCGACGCCGACAGACTACGCACCGTGGCCCGAGAAATTGTACGACAGCGAGTACCCTCAGATGTAGACAATAAGCCGTCGACCGAAGACCTCGAAACGCTTCTGGTTTCTTCCATTCAGCATGTCCATGTCTTTCGGCCGCAGTCCTCTTCGACCCTGCTTGCCACAATATGCGCGTTAGATACCTACCTCTTTGACCTTTCTCAGCATCGCTCTGCTTCCAGGCCATTGCAAATGATTGCCATTGACAGTGTCACGGCATTCTTCTGGCAAGACCGCCTGCGCGAGGAGGCCTCTCGCACCGAGACGATTGGACGTCCCCAGAAAGAAATTGATGGCCTGCGCGAGTCGAAACAATTGTTTTCTCTTTCGGATCTCTATGCCGACCTCGTGAAAGAACTGAAGCAGCTACAGCGTCGCTTTGGCTGTGCAGTGGTCTATACTGCAACAATCCCGGGTGGACGTCCTGCCAATACTAATGACGCTTCTGGCCCATTCGAACAATACATGGCGCGACCATCACTGCGGCCTGCCCTCCCTGCGCCATGGGGCACGTTCCCAGCTCTACGCCTGATCGTTCACCGTAGCCAGGTGCGCCCATTTCCACCTGGGATAAACACACAGGACGCCGAGCGAGAGGCACCGCTGCGGCAGAGTGTGGTCGACCAAGGCAAATTCTCTGCCTGCGTGAATGCATGGGGCAGCGAGGAGTGGCCCCGTCGAGTGGTGGATGGAATTGCTGCCAGAAAAGGTGGGAGGTTTGCCTACTTCGTGAGAGAAACGGGAGTAGAGCTACCTCTGTCATGAAGTGGTTGTGTTCATTATTCGTTTGTAACTACACTTAGCTAAACAGCTTCCCAATGGCTTCCACGGTCGTGTTCCCGCCGCTGAACACGACCGCAACATCCCATCCGTCCTCGCCACCCTCCTGCTCGACTCGCCGTCGGAAGTCCTCGTCAAATAGACAAACCGCCAGCCCGACGACCGCGCTCGGCTCCACCACCACCTTCATCCGCTCCATCACGAGACGCATAGCCGCCTTGATCTGGTTCTCCGACACGGCGAAGACGCCTTCCACCTTCTTCTTGTTCGAAATAACTTCCCAATTGATCAAACCAACCGGCGTACGCAGCCCATCGGCAATTGTCAGCGTGCTCACAGCCTCCACCCGCTGTCCAGCCTGCAGTCCACGCCGACAGTCATCCGCACCCTCGAAGCTGGGCTCGGCGCCAAACACCCGCGTCGTCGGTTTATCTGAAAAGAATGTCGCCACGCCGGAGTTGAGCCCTCCCCCACCAACCGGCGTAATCACGGCGTCCAATGTTCGAGAACCGGTCAGTTCGGCATGTTGCGCCGCAAGCTCCAACCCGGTCGTTCCCTGCCCGCAGATGATATTGAAGTCGTCGTATGGGGGGACGAGGATGGCGTTCGTCTTCGCCTGAATCTCCTCCACGACCGCCTCCCGCTCCACGCTCGTGGAGCCACTGAAAATCACCTCTGCGCCGTGTGAACGGGTGCCTGCGATCTTGGACGGCGTGCTGATGCGGGGCATGACGATGTATGCGGGGATCTGTAGGGTCGAAGCGGCGATGGCGAGGGCCTGGGCATGGTTTCCTATGCAAGTCCATGTCAGAAAGAGTTCTATTGAGTGTTGTAGAACTCCCCGATAATACCTACCGGAGCTATGGGTAATCACCCCGCGCCGCCTCACCTCTTCCTCCCCGCGCTCCGCAACCAGTCGCAGCAGCGCATGGAAAGCGCCGCGCGCCTTGAACGCGCCGATGCGCTGAAGATTCTCGCACTTGAAAAAGAAACGGAAACGCGGGTGTGCGGGTGCTTGGCCCTCGAAGGGTGTTCCGAGCAGCGCATCGGGCGACTGTGGCGTGGAGGCAATGGTGTCGAGCGTGTGGCAGGTCAGTAGCGGCGTGCGGTGCACATAGGGTTGGATCAGGCCGTACGCGGCCTCGATGGCGGCGGGAGTGAGCAATTGGGCAGTTTCTGTTGGAGATGGCATGGTCGTGGTTGGGAAAAGCCCTACACAACAACATTTTGAAGACCAACCCCGCCTGGGGGAATTATTAATCTCGACGACGCCGGAGTGGGACGTCTTCCCGAGGGTATAGACACCTAATCGGGTTAGACACGATTAGCCCTGGCGGTCTCACTTTCAACCCTCTGAGTGAGCTGCAGCCTGTTCGGGGTTAGTGGAACAGGGGAAGGACAATATAACTACAACAGCGACTACACAAGGAGAAAATCTGAAAGTGTTTAAAACAGTTCATTGTACATCATAACTTTTCAACCCCCTATGGGTATATTATTTATTTCTGGTTCTCGGGGCGCAGGGAACGGACGGCCTTGCCGGCCCGCCAGATCTCCAGATCGCGGATCTCCTGCATCTCCTTCTCGTACTTCTCGCGGTAGTCCTTCTGCGAGTTGTAGTCGAGCGAGCGCTGGGTCTCGGTGCCGTCGCGGACGCTGTCGTAGAGCTCGTTGAACAGGGGCTTCAGGTTGTCCTTGAAGCGGCTGGACCAGTCGATGGCACCGCGGCGGGCGGTGGTGGAGCAGGCGGCGTACATCCAGTCCATGCCGTTGGCGCCGATCAGCGGGTACAGAGACTGGGTAGCCTCCTCGACGGTCTCGTTGAAGGCCTCCGAAGGGCTGTGGCCGCGCTCGCGCAGGACCTCGTACTGTGCCAGGAACATACCGTGGATACCGCCCATCAGGCAGCCACGCTCGCCGTACAGATCGGAGTAGACCTCCTTCTCGAAGGTGGTCTCGTACAGGTAGCCGGAGCCGACAGCGACACCCATGGCGATGGCCTTCTCCTTGGCCTGGCCGGTGACGTCCTGGAAGACGGCAATGGAGGAGTTGATGCCGCGGCCCTCACGGAAGAGGGTGCGGACGGTACGGCCGGAGCCCTTGGGGGCAACGAGGATGACATCGACGTCCTTGGGGACATCGACCTTGGTGAGGTCCTTGAAGACGGGGGAGAAGCCGTGGGAGAAGTAGAGGGTCTTGCCCTTGGTGATCAGGGGCTTGATGGCGGGCCAGGTCTCGGACTGGGCGGCATCGGAGAGCAGGTTCATGATGATAGTACCCTTCTCAATGGCGCTGTTGACGTCGAACAGGTTCTTGCCGGGGATCCAGCCGTCCTGGACAGCCTCCTTCCATGACGCACCGTCCTTGCGCACACCGACGATGACATTGAGGCCCTGGTCACGCAGGTTCAGACCCTGGCCGTGGCCCTGCGAGCCGTAGCCGATGAGGGCGAGGGTGTCGTTCTTGAAGAAGTCGTGCAGCTTCTCACGGGGCCAGTCATCGCGCTCGTAGACGACCTCCTTGGTGCCGGCGAAGTCAATGGTCTTCAGGCCACGGGTGATGGGAGCAGCCACCGACACCCGGGTCGCGGCCGACGCAGCCGCCAGAGCAGGCCGGGGAAGGGCGGCGGTAACGACGGAGCGCGGTGCGGCCACACGGGCCAGGCGGAGGGCACGGGGAAGACCACGGGCAGCCATTGTGTATGTAGGGAAGAGAGATAGGGGGAAAAAGTAGAGGGGAGAGGGTGTGGAAGGTGAGGAATTGAGGGAGAGAAAAAAGTTGGGGACGGAGGAGTCACTTGCCTTTTAAGTGGGCAAGCTGGGCCACCGGTCACGTGGGGGACTCCCGGACAAGTGCTCTTGCTCCCCACCAATCAGAGGTGGCTCGGCCAGACTTCAATAAGTCATGGGAGTCGCCGAAGCTCCATGGACAGGGACATGTCCACCCACGACGACATCGGATCCCCCAAGAGATTTGGGACCCCCATCCACCGGGATAGACGGGGCCCTCAATTGAAGAACACTCGATTGATGTCTGGTTAGGCGGTCTCCAATTTCTCTCCTGCCAATAATGATGTCGAGAATCCACCGGCCTGCCTGAGGTGTCAACCATTGTCCCGCCCCCACTGTTCTTGTTGACCTCTTTAAGACGCCCCACGTTCCTTTCCCCTCCATATCATGTCTCGACGATGAACATCTTCTCGTTCGGCGATCTGCCTACTATCCACACCCGCAAGGCCCTGCTGCTGCTTGATTTCCAAAACGACTTTGTCCGCCCGTCTGGGGCCCTGCCGGTCCCCAACAGCGCCGACATCCTCGAAACCTTGCCGGGACTTGCAGCCGCCTTTCGTCGAGTCGGTGATGTCGTCTGGGTGCGATCGCAGTTTGAGTCTTCTCAGTCCACCGTCGACTGGGACTTTGGGGACCGTATAGTCCTGGAAAAGGAGCCCCCACCGCCACCGAAGACCGAGCCGCTGCCGGATATCATAGAAGCCGCGTCGGATCGCGATACCCCGGAACCGGTCGACGACGAAGCGTTTTTGTCGGCAGACCCTTCGCCATGTTGCAACCCCCAGACGACCGGGTTTCAGTTCCCCGCCCCGATTCTGGCGGCGATTGACCGCGACCGGGATACCGTCTTGGACAAGACCGGGTATTCCGCGCTGGAATCGGCCGGCCTGGTGCTGTCGTTCCGATCCCGCTTTGTGACCGAGGTGTACCTGTGCGGCTCTCTGTCGAATGTTTCTGTCTACGCCACAGCCTTGGACGCTGTGCGCAACGGCTTCTCGGTAACACTCATCGAGGACTGCTTGGGATTTCGGGATTTCGGGCGCCACCAAGAAGCCATGCGCCGTATGGCAGACATCCTCGGGGCGACTGGTCTCAGCGCGGAGGAATTAACTCGGGAGCTGGAAAACGACGAAACCGAAGCAATTGCGCGCCGAAGTTGGAACGCGCCGCAAACTAAGAGATCGACCGCCTCTGCTGGCATCGAGAGCGTCATGGATGGACTTGAGGTCCGCGCTTCTGACCGGATCCCGAATAATGATCCTTCGCCGGACGGGGAGGGGCGCAGTTTGGAAGAAATCATGGGGATGTCACGAGCGCATCGCGGATCTTCGGCTAGTTCACAGCCTCGAGTTGCTTCAGAGGGCAAGAAGGTAGTACGCGCAAGAGTACGGCGGCCGAAACGTCGCGATCCCACGCCAGATACTACCATCACCGATGGAGGGTCTGTTGCAGGGTCTATCGCTTCTAACCGGTCTGTGGCATCTACCCCGCCCACCGAGATCCCCGAACGGAAGATTGGAGAAGGCGACTCCCGCATTGTGCATAATATCGATCTACCTTTAAATTCCTTTGAGCGCATCCGGGCCGAAGTTGCTTGGCAGAAGATGTACCATCTATCCGGGCAGGTACCCCGGCTGGTGGCGGTTCAAGGACAATCTCTTCCTGATGGCGCAATCCCTATTTATCGTCACCCAGCAGACGAGTCTCCGCCGCTGAAAGAGTTCACGCCGGCCGTGGACGAGGTACGCATCGCCACTGAACGCATCCTCGGGCATCCATTGAACCATGTGCTCATTCAGCTTTACCGGGATGGACAAGATCGCATATCGGAGCATTCAGATAAAACGCTGGACATTGTTCGTGGATCGTTCATCTGTAATGTCAGCTTGGGCGCTCAGCGCGCCATGACTCTTCGTACCAAAGTTTCAGCATCCGAGTCTAGTAAAGAGACAGAGTTCGGCCGAATGACGCAACGCATCTCTCTTCCCCATAACTCGCTTTTCGTTCTCGGTGAGAAAACAAACATGCGATGGCTGCACGGTATTCGACCGGACAAACGACCGGACTCGGAGAAATCCCTCGAAGAGCGGGCTTACGGCGGCGAGCGCATCTCTCTCACTTTCCGTAACATCGGTACCTATCTCAACCCTACTGCCAACACGATCTGGGGCCAAGGAGCCGTTAGCAAGACATCCGATCAAGCACGCACGGTCATACACGGCGATCCGACAGAGACCGAACGACTCATCTGGTCGTTTGGACAAGAAAACCGCGCCACTGAATTTGATTGGGATGCTGTCTACGGTGGTGGGTTTGACGTGGTCAATTTTGTCACTACCTCGTCAGCACAGGTAGCGCTTAGCGGGGACCCGGTCGCGGATCTACGTGCGCTACTCTGTCTCGGGGAAAACGGTCTTCGATACGAAGTGGTTCCTGTGGGCCAGGACATAGGCATTGCAAATACACCCTCCAAGCGGCCATTATATATGCCCCCGGATGGAAAGATGATTGCTGGCGATCATGCCATTCTCACCCATCTGGCTGAGCGAGAGCCCATTCGGCCTGGAGTGGACGTTTTGCGGGGTGGCAGTCGTCTCGCGCAGCTGGACGGGCTCCTGACATGTTGGCGTGAACATAGCAAGCGCGAGGATGAGAAGCATTTGTTTGACACAGGCATGGAGACCTGGGAACATGCGGTCCAAGACCAGCATTACCTGGGCGGCACGACTCTGGGGGTCGACGATTGTTCCCTCTGGCCCATTGTTCGCGAGATGGTGCAGACACAAGACGGATTTGCGACACAGTTCCCTCACCTGCACCAGTACTATCAACGGGTCGGGAAACGAGGAATTGTCCGGGCTATTCTCGAGGAGACCCGGCTGGACGGATGAGAGATCTTCTTCGTATATATGTATGTGGTATTACTAGTTCTGGAACATACGGCACTCTTTGTACGAATCTCATTGGAATATCATTAAGCGAGCCTCATCGTGTCGGACTATACTTGTACATGACTCGTATCCACCGAGATCCAGGCCAATACAATCGACCGGGTCCAACCGCCCCAGGCACCCGCTTATTCTCCGCACGATTAAAAGGCTTACTTATTCTCTCGGCCATCTCCGTTAATTATTCCTCACCAGCTATTTATTATTATCTGTCACAATGGAACTGGAACAAATTAGTCCACCGAAGGGTGAGAATGCTCCCAGGGCGGTAACCACCAAGCCCCAGGCTGCGAATGCAGAAGAGAGCCAGGTCGTCCAGCTGTCGACCTGGAAGTTTTTCACCGTCCTGGTATCGTTATGCTCGGCCGGCTTCCTAGCTGGATATGTGAGCGGCCAGGAATTTTTGATCAACCTTTTTCCTCTGCTAACATGGAAGAAATAGGACTCGACATGCGTGGGCACATTGGCCCCCATGATCAGCGATGAATTCCACTCCCTCAGCGACGTGAGCTGGTATGGTATTGCATAGTCAGTTATCTCATTGCATATTTTCCGGGAGAAGTGTCATGCTTATGGAGAATACCTAGCTCTCTCTCATCCTGCGCCACGACGCTGAGCTTTGGCAAGCTGTATTCATTTTATCCAACTAATATAGTCGTCGTGACGGCTCTCGCCACCTTTGTCTCTGGATCCGTCATCTGTGCGACGGCACCGTCGTCAACTGCGTTTATCATTGGCAGAGCAGTTGCCGGCGTGGGCAATGCAGGCATTTTCTCCGGATGCAATATGTATGATTCGCCTAGTTTGGATTAAAGAACATGCTAACGTCCCTTTTAGCATTTTCACGCGAATTACTCCTCTCCGATGGCGACCATTCTACCAAAGTCTTATCGGCAGCGTGGAATGCATTGCACTGGCCACAGCACCTTTGATCGCAGGAGCAATTGCCGAGTATTCATCATGGAGAGTCTGTTTCTACGCCAGCGTTCCTCTAGGCGCGATCCCCATTATTACCATCTCCTTCTTCCTCCGACTGCCGAAGACGGACCAACAATCCTCAACCGCAGGACTGGCCAAACTCCGGCAACTTGACCTAGTAGGTATGGCCCTGTTTGTGCCCCTGATGGTGTGTTTTGTGTTGGCTCTGCAGTGCGGCGGCACGCAGTATCCATGGAACAGCAAGCAGGTAATTGTTCTGCTCACAATGACGGGGGTTCTGCTGGCGGCTTTCGTGGCACAGCAGGCTTACATGAAGAACAAGGCAATGGTGCCTGCGAGACTGCTTCGGTCGAGGATTTTCCTGTTCAGTGTCCTCGTCAGCTTTGCCACATCGGGAGCACTCTATGTGTTTACCTTTTATGTGAGTCTCCCAGGGCCTGGTCATATGAGTGCCGTACTGATATCACCTAGCTCCCCATTTACTACCAGGCCATTCGAGATGTTTCCACCGTCCAGTCTGGCGTGCGCGATCTATCCCGAATTCTTGGTCTGGTCATCGCCATCATCGCGGCCGGTGCCATGACCACCATCACGGGATATTACATGCCCCCCATGCTCTGCGGCGGCATCCTAATGACCATTGGCGCCGGTCTGACGACAACATTCAACGAAACCACCTCCCTCGCCCAGATAATCGGGTATCAGGCTTTGTTCGGGCTAGGATGTGGACTCGCATTCCAACAACCCTACGCAGCCGTGCAGGCAACGACAGCAGCAGCCGACACGAATGCCGCAATCGTTGTACTCCCCTTCGCACAGTTCTTGGGTTCGGTGGTTGTGCTGGCCATCTGTCAGAATGTGTTTTCTATTGAATTTATCGATGGCCTTGCGGCGAAGGTCCCCGGACTTGATCCGGATATTGTTCTGGATTCGGGTGCTTTGAATTTAAAGAAGGTCATCCCGACGGAATACCTTGCACAGGCGCTGGAGGTGTACAATGATGCTCTTGTACATGTGTTTTATATTGGGCTGGGGGTGGCATGTGCGACTACTCTTGGTGCTTTGGGGTCCGGATGGAGGTCTGTCAAGCATGCGGACAAGAATAAATAGATGGGAGCGTGGATATCTGGTGCTATCAACAGATTTGAACACGATGTGATATTTGCATCTCAAGTATATATACACAACTAAAGCTTCTCAAAAGTCGGCGTCCGCTTCTGCATTCCCGCCAACATTGCCGCCGGTACATCCTTGCTTTGAAGGGCAGCACTATTCCAAACAGCCGTATATCGTAAGCCATCCTCCACAGTGTGATCGCGCGAATAGTTCAAGATCTCCTTCGTCGACTGCATGGCAAGGGGACTCTTCGAGGCCATCAGCGCAGCCATTTTCAGCGCCGCAGAAACAGTGTCCTGACGAGACTCGTAGACAGCATTTACAAAGCCAACGCGGAGAGCCTCTTCCGCGCCGAAAGTGCGGGCCGTCAAGGCCACCTCCTTCACCCAGCCGAAATGCCCAACCACCTTGGGCAAACGACTGAGCGTTCCAATATCAGCTGCAAACCCAAGATCCGCCTCCTTGACAGAGAACTGGACATCGCGCGAGCAGATGCGCACATCGGCAGCAGTGGAGAGGTCGACCGCCAGACCGAGCGCGAAACCATGCATGGCCACAATCACGGGCTTCTCGCACCGCTCCACGGCAGAGATACAATCTTGGAAAACACCGATAAACCGGCGGAGGTATACCGCTTTCCGTGCTGAATCGGACGCATCGGGAGACAGACCCTGCGACGCGGCCTTGACGTCTAACCCGGTTGTAAAGGCTCGCTCGCCGGCGCCGCTGAGGACGATGGACCGGACGGAAGGGTCGGAGGAGAGCTGGGTGAAAATTTGGCCCATTTCGTGCCACATACTGAATTTCCAATTGTTAGTTCGCTAAAGAGCGAGGAGTAAAGAGCTGGGAGGGGGGGGGGGGGGAGAAGGGACATAGGACATACGCTTCGACGAAGGCGTTCAGCTTATCTGGGCGGTTGATTTCCACGTGTGCGACATATTGGTGGTCGCTCGGGAAGCGCACTGTAAAATATTGGAAGTTGTAGGACTGGCTGGCCATGGCGAATGAATGGATAAATGAGTGGTGTTGGGGTGGTGAAGTTGGCAGGTGAAGCTGGGGAGGTTGGCGATCGAGACAGCGCTTGGTGGGCGGGCGGACCTCGGTAAGTCGTGCGTGGCAGGATGCGACCTCAATTAACCAAGTGCTTGACAGATTTGATTACAGACAATAGGCAGCAATTACTTGAAGCAGAATAATAAGGTTTCAGACAATAATATTCTGTTTCCTACGCCGAACTAGTCTACTTCACATGCCGAGGCTCGGGCGAAGTGCTTATCGGATAAGATAGAGCTACGATTTCCTGGATGTTCTGGTACAGATGTATAGACTGAGACGCAATGCAGTGATAGATAGATTAATTATACAATTTATTAGCTAGAGTACATCGAGAACAACAACTGAGAAACAACAGCTGCTATCATCCAAAGCAATAATACAATCTCATAGCTCGTATACAGGCGTCAATTTCTTCGAGTAAATTACTCAACCGTGATCTTCTTAGCAGTCGGCGCGGCAGCCTTCGGGACCACAATGGACAGGATACCGTTCTTCAGGTTCGCCTTGACAGCATCCTGGTCAACCCTGGTAGGGAAGGAGAAAGTGCGCTGGAACTCGCCGAAGGAGCGCTCCTCAGCCCAGAAGCGGTAGTCGGGCTTGCTGGACTTGTCATCACCCTCTTTGGTCACCGCGGTCTCAGTCGAGGGAGTGGAAGAATGGTATTCGCGCTCGGTGCGGCCCTTCACAACCAGAGTCTGCGGGTCGGTGAACTCAATGTCGATGTCCTTCTGGACGATGCCCGGCAGCTCGCCGTCGAGGTGGTAGGCGTCAGAGCTTTCGCGGACGTCAAAGCGAGCAGAGAAGGAGCGCATCGCCGTGGACTGGCCGCCGCGGTTGCTGGTGGAGCGGTGGACATCGTAGTCGTCCAGCAGACGGAAGAGAGGCGCGAAGCCGTTGGAGGCGGGGTAGCTGGTGTGCCACAGAGACATGGTGGGTGGGTTTGGTAGTTTGTAGGTGGTGATGGTTGGAGTAATTGTGTTCTTCAGAAGAAGAAAGACAAAGCTGATAGGAGCTTCAAGTGTTGTATAACTTGTAGAGAGGCGATTGATCTTGAGGAACTGATGAGCAGCTGGGAGAGTCGCTGACGGGCTTTATATAACCCAGAGGCCAGATTCCAGAATCTCCCATGGTACACCCAAAAGCTGCGACTAACTGGGAAGAAACTCGCCACTCGGTGCAACTGGAAGGAACTGGCCAGAGGCGGATGTTGCGAGAAGGAGCTCGCAGGTAAGTAGAAGCTTCTCCAGATTTCTACGGATCACGTGATATTCTATGGGGAAGACCGTTGGATGCCAACATGGACAAGGGCCTGGTTGGACGAATTTCATGTTCATGGCATCATTATTATTGACACGGCTGTGTACCCAGCTAAGACGATACTCTTGGGCCCGAGGTGGGTAGCATGTTCCGTCATCGATCTATCACCGATCCCTTCACCAACCAAGCCGCGATCATGAGCCACTCCCGCTCGGCGTCAACGACATCCCGTATCGTGCCGAGTGTTGCTGGGGTTGTCCATTCGCTCTGACCGTCATAAATGTAACGTATCTTGCCAGTGATTAGGGCCGTGCGGGTGAATCACGCGAACGGAGATTCAAATGGTGGATTGCGCTAGGATGGTAACGTGCTCAGGTTGTCCGTGCCGTTGGGATTGTTACAAGGCTTCGTTTCAGTACCAAGACACTCTTCTGAGTTCCCAGCCTACTCCGACTCCGACTCTTCCAACTGCATGATCTTCTCGTCGAGGTCCTGTCCTGATTGTCAGCGCTGGGTATGACCCTACTAAGAGACGCCGTACCTGATCCAAGCGGGCCTTCAGGTTCTGCAGTTGGCTCTCCTTGATGACCAAATGATTTTCATCGTCTAGGTCTTCCACAATGTAGTCGTGGCGCTCCTCGTCGTATTTCAGGATCATCGCCTTGATCGAGGGATCGCACTCGATGAGCAAACCTGGTGTGAGAAGTGGAGAGTTAGTGGCTAACAGCAAATTTGGAAGAAGAAGACATACCTCGGACTGCGCGCGGCATTGTGAGAATGGGTTGGATGGGTGAGGATGAGGATGAAAGAGGGTGAGAGTAACGGTGCGGCGGATGGAGATGCCAAGAAGTCTATCAGGCAGCAAGGCACCAAATCGAGGTGTCGGTACCATCGGTCTCTAAACCAATGTTCCAATCTCTAGGTAGTACGCAAGGAAGGAGACGGAGAGTAAATAAAACATTGACATATCAAATCGATGCGTCTTTCCTTTGTCTTTTGATTGATACTGAAAATCATGTAGATCGGTGGACAGACAGAGTAAGATCATCTAACTCCATGTATGATGTATTCCTTTTATATGCCGAGGATACAATATTCCGATATTATTCCTTCAGTCTTCTTCATTGTCATCTTTATCTTCCTTCTCTGCTCGTGTCCACCCAGTACCCGCCTGGACGGCCGCTGCAGCCAGTGCCAGCCCGCCACCGGCTAGAAATAGCGTCCGCACAGCGTGTTCGTAGCTCTCAGCCGCGATGACCCTCTCGGAGCCACTTAATTTGATTACCGTTGCTGGACTACCCAACAGCTCACGAACCAGGTCGGGATGTGGGGCCAATCCATGGTTAGCAAAGCCGCTCTCCAAGGAAGCTTTCAAGACTCGGGCAAAGAAACCTCCTCCCACAGCCGATCCAAAGCTGCCCGCAAACCCGCGAGACATCGTCATGAGAGACGTGACAATATAATGCATTGGCACGTTGGTGAGATGAAGCACATGCGACAGGGTATAGTTCACCAGTGCCCCCGCAAAAAGCCCATCGAAGAACGTGGTTGCAAAGTACAGAGCCACGGGGGAATCTGGGGTTGAGAGCAAGGACAGGGCCAGTGTAGCCAGTGAAAAGAGAAGGAAAAGAACAATACATGAGCTATAGCGACAGTATTAGCCTCGGGGCAGTGGCGGTGTAGCTCCACGACTCACATATAGTAGCTGCCGGCTTTGCGAATGTGCAACCAGCCCACCAGCAAGCCTCCAAGTCCAAAGCCCGCATTGGTCGGAACCAGGATTAGGCCAGCCGACGCCGGGGACCATCCACGTACCGCCATCGCATAAACTGGGGTGAAGAACAGGACAGCCCATCGGGCCATCATCATTCCCAGACCGGCGAGACAGGTCAGCAACACACTGCGAGTCTTCAGAAGTCCGACTGGAATAACAGGCTCGGTGGTCCAATGAGCCTCAATGTACACAAATATGGTAAAGGAGATAGCAGACCCCAAGATGGGCCAGAGACTGATCTCGGGTGATGCGAGGCTGGTCAGCAACAGGACGACCGAGATGGTCTGAGGGGTCAGCGACTTGAGCGATTGAAAGGTGGACGAATCTTACCAATGTCAGGGCACCCGCATAATCTACTCGGGCCAGACTATACCACAACGACTGCACTTCGGATGGACTGTCACGGGGTTGTGCTGGTTGGGGAATCGCAAAGAATAGCAACGGACCCAAAAGTAATGCAACCGGAGCCTGTGCCCAGAACATAAAGCGCTAGGTTACCGTGTCAGCAATTGAAGGTGTAAATGGATCCAAAGACTCACCCATCCCAAACTCGGGGTCAAAATCCCCGCTAGGACAGCACCCGATGCCACTCCAGTGGTAAACCCTGTATTGATCAACCCGATACACAACCCTCTACGTTTTTTGGTCGCCAGGTCCAAGACCAAGATGATCGATGTACTCATCAAGCCCCCGCTACCACAACCAGCGACTGCCCGCCCCACTAGGAACACCGCCAAAGATGATGCTGCGGCGCTGATGAATAGGCCGATCGCTAGTAGGACAGCAGAGAAGAGCACGTAGAAACGTGCAGTGAATATCTGGGCGAGCCGCCCTGCTAGTGGAGTGATACTGGACAGGGCGATCTTTGCAAAAGGCGATGTTAGCAATTGCTAACTTGTTAGAAGAAAGTTCATACCAGATACGCGGATGTGAACCACGACGCCTCCGCGAAGGCGTCCAGGTCAGCTGCAATGTCAGATTGGGCCGTGGTCATCATTGACATGTTAGTTGCTATAAAGGTTTAAATCAGCGATGGTCCTTCAGGGAGATTCTCGATGATAGCATACCCTGGATAAAGATAAGAAGGCCCATCAGAACCGTGATGCACAACCCTCTCGGGAAGCTAACGGTCCGCTGAGCGTGAGCCATGAGCGGTGTCTGCTCCGACGGCGACATTTGGTCTTCTTCCATATTGAAATTGAGGAAAGGGATGATTAGTCCAACTGACTTCAAACAAGCATTTACGGACAGTTAATTATTATTGCGCCATCATCACGCTTGAAGGGAAACAATCCTTGCTGGGCCGGAGATTGCGGAAGGCGCATTTCTAATCAATTCTCATAGGGCGCGATTTACCGATAAGGAGCAGTCGCTCCACTGGCGGCTGTTGCCACTGTTGCAGGGGTATCGTTTAGATCAAAGCTACGTGTTTCCACTGTTTTTTCTCGAATGGGTAAATTCAATTGTTTGCTCAAACTAGCCCCTACTCGAGGTGGTAGTTATACAATTTGTGCTGGACCGACCGAAAATACATTCTTATTTCTGTTGAACTCGAGTCTGAACTGGCCTTCTCAATGCAATGATTATTGTACAATTTACCGTCGCATTTACTCGATCTAAAGGTGAATTACAACATGTGGCTAGTATGGCTCTTAGATCAGAATATATACATCCTCGACATATTATCAATTTGCTGCGAAGACTGCAGGCCAGTGATGGCGTACAGTCGCCAAAACCTTCTTGAGATCCACTGCATCGCCCGTGGGCTCAGGGTCATCCCATTTCTCCATTTGCCAATTAAGTTCCAGGTCCATCAGCAGCGCGTTTAGCATCTGGTCATTGTAGGATTTGGAGGGGGTTGTTTGGAGATATTCGATGAACGTACGCCAACGTGGGATATAGTACGAAGAGACGAGGCCGCCCCATGCCTTGGAGGCGTAGTCAGTAATCTCGCCACGGGGTCCCCACAGCGTGATTTGGTTACGCGCATTGTATTCAAGGAACGAAGCTGTTTTGTTGTTGCCCTGCGCCCAGGAGCGGGCAGCGTCAATCCATGTAGAGAAGCGATAATTCCGGTCTGTTTGGAGAACGGCGTCGTAGTCCGTGAGAAATCGGACGATCGCCTGTCCCTCTTGTGACAAGGCGGCCTTGGATGAATTCGAGGTTGGGCCTTCGTAAGTAGATAGCAGCTGATTGTACATCGTGACGAAATGATTCGCCATGACTTGCCGGGTCACATCGATCATATCATACTTGTACGATGGATTTGTCCATAGTCCGGGTTCTGCGGCGGCAGCGCGGTACATCAGCTCCCCCGCTTGAACGAGCTCGGAGGGCTTGTAGTTGATAGTCGTGCCAGAGGCCACGCCGATCAAACCTTCAATTGAAGGACGGAGCTCAATGATGGATTTTGTCACGGCAAGGGCGGATGTGAGGTTGGTGTTGTCGTAGACTGTCGTTCGCAGAATTTCCCAGGCCTCGTACAGCTCCTGCGGAACGGATTTCTCACCAGCATACCGACTTGTCACCCAATTGTGAAAATACTGTTTTGTGTCAAGAGGGGTCTGAGACCATGCCTGATCCAGCAGAATGTCGTACACGATCTCATTGCCTTCTTGACCCTCTGGACTTAGGCCATACCCGACCATTGTGGGAGACTCAATCCGCGCCTGAGTAGCGTTCTGTGTGATATTGCGGATCTGGCCGTACAAGCCCTGGCTGCCACCGAAGTCATGCAGCTGGCACCAGATCCACGGCTTGCCATAGTACGAGTCTGTCCTCTGCCATTGAGGGCTTGACTCAGAGAACAGGTCCAAAATCAGCATGTCCTTGTTGTCTTCCACACCGGAGAGATAGGCTTTTATTCGCGAATCAGTCCAGAAATCGGCGTTGTTAACGAACAGCCAGCCCTGCATCATCCAAATGGCCTCTGGATCGGCTGCCTTCAGGCTTTTCAATGTGTTGCTGGTGACATTGCGCAGGTAGTCCTCATTTCCTGAGTAAGGATTGTTTTCATTGTACTGGTCCAGCGTGTAGACGTGGCTGATATCGCCGTACGCGGCCTTTTGTTTGGTGATGAAGCTGCGCTGAAGCTTTGCAAAATGAGGATCAGATGGCTCAAGGAACGAGTCGTTGGTATATTGGGCAGGGAAGTCGTTCCATTGAGATCCGCGAACAACACTCGCATCCGGCAAAACGCGCGTGATGTTCATGGGCACGAATCCTGTAAACGCTGGCAATACCGGGGTCATGCCCAGCTGCACCATGCGGTGTACAATCTTCTTCTGCAGGTCGAATTGCTGGTCGATCCACGTCTGAGGCAAATTACCATGCCACGAGCCCTGGATGTTCCCAAACCGATTCCACGCTTGGAAGGCTGGACCGCTTAGGTAGGTTGCAATCTCTGCGTCGGTGAGGCCAATCTCACGAAACACCTCAACGAGGATTTTCTCCTGGCCAACCCAGGCAAGCGGAAGATTGATCCCGCGGAGAGCCATCCAATCCAGCTGTGTCTCCCATTCTTCCCAATTCCAGAACGCAGCGGTGTAGGAGAAGGTGACTATAATAGAATTGGTCAGCTCGAATGGAAAACAGAATGGTGTGGGCCATACCGGTGTTAAAGTGGTAACGATATTGAACAGTGCTAGAGCCGTGTAAGGGACTGGACAGAGGAGGAAGCTTGGACGGCGCGACGTCCAGACGACTGCCAATATACCAGTAGATATCGACGTGCGCCACATCCGTCAGATATCGATGAAGACTGTCGTGAGATTAGTGCTGCTCGAGCGCTGGATTTGGGGATTCTGACCCCGACGACAACGCGCTGAGCGAGTTGCCCTGCACCTGAATTTTCCCATCAGCAGCACTGCTCACGACATAGCTGTCGTGGCCGTCACCTGTAGTGGTATTGACATCCACCAGCGTGAAATGAAAGCTGTCAACATGGTTGGGCATCCGCCGCTTGACGAGATCTTCGATACCCTCGGTCGACTGTGCGACCGCCGTTAAGGCCGCGCAGAGCCAGAGCAAGGGCTGAGACCACCGCATGACTGCTATTTAAGAGTGTAGGGAACCTTTAAGAGGCAGAACCGACTACCCAGATTATATTATGTTTTGGGTAGGAGGCCGCATACCCCACACTTGCAGCTGTCTACAAATGTTGCCGTCGCATTTTCTAGACTACTGTTTGTCTGTCCCGGACCCCTGAGGCACCCCATCTCCGCGGTAGTGTAACTGTCCTCTCCAACGTGTGCCGATCCGTGGGGGCCAGTCGGAACGTACCGCCCCCAGCCTTGTATGAAATGCCCCAACGCGGAAGAATTAGTTATCAAGAAAACAGGAATGCCACTATTATTCACCGAGAGACAAAGTCTTTCTGCCCCTTCAGTGCCTTGGCCAATACATCCGGATACCATCGTTGCCCGACGTCTTGATGGCTTGTCACTCGGGCGACAAATGTGCCTTCACCAATGCTCCCACGGAACATCTCATTGAATGTCGCTTCAGCATCGGACTTGACTTTATCATCCTTGACCAGGTCACGAATATGTTCAGGAATAACCAGTGAGATTTTCCCAGCAGAGAGATCAAGACTGACACCCTGGAAGACGGGGAAGGAAAATCGCGAACCGAGAGATTTGCCCTCAGCATCCAAGAAATGCTCCTGACGCAGACTCACTCGGTGAGTAGTCGCGCTGCAAATACCTCCGGTCAGAGCCTCGAGAGCTCGGCCGATGTTGACGACCAACGTGTTTGGAAGTGGAGGAGCCGGAATCCAGGTTCCGGCCTTATTTTGAACTTCAAGCCCATGATGCGGAGTAGCTTGCAACAGGAAAGTGAGAAAGCCCGAGTCTTTGTGAGGGCCGACACCCTGAAATCCGGAGTCATCGTTTTCTGAGGCCGGCGGAGGAGGATACTTTATCAGTTTGAGTTTATGCTGTTGCGGATTGTCGAAGACGTCGTCTAATGCATTTGAGGGTAGATCCAATGCTTCTGCAATAAGGGATGTGAACTGCTCTGCTAGAGCGCTAACTTCGGACAAATAGGTTTCGGTCGCGTGACGGAAACCAGGAATTACTGTTTCATCGGGCCACTAGGTACCGTTTAGAATGGCATACTAGAACATGCGACTGGAAACATACCTGATTCGGACCAACAACATTCCTATACAACGGCTCATCTGGGCCGGGTGCAGGAAGCTCTGTAGCAAACTAATCAGAGAATTAGTGGAAGCTTGACAGAAAATACTGGAAGCAAAAACTTGCATCAAACTGTTCACGATAATCCTGCTTCAGGGCGGTAATCTCGGCCCCGAGTTTAGAGTATCCAAGAAAGTGTGGACTATTGACCATTTCAATCTCAAGCTTCCTCTCCAACGGCAGTTGGAATAGCTCTAAGCCTTTGGCCGTAAATAAACTTTGAAGATCAGGCGAAATGGGCGCATTCCGGAGATAGAAGAATCCCACATTAATTAGTGCATCGCGGAGATTTTCAAGGAAGGCTGATTTGGTTGATGGAGACGAGACCTGTGCAAAATCTAGAATCGGGATCGATGTAAAATCCTCTTTCTGCAAAGGCACCTTCAAATCGTAGGTGGCTGCCATGATTGTTGCCAGAGGTTCAACAACACAGAGAGAATGTCAAGGTTGGGGCGAGGTGGGGTGATTGTCGCCATCGGGTATTTCAGTGAAGGCTGACGCTATCTCCGCGCCTATTGACGCCAAATGCAAAGTTTATATTCATTTATATCTCATAGTAACATATATATCTATAAACCAACACGGAACACGTTGCCGTTAAGTCTCTACAGAATATACCTGAACCCGACAGCTCGAGACTCCAAATCATTAATGCCAACAGCAGCCAAATCTCCCTGAGCAGTCTCCGCTTCTTCAAGACGCTTGTTCATCCGGACATGAACCAACCGAATGACTAATGCCAATACTGCTACCAGAAATGCTATGGCAGCAGTTGCACTACCTCCCGGAATATAGCGAGGACCCGAAGAGTCCGGCCACATGTAGCTGCCGTAAATGGAAGCCGTGTTGCCAATCATATTCGCCAACGCAATTGCAGCAGATCTTTTAACGAATGGACGAGGGAAGGAGTTGGCGATCCAGGCGAGAATGATTTGGTAGGCGGAAACGGCACCCATAGGCATCCTGGAGCAGTATGTCAGTCAGATACGTCCTGGCCAGAGACACGGCCATCAAAACCTACAAGAACATGCCAAAAAACTTGGCGCCCGTGTTTGCCGATGCGGTTACAATTACACACCCCACAACGCTGACCAGCATTAGGGCGATGATATGTAGACTGCGGTCGTTTGTCTTGCCCGATGTCCACGTCACCAACAAGGAGACCAAAAATGTCGCAATCCAGACGGGGGCCGTGATCAAAAGCGTAACAATATTGTTATATTTTAGCTCTTGCACGATAGTCGGGAAGAAATACTGGAAGTTTTGCGACAGAAGCGAAATGTGTTGCAGCAATATGAAAAGGTAGATGCGTTTATCGGCGAAAACAAGCGCGAGCGCCTCCTTAATAGTGGTAGAGGCAACATCATCGGCCTCTCCAGCATCATGAATCAACCGCCATTGGGCATAGGCTTGTTCCTGTTCGTCCAGCCAGGAAGTTGTAGCAGGGTAATTGGGAAGAAAGAGCCTATCAAGTCAGTGAAAGGCACTCAAGCTATCAAAAGGTGTTACTCACGCAGCAAGAAGTGAGACCCCCACCGTGATGGACCCTTCTATTATGAAAAGCCATCGCCAACCCGCGATATTGTGCGCTCCGTCGAGATTGGCTAGTACTCCTGCCCCAATCAAGCCTCCGAAGGCATTGGCTAGGGAGCTTCCAGCGTAGAACCACGCAATTCGGTGACTCAACTATGCCGACGTGTTAGCTGTGGTGATTCTGAAGTGTTTATTTGGTTCCGTACCTCTTGCCGGGTGTACCAACTCGACCTGTTTAGGATCGGTTAGCGACGATATACCATCGAACATGAGCTACGGACATCAACATGACAGCTCCAGGAAAGAATGGAGCTTCAACAAATCCGAGGAAGAAACGCGTGACAACCAGTCCCGAGAATGACTGCGTAGCGGCTTGGCAAGCAGAGATGACACCCCTGCGAAATGATTAGCATTGTATAGTTAAGGGACTTCAAATCTGACCCCTACCAAATGGCCATGGCAATACCTAGAAACAACGAGGGCCGGACGCGAGTCAAGAATAGATTAGATGGCAACTGCATGAGCAGATATCCGACGAACAGAATACTTGTAGCCAAATTGTAGTCAGTGCCTTTCATCCCAAGATCCTCCTCTAGTGATCCTAGGCGTGCTTGCGATAGATTACTAGAAGCAAACAAGGGTTAGCTTGTCGATGGTGCATCCCTCTCGATCTCACTTACTTGCGGTCTAGAAAGTTGAGGAGATACATGACAACCAGGAACGGCAGGAGATGCAGGTCGACCTTTCGAAGAAGTCTGCGCGTCATGTTTTGATGCCACTCCGTACTTTTGGAAACATATGCCTGGTAGAGGGCATCCTGTCCCGGGTCAAGACCCTTGTGGGTGGTCTCGTGGAACTCGACCTGTTCCGCCGCAGGTTTCGCCATCATGTCCAGTTGATCACAGTCGTGAGAGTGCCGCACTTACAATTGCAAGCCATTCATCTAGGGCCGGGGTTTTGTTTCTTATACGCTGCTAGGATCGAGGGTGGAGACGGACGGGGCCGACACAAAAGCCCCCCTTCTCGGCCATCGGTGTAATTCCGAATGTGCCAAGGGCCCCGTGGGGAGCAGAACATAGCAAACAAGCAATAATAATAGTGGCTACGAGCCTAGAGAGACCGCTAGAGCTGATCACGCGCCCTTGACCCCAAAAGAATTTGGGGTACGGTGTGAACTCGGGTTATCTCACCCCGAGAAAATTTAAGATATAGTCTAGCAATTGGTCCTTCATAGTGTTTGGCTTTTTGTCTCTCAAAGGTGAATGTACTGCAGTAAGAACTGCCCAAAGTCTGACACAATCTTGAGGTCAAGCACGACAAATATCAAAACACCCAACATCGAGATCTGCGGGGTGCCTGGGTGCCTTGTCTGGGTGCCTGAGACCCCATTCCTGCCTGAGGCATGATAACTTACCCGCCACATCACATGACCACGGTCTCGTTTGGGATTGCATGACGTCACCAGATGATCTCGCGAAGCGCGATGAGCAAACCGAGTTGTCATTCTCGAGATCTGGATCGGCAAAATGGGATCAGATTTGCAAATCGTCATACTCTGCATCTACTAGCGGTAAGAGCACCGCAGCCTATAGGATCGTACAGGATCGACAAGGATGAAGACGATAAAGTGCATCGGACACACCGTGTGGGGCGTCTGAGCGCAGCAATGACGATAACATTGTCGCCCTGGACGAATCATCATGCCCCTGGTGCGATTGTTTGCACTAGGAGATCTCCGCTCGCGAGGCGTATAAAGAGGCGGTGCTGGCCTACGACCCTTTTCATATCTTCAATTCATCAACATCAATCAGATTTCCTTTACTCGGTCTATAATTCCCAGTTTCAATATGGATAAGATCTCTGGTCTCGCGTCGAAGCTTGGTGGCGGCAGCAAGGCCTCCGGCTCGAGCTCAAGCTCGGGTAATGAAGACTATGTCGACAAGGGTATGCTGTCGTTGTTGGATTAAGCAGTTTTTTTTGGAAGCTAACAAGACTAGCCCTTGGCCAGGCTGAGAGCAAGTTCAGCGGCGGCAAGGCCGACCCCGCGAAGATGCGTGACACCAACGAGAAAATCACCGACACTGCCCGTGAGCAGTTTGAGAAGGCTACCGGGTAGGTTTCTTTCAATGCTCAGTAAAGACAGATTAATGCTAATGCACCCCGTAGAAAGAATGTTCCGGACAAGGTCTCGAACTAGGCCTACCACGAATTTCGGGTTATGATTGTGGAGAACTGCGGCCGATACTTAGGATACCCGCCGCTGCACGATTTGATAGTGGAATTCAATTCCAGTATGATTATGATATATATTTGCTCTTTTAAGGACTCCTTGTCGGTAGACTCTGTAAAGAGGATAGAATTCTGGTTGCTCAACGTACAAATATTCGTCCCACGGTACGACGCCAGGGGTACGTATTACCTCTGTGAGCTCTTATTTCGGGAAGATCATGTGCAAATTCGCCGGGTCTCAAGGTCCTTTCTTATCTTTGCACCACTAAGTCCAGCTTCAATGGTGGATTACCCAAATGGAAACTGAGCCTCGTCTCTGAAGCGCGCAAAGTATGTTGCAAACCCATCTTGCTTCAACCATAAGGATTGTGAGGGCACTGATAGCCAAGAAGTTTCGATGCACAATCTTCTCATGAAGTCCTTGATAGACGGTCGGAAGCATATTCAACACCTTTGGCATCTGTTGAATGCATGGAATGTACTGACTGCTTGTCAAGAGAGATCAAGCGATGTTCACCAGGATCATAAATAAGCCAGAAAGCTTCAGGGAGAATCACTGTTCTATGCCCGATGCTGATCACTGTCATGACCATTATCTTCATCTTTCAATGTCAGGTTCTGCAGGCATGGAGCATAGAAGAGATTCCCACGCCATGCCCCTTGCGCGGTTCGCGACAGCACCAATGCCCACAGCAAGAGAACGGCCGTGCTCAATATCTAGCAAAGCAATCTGATCAGCAAAGCCGCGCGTACATAGAACAAGCACGAAACTTAACCGCTCACCGTTCCAAGGACTTTAAAGAACATCAGATCCATCTCAATACCGAGTTCCATGGTATTGGCGGCATACACACCGAGAGGGAAAGTAAATCCCCACCAACCCATATTGAACGGGAACGGGGAGCTGTGAAGCACAGTTGCTAAGGCAAATACTAGCCAGATCAAACCAAAACTCCACATGAGAAGTGAAATGAAAGCACCCAGCACATAGGCGAGTCTGCCAGCCAGGGGATCGAGAATGTTTGAGTTTGCCAGAAGCTCTCGGGCGACCTTCCCCATGAAAATGATACTATAGCTAATCAGCAGGAAATAGAGACAAAGACGGCATGCAGCAGAATTCTTACCCAAAGCCACCGAACCCCAAAGGCCCTAGGGGTAAGAAACAGCTCACGATCATTTCCCGTGGTGGAAGCTTATGTACCGCCAGCCGCTGATAGTAGATCACTAACACCACGAGGGCCAAGGGCGTGCCCATACCCCAGAGAATATAGGAAACAAGAAGCGTGCCGAGAGCATGTGACTCGTTAGGCAGAATGCCGGCAACCCTTGCGCCCACTCCGGCGGCTACAATTGTTGCCGCAATTGGTAGTAGTTGGATGGCTGTGATCCGATCCAATGAGGTGATATGGCGTTGGGAGATTCTAGCAAACCCAAAATCAGCACAAATAAATCCAAGGCTAGATTCCAAAGACCGACAGAATGAAGGATAGAGAGAGGGTAACCGCTGCCGCCGCAACGACATCAATTATCCACAGCACCCAAGCAACGGTTATAGCCCACGGGCCCCATAGCGGCACGCAGATAAAGATCCACATCTCGATCAAAGTCGCAAAGCCCATGGGTGCCGTCGCCATATACAATGAATTTGTGGGGTCCTGGATCATGACTCGCCAGATCTCCGGATACAGGGAGTATCGCAGGACCGAGGTAAGAAATGCCAGACCAAAGAGCACCACATTCAGCAAGAAGAAGACTATGGAGAGATAGTGGAGTACTGGAGTATGAAATGGCACCGATTGCATCAACACGGCGACAATGCCCGTGCCCATCGTCGTGGAAAACCATCTGTCGCGTTTCTTAGCTCTGGGCCGACTGCAACTCGGGGGTAACGTACGAGGGACTGAAATGCCGGACCACACGCCTCCAGCCAGCATTGTGCTTAGAGATCCTGCCCGATGTGGTGGCAGGTACTTCGTTTGATTTTGGCATGTTTGTTTTGAAGAAAAGCAGGAGGGAAGAGGAGACAGGCCGGGAAAGTATACGGGAGTTGGTGCCTGAGGCGGCGGTATCGGCCGAGTCCGACAAACCGGCGGAGTGCCTTGAACAACCAATGAGCTCTGAATTCTAGCAGACCATATCCAACGAATATCTACCCTCTACCATGCGCCTACAATACCTGCAATAGGAATGTCAATGCCCGTCGTGTACGAACTGCCATCACTGAGCAGGTACACATATGCGCCGCCCAGTTCGCGCGGGTCGGCCAAGCGAGGCATGCCGCCATAGTATTGCATCTTCAGATCCCAGTCCGGCGACTTCTCGACATAGTAGGTCATGGCTGTGCGAACAAACCCGGGAGATATGCTGTTGACCCGGATCCCGTGCTTGCTCCATTCCATCGCGAGAGTGTGGCACATGTTCCGCACTGGACAAAAAGTTCAGTACGTGACAGTACATCCAAAAAGAATACGGATTGAATAACTCACCAGCAGCCTTAGTAGCTCCGTACGGGGCAGAAGGAGCAGCCTGTTTGAACTTGGTCAACATGAAAAATTTCAAAAAGCAGCATTCGGTCTTACCCGGTTTGGTCGATAGGAAGTCATGCTGGAGGTCATCACGATTGAGCCCTTGATACCCAGCTCGATGAACTTGCGTGCGACAATTTGGGCACAGAAATATGCGCCGAAGACCTACAGTATCGGGTTTAGCAAGACATTGCCAAGCCTGCAGACTGAAGCCACTAACATTCAGATTAAACAACTTCTCCAGTTCTGGACGGTCGAAGTTAAGAGCCGGCTGATGCTTGGTCATGCCAGCGTTGGCAACCAGACCATCGATTCGACCAGTTTCTTGCACAACCTGGTCAATGGCTTTTTGTACGCTCTCCTCCGAGGTCACGTCTGTCTGAATATACCGGAAGTTGGGGTACCGCTTCTGCAACCCCTCAGAATCCTCACCGGGCTCCATCATGTCCAACGAGTACACCACCTTGGCCGAGTTAGCCAGACATACTTCTGCAATACCCAGGCCGATCCCACGGTTGGCACCGGTGATAGCCACCACTTTCTCGACGAGAGTGATCTGCCATGAGAAGTTACTGGCAGGCATGGTGCTGAGGTAGGGCGTCGGGGTCTCGTTCTTAACTGCGTCGGGTACAGCATTTGCGGTTGCAACTGGAGGCATATTGGTGGTTCCGAAGTACACAGCAGAGACGATTCTCTCTCCAGGATTTGGTTTCTATGAAGAGCAGAAAGTTAATGGGTATATATAGGGACTCCCCACTTGCAGCGACACCAATACCCCTCCCTAACTTCGATTCTTATAACTAGATTACATCGTAGGGGTGGGTATACACTTCGGCACGAGGACGGCGGGACCCCTCCCCCGCCTGTGTTGGTAGAAATGTCAGCTCTTTTTCATGTACTAGGTCTTTGAACTACATATGCCAGCTGCCGTCAACTGGTACTTTAACCTCTCGCTATCTTCTATTCTGGAATCAGGCCGAGACCTCTCAGCTTTATTGATGCTGCAGTCCCTGGCTTTTTCCAGCAATTTAAATTTTAACATCATGCCTCTGCATCATTGTTCGGGTCGTGGCAGTGGAGCCATCTCGGCTCGGCGAGTAACTATTTTGCCCCATGGATGAATACCTCGTCACGAGGCACTGAACCACACGACAGAGTTTGCGGGGAAACTTACTAGGGGTGGATATTGTCAACGTACCTGAGTCTCCGACCGGGGAAGTCGCGTGGGATTATGGCTGTCAAGATCCTGTCGTCATTGGGAAAGGGCATACTGCGGTGCTCCGTGCGGCACATAAATATCTTGGACAAGGACTCATGGGGAGTTGGCAAGACGCAAGCTTCGGGCTGATCTTGACTCTTGCTCTAAATTACAATGGATTCTGTTGACATTGAGGATCAGACGAAGGCCGATATCTCGTCCAAGGAGATTGAACATGCTACTATGCATGAGACGCCCTCATTCTCGTCGGCGGAGGAGAAGGCCCTCGTGCGAAAAATTGATATGACACTGCTGCCGACAATCTGGATCATGTACCTGCTATCGTATATGGACCGCACAAAGTGAGCTGAGTTCTAATTGCCCCTTTGAGGGCTCATTGCTAATGGAATTGGTTTGCAGTATTGGCAATGCAAAGATATCCGGCATGGACAAAGACTTGAATCTGACCTCGGGTCAATACTCCATGGCCCTGGTGGTATTTTTTGTGGGATATGTAGTATTTGAGGTGCCCAGCAAGTATGATAACCCGACTCTCATCGTCATGGGACAGATACACTAACATGTCAGTGCAGCCTGGTCCTAAGTCGCTCCAAACCATCCTTGTTCTTGCCAGGAATCATGATCCTCTGGGGCATGCTCACATGCTGCATGGCCGCTATTCATAGCTTTGCGCATCTCGTTATCCTTCGAACCATTATCGGATGCATAGAAGCAGGCTTCGCACCTGGTGTGCTGCTTGTCTTGTCGTCGTGGTATAAACGCACGGAACAGTCCAAGCGTTTTGGCGTGTATATTTCAGCAGCCATCCTGTCGGGGGCCTTTGGAGGTCTCCTTGCCGCAGGTATTGTGGATGGCCTGGAGGGTGCACACGGAATTCGTGGCTGGCGTTGGCTCTTTGTATGTTTTCAAAAAAAAAAAAAAAAAAAAAAGAAATTGGAGGTTGTTTCTAACAGCAAGCTTTCTAGATCGTTGAAGGGGCAGCAACAATTGGATTTGCGATCATTTCCTTATTTATTCTCCCTGACTTTCCAGCGACCTCAAAGCGCCTTTCGGAGCGTGAAAGATACGTTGCTGTGACCCGACTGGCTATAGGAAATGTTACCGCCATTACCGAAGACAGCGAAAAGCTTTCCAGCTGGCAGGCTGTCGTCATGTCAGTCAAGGACTTCCGGACCTGGATGTTTGTCGTGGGATACATGGTGAAGCTTCTTTCTGTGCTACAAGAAATAATAGTCTCTAACCATGTGAATACGGACAGGTCATCGTCGGCTCCAGTACCCTCACATATTTCTACCCAACCCTAGTCGCTGGACTCTTCAATAAATCCTCCACGGAGAAGGTCAACCTCCTGACCGTCCCCATCTACGGCTTTGCCTTTGTCTGCACAGCGATCACGGCCTATTTCAGTGACAAGATCCCATCCTTTCGAGGAGTGGTAATTGCGGCCTGGCTCGCGTTCTCCCTAGCATGCTCAATCGTAGTATGTGCTGTCTATGACTACACAGCCAGATATGTGTTGCTAGTACTCATGGCAGCCGGATTGTGGGCTACTAACGGTGGAACACTGGCTTACGCATCATCTGCCTTTGCTGGAATGCACCCCCAGGCCCGAGGCGTTAGCCTGGCTTTGGTCAATGCGCTTGGAAATTTGGCCCAGATCTATGGCTCGGTATGTTTCAGTCTATTAATGCCCTGTCATGCCTACTAATCTACAATTAGTACTTATTCCCGGACGTAGATAGCCCCAAGTATATCATGGGCTTCTCTGTCATATCTGCGATGCTGGCATTGGGAGTTGCTGTGTTCGTTGCTCTGCACATTTGGTATCACAGAGAGCGCGATTTTTCTCAAGAGGAATAGCGCCTTTCTTTTATTTGAGAGATGGCAACGATAATTATTACGGTCTTATTGGATCTGCGGTCTTTTGGTTAGGATATGGTACAATTGTGCTGCCCACTCGTCATTAAATAATCCTTCAGGGTCTAAACCCCCAAATACTTCTTTAGAATGGAGAGAATATCCTCTACACAAATGCAGATGGCCAGCACACTCACCTATGTGGCATTGAGACTGCAATAGCCAGTTCGTAGAGAGACGCGAGAGACATGCGAGAAACATGAAAAAGAGACCAATCTCGTGAACCTCGGTCAGAGAGGAACATAGCGTCCACAAGTTTGTTGACTCATAAAAGCATGGGTTGTCGATAAGCAAGGACAAAAAGTCGTTCGGCGACCATGTTTATCACAGTCAAGAGTACTGATTAAGGTTGCAAACATGAGAAAATGAAAGACATCATTATTGACTGTTTTCATCCAGCAAACTCCGAGAGATCATCTTTCTGATATTCCAGTTCCAGTTCTTTGCGCAGTGAGGTCAAGGGCCAGCGCACTCGATTTTGGCACGAGTCGAGAAGATCCAGAACCACCAGCCGTTCTTGGGGATCATACACGCACATTCCAGCTGAAAGCCAAGTTAGCTGCATTTGTTCCCCAATCCAAATCACTCAGCTTACCTCCAAAAAGACAGTGCATAGAGACCAGACTCGCCGCATTTTCTGCTTTGTCAACTGTCCGCGCAATGCCACAAATGGTGTTCATGGATAGGGCAAGAAGCTTTTGAGCTGCACGATAATCCTGATAACCGCCCGAGGACGGTCGGTGAAGAATTACGAGGACTCGAGCAAGACTGTGTATCTGCAGCCCAGCAGCATAGGATGGCGGATGAACCCAGATAGGCGGGAACGGCTCGGTGTGGGAGATGATAGGTAGGGGACTAAAGTCTTGAGGTAGAGCGTCATGCCATTCCTGTAGCATATAGAGCAGCTCGCTGCCCCGTTCCAGACGCTGTGCCATGTTTGACGTTTCTATCTCCTCTTTGGATGCATAGTTCACGCATTGTGCCAGCAAATACGTGGCGCGTGTGGCCAACTCTGCCGCCGTCAGGGCTGATGCAGGCTTTTTGGGTTGCCAGAAACTGAACACTCGACGTCGCTCGCGCATGGCAACCCAAACATCTTGTCGCAGCCATGCCCACCACACGGCCTGCCGGAGACCACCAGATTCGCCGTCATTGTCCTGAAATCGTTGAATCCAGAACACGCCCTTGAGATGCCGCTCCCAATCTTGATTGGAACCATCGATCATCTCGTATGTACTAATGAGCAGAGCCGTTGCTATTAGTTCTGGGCTGTGGGTATAAGAGCTGTACTGCATCGCTTTGTTCAGATAGTGCAGTGTCTCATAATAGTACTCCACTGCCACGTTGCGGTCAATGGCCTCGTGATCGGATCCATTGACGGTGTCGGTTTCAGTACCTCCAATAGGGGGGTCAAGCATACCGGATCCTAGAGAGAGATGCCGTGCAGATAGCGCCAGAAGAGCTTTCATCAGGCCAAGATTTCGAAGTGCCAGACGTGGAACCAAGCCCGAGAAGTGCTTCTCGGGATCGTAAAAATCCAGCCATTGGCTAGAGATGCGCACAAAATGACGGAAGATGCGATGCTCACGATCGGATAGCACGATCGGATGCGATGTGCTCCATAATGTTTTTTCATCTGACGCCGTAGATTGCCCTTCAGTGTTTCGTGAAACTAACTGCGACTCGAAGGCGAAGTCCCTGGGGAAAGAGGCGGCCTGGAAGCTCTCGCGTTCTCGCCGACTCCGGGGCTGTAGATTTAATCGGTAAGGATCAGGCACTGCGACATCCCCCGGTGTGCTAGGAAACCACTGAGGTGGCGATAGCAAAAACCCATTGTCCGCGTTGGCGGCGTCAGTTGCCAATAGTTCGAACCAGCTGAGGGGCGCCACCCTCGATGCGACCGAGCTGTCGGTCCCTGGCGACGGGACGAATGGATCTGGTTTCTCGGCGGAGGCGAGGGTTGTGGGTATCCGGATGTTCGTCTCGCCTGCGGGCACAGATTGAGGGGCCACCGACACGGAATCCCTCCGGGTGCTCTCCTCGCGTAGTGGCTGCTCTTGATCGCAAGCGTCAACCAGTACCTGCAGTGGCGCATGTACGGAAGACCGTCTCGTATCGTTGGATACCTCTGGCGGGGAATCACTACCGGGCCCACACTGGGACTCGCGTGGTGTATAGACACAAGGGCGACTGCCTTTACTACAGGGCCCGCATTGTGGCCGAGCCTGCGAGGGTGAGTTAGGGCTAGGCTCGCGACGAAAGGGAGAAACTTTTCAAACATGCCTCGTCACATTTGACGTGGCGGCGTTTGCAAATGAGACTATATTCGTGGTCAGTGGCATCTTTGCTCGTGTTCGTGATTAACTAGTTGCGGGGGAAAATGCGACTAACCAGCCGGTCGTTGTCCGAAGTCCGCGACCCCGAGATTTGCGTTTTGGTCGAATCGGGCCTTGTGTCTTTGTCATGTCTTGCCAATGGGCTTCGGGACGGTGCACATGGAGTTTCAGCTTCGCAGCCTGCAGCCGAGATCTGGAAAAGGGGAGAAGAAGGATGGGGCACGGCCAATCGATATCGACGCCGCTTGATCGATTGACCCACTTGCTCGCTCCATGTCGGGGCCGTGCGCTTGAACTCGGCACGAGTGTAAAGGTGGGCTGCGAGACGGTATAAAGTGTTGGGAGCTTTGAAGAATGTCATCAATTCCGACACAATGAGCTGGCGCGAGAACAACCGGACATTGCAAATTCTCTCGGCGGCGGAAAAAGGGGGCTATGGAGTCCTAGCAGCTATCGTGTAAGTCAACCGCATCGCTATGCCAGCAGATGAAGACTGAAATGGGACAGATATAATGTAGAACATATCACAGCATTCGTACAGGCAGCAGAGCAGCGCCGGTCGCCTTTGATTATTCAACTGTTCCCTTCATCGCTCAAACAAACGCCCTCGCTGGTTTTTGCCGCCGCCGCAGCGGCGCGAAACGCCTCAGTTCCAATCGCTGTCCATCTAGATCATGCACAAGGATATGAGCACGTCAGAGAAGTGGCAGACAAGCTCCCATTTGACTCGATCATGGTGGACATGAGCCACTATGAAAAAGAGGAGAATCTGGAAAAGACTCATATCCTGCGCGAGTACTGCCACGAGCGCGGGATCTCGGTAGAAGCAGAGACGGGGCGGATAGAAGGTGGTGAAGATGGCATAATGGGCACGGGGGATCTGGCTGGTAAGAAATAACGGGTTCGTTTCAGAATTTATTGTCCTGACAGCGTTTTAGCGATCCTGACCAACCCAGAAGACGCTGAAGAGTTCATTGCTGCGGGAGTGGATTTCCTGGCTCCGAGCGTTGGTAACATTCATGGCGACTACGGGCCGAAGGGACCAAATCTCGACATGGAAAGACTAAACCGAATTTTCAAAGTCCTGAACGGCCGGGTGCGATTGGTACTGCATGGCACCAATGACTTTTCTCCCGAACTGACACAGTCCTGCATCCAGGCCGGGGTGACCAAGGTCAACGTGAACAAGGTTGTACTGGACCCGTGGCATGCCCACCTGAGGGCGAATGTTGATCGGCCTCTGACGGAGCTCATGGAGGAGGGGATTCAACTCCTGGCCAAGGAGATGGGGCGGTGGATGGATATCGTTGGTAGTAGCGGGAAAGCATGAGTTGGGTGGAGAAAACTGAGGGCTGCGAACAAATAAAGTGTGGGGGTCATTTATGTCACATAATAAACCTATAGATATCTTGGTTTACTTGCATAAAAAGAATGGTGTTTGGGTTAGAGAGTATAGTATTGACTAATGAAGCAAATGGCAAATTAAAAAGTAAAAAGCCCCCGTAGCGAATACTTACACGACAGGCCATCCAGTGGAAAAATCAATCTGATTCCACCCAAATTGCTTCTGGTCGTCAGCATATCCGATATTCGTGTTGATATAGTGATAGTAAAGAACAGGGCCCAGACTGGGATCCGTGTAGACACCTCTGCATTACACGGTTAGGTTAATATTCTTCTCAAGTGAGCAATGGCCCTTACTGCCCACCAGGACCATAGACATTTCCATGACTTTCCAGCACAATAGTACCTCCTCCATCTGTGCAAGCAATACCATCTTCGTCGACCTGGGTAGCAATCAGTATCTGTAATAAATATCCACAGACCAACTTACAAAACCACCGCTGACATAGGTTGACCTGCAAACCTTTATCTTATATTCCTGTCCAGCAGCAGGCATAGAAGTGTCATAACCACAGCAAATTCCTGCTGAGTAAAAAAGATAGTAGTAATCTCCATAATGATACATATAAGAGCCCTCAACAGCATGGTCCCCGGACGGATCGTAGGCAATGTTGTATGACGAGGACGAACTTTTTGTGGCAGCTGAGTTCATTGGCACTTGGTAGATATCATCCCAGAAAGAGCCAAAGTTCAGGTAATAGGTGCCGCCAACATCAACCAAATTGGGATCAATGGAATTGTATATCTTTGAAGATGTCGACGCGACGCCTGTGGATCCGTGGTCCGTCCAGGAGTTTGCCTCCATGGTTTCCGATGTTGCCAACCCGATGGCCGAGTCCTGTGAGCCGAATGTGGAAACGGCGTAGTAAACGTAGTATAGGCCGTCGACGATATGAGCATCTGGTGCCTATGCCATGTCCAAGTTTATTAGTCTGGTTGCTCATAATAGCATCCAAAATATAACGCATCAGAACTAGAAGAGAGTAAATACCCAGAGATCGGTATTTCCAGCCAAATCAATTGACGATCCGCCAGGCAGCATAGACCCGATCACCGTCCACGGACCCTCAATCGAAGACGAACTGGCATACGAGATTTCATTTCCAGTAGAAAAGCGGAAGTAGACATTATCGGAAGATCGCTGGATCAAAGATGGGTCGCTGACGACACACTCTCCCGAACAAGATCCCGGGTTAGCGTATGCATCTACTAATGCAGCGAAAAGCAGCACAAGATTTGGTACGCAGCGAAGCTCCATGATTTTGATAATGCAAAAGTGGTTGATTTCATGTCAACGTTCATTGAAGACTATTTATTTGCAGAAATGTGAGCTACACAGGTCCAGCTAATTCGTGGAATATGCAGCGCTGGGTCCAACACGGCCACGGAGCGACGTCCTTGTCACAGGGCCCTATGAATCTATCAACCTCGGGATACGGGGAGTAAATAGCTGGACAGGAAGTGTGATGGTTGCAGAGCCAGGCGGATGAGTGCAGGGTCCGGCGTCCGATTGGTGGGATTTGCGTGGTGATACATGAGCCAAGACGGAATACCCCGGACGCGAAACAAGTCCACATTCGGGGTATGGTCACTCAACTGCGGGGGAGTTTCGTCAGTCGGTTAAAAAAGGCATGCAATATACACAAAACGGCTGGTGAATTCTTTTTTAACCGAGTATAATATTAGAGATGTCCGGTGCAGGATAGGGTATAATCCCGGCTGGCACCGTGGTTTCAGCGATCCTGCGATGCATCCATCACATCACAGTAGGCCAGCCATAACCCGGGTCAATGCCTCATCCTCAGCATGAAACGCGTCAAGCGCGTTTGGCAGCCTTCCGCCATTGGGATGGGACACTCCCGCATCAAACAAATCCGTACCGCCGCGCGGATCGAAATATAGTCCGCCGGCGATTTCAAAGAAGCTGCTGAGATCTTCACATCCATTTGTCTCTGCGTCTCCAACCGTGCCGGGGGATATTGGCCAGAAGCCACTGGGGGGCTGCGGTTTAGGGAATCCGTTCGTCTGGTGCAGACTAGGCGTGTGCTGCGCACTGGGGGATTGTGTGGATGTCGAGACCGGGGTAGACTCCCAAGCAATTGGGGTTAAATTGGGATGCGATGTTGAATGGCAGTCGAGGTTGGGGATGTGTTTGGCACTGGATGCCTCATGGGGGCCATGGACGAAATGCCGACGACTTGACACATTATCCCCGTGTACGTTCAGCTGGATTCGCTTTAAACTGCGAATGATCTTCTGAAGACGACGAGATGTTCGGGCACGGGTTGCTGAGCGCCGCACCATATCCACAGCTGTGTAAAACTCTGGTCGGCAAATATGACTGAAGCGAGCCGGTGCATGTAGAACCGCAAGGAACAAAGCGGCGAGAGCCGATAACAAAAAGTAGTTGAACGGCTCCGGTCGTTGGAAGTAGACATGAGAGACACGGCTAAAAGAATGCAGCATTTGCACGGTGCTTTTCGCGGTCTCCACAGCAGTAGTCGCCCCGCTCATATCTTCTGCGATTCGTTCACTGCTAAGGAGGTTCTGGCGATAGACAAGAATGCGAAGTTGGTTAGCCTGCAGGGCGAGCAGCACCTGCAACATCATAGTACGATCAGTGTGCTCCGACCCCACCGGGGAGCGCCAGGCTGGGTCGAAGCGTAGATCATCTGGGATAGACCGAATCCATTGCTGAACCTGTGCATCGAGGTAGGCGCATCCGTCTGACGTGGCCTCGCGTGAGCGGCTCTGCCACCCGGTTACTAATCCCCAGATCTTGGTGCTCAGACGTGCGTAGGAGATCATGCAGGTCAAATACGGGGTAGAGTGTCCGGGCTCTGGGAGATCGGTGTCCATGTCCGAGTCTTGGATGGCAAACGGCAATCCGGTCCCAAACGACCACTTCCGGTCTAGCACGTAGATGCACCAGAACAGTCGGCTGGCCCATGTCTTCTCCAGCTCTCCCGGAAAGACGCCATCTGCCTTTTGCCAGGTATCCTGGCAGTGAAGACCGAGCTCCATGCTGCCTCGGGCAGCCATTCCAGTCAACCGCCATGCAATCACTTCGTCGTCTCTGTAAGCGTGGAAAATCGCCTAATGTGGTCAGCAGACTCTTAGGGATAAGTCGGTGAGAATCGTACAAGTAATGTCAGAATCAGGATCTCTTTCATGTCCACCTCGGCAATCTTCAAACGGCTGGCAAACCGGTCTTCAACGCTGTCTGCCAGTTGAGCAGCACGCTCGCTACGACCATGAGATTCGGCCAGCAGTGCTGTAGCCAGAAGGATCTTCAACACCTGGATATCACGGGCAGAAAACCAGTCTCGATCTGTAGTCGTTTTTGACGAGGGCAAGTCCGAGGTCTCTGGATGGTGGAAACGAAAGTAGTCGCGCACGTAGGCTCGCACGCTGCTTAAATCAACACATGGATACATCACACCAACGGTGTCTTCATAAACCCGAACAAGCCTTAGGGTTTCTTCCAATCCCAGGATGTCGAGCGGGTCACCTGTAGCCAGAGCATCTCCATTCTCAGAAGGTGCAGGGCTCTGGATGGCAGTTGACAAGCCGATCTCCTCGTCCGGGCCCTCGTCGTCGGCTGGGTCATCTTCAAGGGGGTGAGGTCGATGTGGCCGACTCAAGCCGAACTCTGCGCTGGTAGGCCCGACATATGATGGGGATTTGGGTGGATTTAAAATGCGATGCAGGCTCGAAGCCGGTGCCGCTGGTGGTCGTGAAGACACTCCAGGGCTTGTTGATTCCAGCGACAGCAGGCGGGCGGAAAGGTTCCGCACCTCGCGCTGCAATGTTTCCAGGCTGTGATCGACCGCTTCAAATTTCGTACTCACGCTAAGGGAGTCAGCAACTCCTCTGTAATTGTCTGCCGTTGGATAGAGGGAAGGTGGCCGACTATTGAGATCGTGGATACCTTTCATCCTTGACCTCGGGCTCCAATATGGATGTCCCCGGGGTGCGCTGAGTGGTCGCGTAGACACATGAAACTTGGTCACGGGCACATCGTGCACAAACGGTTCCGCCGCTACATTTCAGTTTCCGTCGCTTGCATTCCTTGCTAGGGCCACTATTAGCGAATGGTACGGCCGCGGATCGGGAAGTAAGCAGAACGTACCAGGCGACTTGGGTATACTTGGCTCTTTTCCGGGCGCGCAGGAACTGGATTGAATCACCGTCTCGCTTAGGGGAATCGGGGATCATGCTGTTTTGGTAGGGTGTGGATGAGAGATGCAGGAAGCAAGTGAGGAGAGATCGGTCGGAATTCGGAAAGGAGAAACCGAGCAGTCTCCACTTGGGATCGACCAGCAAGTATGTATACAGTTGACGATTAGTTGAGAGATACTATGATGTATGCAAAAATAAAACCGATAATAAGAAAAGTCTAGCGATGATTGATCCGGCTGGGCTGAGCCGGGCGTGATTACTAACCTTTGAATACGATGCTGTCGCCCCTCCTCGGACAAGGTTTTGACACCTGCTTTGGTTCGACAGCGTCAGGAGTTTGACCGAATCTTCCATTTGAAAAGGGACTATACCGAAAAAGCAACATGGCGGAAAGGCGAGCAGCAAAATCCTTGGTTCTGCCGGCCGTAGAGGAGGATGCGGTGGAGCGGAAGCGTGTCCTTAATGTTCTGGCACAAAGAAGATACCGTGCGTTTCCCTCTCAGCAGAGCAAACCTACTGGTAGCAATACTAAGCCCGCACAGGAAGAAGAAAGAGGGAACGTCTCCAAGCTCTTGAGTCTAAAAATAAAAGAAACGAGGTACCAAGAAGCGAAGGGAATGAAGTGCAAACCACATCAGAGTCTATCAGTGATCCTCCCGCTGCCATGGATCATCCACTACCGTATCTTGACACAGACATCATTCTACCACCCCAAGAAGAGAACTCCACCGATCCCTTCTTGCCATTCTCTGCTTCTTCTATGGCGGTCTTGGCACCAATTCCAGATCTGGCAAAGTTTAATTCCCAGCAGTCGGTCAGCCTTTCTCCCACAATCGCATGGGATCCCTTCTTGGCAACAACATGGCCCGAATGGATGTCACAGTCTCCCACGTCAGATGAATTTGGTGACAAGCTTCCATCTGTTGAATTAAGCGACCTACATAATGACTGGGGACTCTCTGCGGCGCTCCAAACCGACGAGACGTCTTTTTTCACCTTCCCAGATGATGAGCTGCTCGAGGTTCCCTCCCTCGTCCTGCTGAACGCAGCAATGAAAGTTGCACAAAGGCTAAATATTACGGACCTCCTCTGGGAATTTACAGCAGTCAGTCGTTTCTACCAAGCAGCTCGCTCTTCTCTGCCTGGCCTATCACCTCCAAACTTGGAAAGCAGCTCGTCGACATCAGAATCGTTATCAGCAAATCTCTGCCAAGACAGAAGTCAACCAATTGATGTGACTGAGCTACCAACACATCTTCAGCCGACCCGGACCCAACGCCTGATCCCCCACCACCCAATACTGGATCTTCTTCCTTGGCCAAGTACACGGGACAAGCTGATCCACGTCTTTCATCTTCCTCCTAATCTACGTCCACAGTGCGCACAGGATCCAATGGCGCTTATGCATTTAGTGTATGATATGGAGGATGACAGTGGGGAAGGGGTCAGAATTCACGGAGAGGATCCTTTTGAGCCAACTAGATGGGAAATAGGCCAAGTGTTGTTTCAGCGGTGGTGGTGGGCATTCGAGAGAAGTACCGTGGAAAGAAGCAATCGAGCTAGGCAGAGGAGAGGCCAGAGCGAACTGTTATTGAAAGGTCACCAGAACTGATACAAACAGAATTGAGGTGGAATAAAAGAAAGAAAAAGCACCGCACTTCTATCCTGACGACATTCAATGGAATTGTTACACAGCATTGAGCGATTTTCCGGCCTTGTACAGTGCCCAGATAGGAATTGAAATACTCCAAGCCCAAACACCCGTGCGCAAGTAGCTAGCTGCCTCTGAGCGAACCCCCATGTATATCGCTGTATACAGCAGACGCGCGCCTAGATACTCGAACGCGAGCGAATTTAGGTCTTTAGCGGGCAGCTTAGCCAAGTTTCCCGCAAGCTGTATCAAACTATCAGCACCTCAGCATGAGCTAGATTTCAGTATTCATGACCCACCATAGCAGCAGCAAACATGGGAATCCCTTCAAGAGCATTTAGGTGAGCCCCACGAGCACGAGCAAGTTTATCCCACACCTGAGCCGGGACGCGACCTTTCAGAATGGACAAGTTTTCGCGCGGCCTATTCTGTATAAGCAATTTGTTCTAGGTCGGATTGTTGAACAACATACAGTATATTGCTCGATTGGCCCTTGGCGTTGGCCATCATCTTCACCAGATAGTAGCCGTGCGGCGCGATGCCGAGGCCATATGCGGCAATGATGGAATGAATGGAATAATTATTGTGAGACATCTCGAAACCCGGATCTTATGGTATTTAACCGTTTGGATAATTTGAATATTTGAAAGACCCTCGAGTTCAGGGTCCTACCTTATATATTGGCTGGGTTCTTGGGAAGCGTAACGTTAGGGGGTCATCTTTCTCACTCCATAACCCCGATGTGTCCACCATGATTCGGTCTAAAGTATGGAAACCCATAACAGCTTATGACAACACAAGCTCTAGAAATGAAGGCTCGCTTCGGGTGAAAGTATCATAGTCATGGCTGGCGTTATTGCCCTCGTATTCCCTGGAAGGGCCCCACATGCCGGGACACGAACATAACGTTATGCTTGACACCAATTTCTACAATGACTGATGAATCCACCTATCTAATAATAATAGTACTAAAAACTAGCGGACTGTCTCTCTGCTATAGTCTTCGCAGAACTTTCGCAGGCACACCGCCAGCCAGACATCCAGCTTCGATATCCTGCGTGACCACAGCACCAGCTGCAATGGTAGTGCCTGCTCCAATACGCACTCCGTCTAGTATGGTAGCTCGTGCGCCGATCCAGCAGTCCGCCTCAATGATGATCGGGTGAGCAAAAGACGTACCACTCGCTGCTCGCCGGTCTTTCGCCGCAGTCTGGTGAGTCCCAGTGCAAATACACACGCCCGGCCCAATAAGGACGCGGTCGCCAATTCGGATGAGGGCGTTGTCATAGAGTGATACTCTGACTCTCATCAGCCAAGGAAGCTAAGAACAGGCAGTAAGCTCACTCGCGATTGATATAAACCCCGTGTCCAATGAATACATTGCAGCCCCAGCCGACGAAAAACGGCGGCTCAATATTTACTCTCTCGCCTATCTGGCCAAGCATAGATTTGGCTACAGCCATCCGCCGTTGCTTTAACGATGCAAGTGTGCTGTTTTCGGGGATTGTCAGAGTATTGAACTCATTCAACTTCTTCAGCGTTCCCAGTTTATATTCCTGCATTTCCGGAGAGTTGGATGTTGAAAAGCTGCAGAATGAACCTGTCAACCTTATATCACAAACCGGGACGCAGATTTCAACAGACTTCAACCCACTAATCATCTTCTCGTATTCATCACACCATGGAACGGGAACGTGGCTCTGTTGAAGTTCCGAAATCACCCTTGGATCTTTTGCTGTTGATGCCATATTTCTTGAGTTCTACGAGAGCGGGGAAGAGAATGAGATCACGAACGTAGGTTGTCAAGGAAAACCCCGGTGCCCGCCATCGGCTACTTGCATGTCAGATGGCAGGACATTAACTGAATTAGGAATAGCTCGCTCGAAGGGAGAATAGAATAGGCCGAGCTGATTATATTCAGAGAGTGATGAGTTTATTGATTCTGTCCCTAGCATACACAGATAGTATGTGTTTCAGAAAGAAAACAGTCTTCGGGATATGTTGTCGGCTTTGAATCATACAGCACTGCACCTACAGCAATAGCAGAATAGTAAGCATAGAGCCTCCAAGCTAGACCCATACATAGATACACAGACAACGCGAACATAGCTTTCACAGCCGGAAAAGATCAGGACTAATCCCAGCCAAATGGCAAGCACCCTCGTACATCCTCTGCAATACCGACCGCATCTTATCCAAGTCAATCGAGTCCCTGGACCAATATTTGAGCGTACGAATCGACAACCGGATCAAGGCCGGCCAGTTCGTCGGCACACGAAGGCCCCAGTCACGCGCATAACGGGCACTGGTGAGATGGCAGAGCACGGCTGCAAGGATCTGAAGCGCGCATCCGAAAGTGCCTCGCATGACGTTCCATACCCATTCGTGTCGGAAGTTATACCAGTAGTTTGGTATCAGCTCGGCGCAGTTATCTATGGCGCGCTGGGCTACTTGGAACACTTGCAGCAATACCGGGTTATTGCCCGGTGTAAACCCTGGCATCGACTGGTAGTGCACGGCCAGATAAACGACAGGTCGGTAGATCCGTTCCAAGCCCATGCTGTAGCGGCCACGCAGGAGGAACTCCAAGTCCTCATTCGCGGAATCTGGCAGTGGCTGTCCTATTGGGATCATTTTGAACCTAGTCCTTTCATTAGTAGATACTATAACACAAAAAGTATCAACGTTCCATACCATGAGTCGACTACTGTTTGAGCCTCGGCACATTGCCCTAAAACATGTTGGATATTATTGGTCCAGCTGTGTTCGCCATGCCGCCACAAGTCACAGATGATAGCGTTCACGGTCCGACGGTTGCAGATCGACGCGATGTAGAACATCCAGCCTTTTTCCTCCTCGGTTCCACTGAGTTGTGTCTCGGGTGTTGAAAATGAGGAATGACCATCATCCATGTTGTCCGGCGATCCTGTTGCTGATGGTGTTTTCGGATATCTTGGAAATGGGTTCAAGTACCGAATGCTATACAGCCCAGTGCTCCATAGAGGCAGTTCACACTGCGTCTCACTTTTTGAGAGGTGTGAGCAACACTAGCGTTCAATAATAATCAGAGTATCTTACTGTTCAGCCTGAATACATGCCCAGTATAGACGCGATTCAAGGTTGTGATAGTCCGTATTTGCCATCCACTGCTCTCTGTTGAAAGAACGCAACCGTACTTCCAACCTGCAGGAAGCTTGCTGGAAACAGAACCACGCCTGCAAAGGGCGCATGACATGTCTCTCGTAAGATCCAGCAAGAAGAAAGCATTGGATGTCAGTCGGGGACGTCTGCAACGAGCCCAAGCGCCTCTTGGCGGCATTGAACCACTTTTCTGCAAGCTCAAGCCTCACCGTAGAGGGTGGCGGCGGGATTCCGTCCAGATCGTCGGGAATGCCTGCCAATGGCTTAAATTGGCAAGTGCAATAAGCCAAGGCGCACGCTAGCAGCTTTACAGCTGATCAGCCACCTGAGTATAAATCAAGTCGGAAAACATACCACTTGACATGAGGGTCCATCCCACCCAATACCCTGTTCGACCACCTCGCCGGCATACTGCATGAGCTTTTCAGCATCGAGAATTGGGTTGCGTCGGTGGTTTAAATTAAGATATTCCTGGCACAGACGGATGATATCGTCTTGGATAACGCCTACGCTGGACGATTGATTATCCAGCTGGGGCTGGTTATCCAGAGAATCAAGTAAGAAAGAGCGGACATGTCTCTCTGACTCAGTTGTAACCTTATTGAAAATGGGCCAGCGCAACATGTACTCTGGCGCATTGGCGGTATAATGGAGCAGGGGATCATGATCCGAGCCCCTCTCCTCCTCGATCCCGGTACTGCTACTACCATGGATATTGCTCCCCGAGAGTGGATCGGTCAGGGGGCTGGCATTTCGTAGAGTCATATCAAGCAGGGAGTCTTTGAGCGAGCGGTTCGAGAAAACGGTCGACCCGCTGCTCCCCTCCTGCCTGATATCCTCCAGCAGGGCGGTGATGTGGCCGAGGCGCTGAAGAATCTCATGGCTGGACGAATCGAAGCCGGTCCTGCCAAGCTATGTCTCAGCGGCTGTCCTTAAATTGAGAAAATGATCAAAACTTACTGGGGCGGCCGCGGAGAAGTCTCGGGGTAGAGGCACTGTGTACCCTGCATGACACAGTAGCTACAGACCGGGCGGACATTGTCGCAGCGCGTCTTGCGATTCCGACAAGTCTGACAGGCTGTCGGGGCCCGTGTGCGGCTTTCACGCCTCTTCGACAAGGTCTGTTCCACGTAGTCCATCTCGACTGGAGCATAGAAACTACTGTTTCTGGACAGTGAAGATGCAGCGTCGGGGAGCATCGGGGACATGGGAATAGGGGAAGCAAGGAAACAATACATCCTATGGGTACTGAGGCGTACTTAGGGGGATCGAATTACCTGCGGAGAAGGGCCGGGCCATGGCCCTGGTCTGGGAGACAAAGAAACACGAGGCTATTTCCATCCTGGGCCGCTTTCATCCAGTGCTGACGGCTGTGGCGATTAGGGGAACAAAGAAAACGAGGGCCAGGCGATGCCACGACCAGGGCTAGTCCTGCAAACACCCATGACCGGACCAGAGGTCGAAGCGTTCTTATTGGAAGGATCTTCCCTAGGTTCGCCATCCTAGCGGTTGTGCGAGTCCCCGATCCCCGGTCTACGGCTCCGGGGACATCAGCACGTCTCGGCCCTTTTGGGTTTGGTGCAGCGCCTCAGCTGGGACGTCGAATCGGATCACAGGTAGAAATGCACTCGATGTTGTTGCTATTTCTATCCCAGGTTCTGAGATGGTAGGGGGTCAAGGTGGGGGGTTGGGGGGGCATGTTGCTGCTAAAATAGTGTAGGCTCACCCAGCCAACTTGGGATGTACGCGCCGCCAGGAGGAATAAATAATTGAACAAAGTCATTCATGCTCTGCACTGAATAGAGAACAGGAAACCAGGTATCTGTCCATATCGCCGTGCATCGCTAATGCGCACTGAAAAAGCCACCGAGTGTGCAAAGTACATGTACATGCGGTGCTCCCGGCATCTTTGCTCGGGCAGACACAAAAATCAGACTCCAACGCCAGTAAAAATGCACTCAAGACATCATATCAATTCCCATCACCGAACCTTTCTCTTGGCCCGCTTCGCAGCGGGTGCCTCACACAGTTCAGTCCAAGCATCTTCAAATACAGTCTTCCGGGGCCCAATCTGGCCCTCGTAGAAGTTCAACTTCCGCACGACCTCCATAGCGCCCGTGCCCAATCCCACAGTCTTGCCCATGATGATACACTCAGACACACCCTCAATCAAATCAGTGCGGCCTGCACCGCCGGCGTCGAAGAGATGGTCGGCCGTCTTCTCGAAGGAAGCCAACTGAAGCACCGAGTCACGCATCTTGGCCAAACCGAACCGAGTAATTCCCAGAACTTCGCCTTTGTATGTCATCACATCTGCCAGAAGTTGCATGTGCCGGGGATCGATGTCCATGTCCTTCATGACTTCGCTGATTTCCTTGATAATCGTAGTCCGTGCTGCCTCAATCCCGAGCACGTCGCGCGCTTCCATGACATTGTTGGTTGTGGTATGCAGACCGTTCACACCGGGGGTGGTCATGCACGCCCGAAGTCCGTAGCCCTCCACGAGCAGCGTGTGCTGGGTTGAGGTCTCGTCGGTGCGAATGATAGCACGGTTGGCATCCGGGTGGCCCCAGACCTGGATGTTAGGCAGGAGACGTCTCAGGTGCTTGAGACGTAAGAAGGGATCGACACTCGTAGCTGCTATCTCTGTCTTCGACAGGGAGGCCTTGCTAGATGGATCCAGGTCGATGTAGATCATGATTTTGTTGTCGGCATACGAGAACTTGAGATCATCAGCCTTGAATCGCTTGTGGTTCTTGATAGCTGTAAGGATCTGGCTGGTCGTGAGCTCGAGTTGCAACGCATCAATGGTAGTCTGGTTTATCATAATGGTAAGGAACGCCTGGCCGTCTGGAGTCCAATCATCGGAAAGCTTGGAGATGATGTCACGCAAGTATGTCTTCTCGATTCGCCCCTTGGTGATGCGGGCAGCGTGGATGCTAGCCTTGTTGTCCAGTTCACAGGAAATGACAGGAGTACTGATCGCCTTCGAGGCGTTGATGATTTCCTTGATACGAGGCACTCCCTGTGTAATACTCATACCAGCGACACCAGCAAAGTGGAAGGTCTTCAGCGTCATTTGCGTTCCTGGTTCGCCAATGGACTGTGCGCCGACAGCACCAACAGCGTGGCCGGGTTCGACCTGGGCTCTCTTGTATTTCAATAGGCATGCCGTGATAAAGGCTCGCAAGGTCGTCTCTGTCAGTTTGCCGGTGTGATCTAAGCCCTTTCGACTTCTCTTGTCGGAAGGGTCGATATCTCCACCACGAGAGATCAACTTTTCCGCTTTGGTTAGGACATACTGTTCAATCGAGCCAAGGAAGTCACGAGCACTCTCAAACTGATCGACACCGTGGTCGCTTCGGTCCGTATAATCAAGGTCTTTGCCTAGCAAGTCTTTACGGAACAACTTTGCGCGTTCCGTTGAGAGCATTTCCTCGCAAACATCCATGATTTCAGATGGCAACAAGCTGCGCTCATCATTGTTGTACGTAGTAGACTCAGAGTGGATGAAGGTTCGGTCAAAGTGGACAGGCTTGGCTTTGCCTTCCATATCCACGGGGTCCAGTTTATCGTCACCGTATTGAAATTGCACAATGGCAGCCGATGAATTCCGGACGGTGTCATCGTATCGAGTCGATAGATCTTCCAGGGATTTCATCAGCCGACGAGACATGTAACCAGTCTCAGCAGTCTTGACAGCTGTATCAACCAGACCTTCACGACCGGACATGGCGTGGAAAATGAACTCGGTGGGCTCGAGACCAGAGAAGAAACTGTTCCGCACAAATCCCTTTGAAGGAGGCTGGCGCGCGTTCTTTGGGAAATGTGGTAGGGTCCGATCTTGGAAGCCATCCTGCACACGTTGTCCACCAATAATCTGCTGACCGACAAGCGCAACCATCTGGGACACGTTGATACTGGAACCCTTCGATCCAGAAGTGGCCATGATCAAAGGTGAGTTGTACTTGCTGAGCTGTTCAATACACTCATCACCGGCTTGCTGACGAACCTTGCTGAGAATACCGGAGATTTGGTTCTCCATGGTCTGCAGTTCATCACAACCAGGGTATTTTTCGAGAGTGTTGGATTTGTATTTGGCGATGACCTCGTCACACTGAGCATACGCGGTCTCGACAAGGTCGTTCTTCGACTTGGTAAGCTTCTCACTAGGGTACACGTCTGTGATACCGATCGAGAAGCCGATGTTGGTGAACCACCGCGCCGACAATTTCGAAAGCCGATTCATGCCCTCCGCAGCTGCGGCAGGGCCGAAATCTCTCAGCATGATGTAGAAAACGTTGTCCTTCTTTCCGGAACCAATCGTGGATTTATCCATAACACCACACATGACCTCCGAGTTACGGATGACCAGCCAAGCATCGTTGGGGTCCAGGTCTTTCGGTCGGCCATCCTTGGGTTGTTTGAACTCACGACACGCCGCATCCAGGTTCACAAGAACAGGGTCATCCTTGTTAGGATGCATAAGGACATTGAAAACCTGTTTTCCAGTCCAGAGCATCTGCGGCTTGAGGACCGACGGTGGTGGGAGGTCAAATCGGGTTTCCGGGCCCAGCATATAGAGGCAAATCTGCGCGAAAGAGGCGCGATCGAAAAAGTTGTCTTTGCTGCTGAGCAAGTAGGCGGCACTGATGAAATCCTGAATGGCAGAAATGATAGGTTCGCCGTTCTTCGGGGTGGCCAAGTTGTTCTTCACACCCATCAGTTCCATCGCCTCCGCTCTTGCCTCCTCCGTTTGGGGGACGTGCAAGTTCATCTCATCTCCGTCGAAATCGGCGTTGTAAGGATTGCAAACACATTCATTTAGACGGAATGTTCGGTGCGGTCGAACTTTAGCAAAGTGAGAGAGAATACTGAGTTTGTGGAGAGAGGGCTGGCGATTGAAGAGCACAATGTCCCCGTCTTCGATATGACGCTCGACCACATCTCCCTCTTGCAGCTGGTCGGCCATGTATTTCAGGTTGCCGAATTTCAAGTAGGTCTTGTAGGCGGAACCCTTCTTGACGATGTAGTTCGCACCAGGCCATTTCCTCATGCCATTACACACACGCTGTTGCAGCTTTGCCTTGTTGTACCGGGTCACGGTCTCTGGGTAGGTCATGTTTTTTGCCACCAGTTCAGGGACGGCAACCTCATCCACACGCAGGTTCGGGTCGGGCGAAATCACCGTCCGACCAGAGAAGTCAACACGTTTTCCCGAAAGATTACCACGGAATCGACCTTGCTTTCCCTTCAGCCGCTGAACAAAACCTCGAATGGGCTTTCCCAGGTCAGCTTTGTTAAGACCCGGCACATCACTGTTGATGTAGACCGCAATCTGGAGCTGCATGTAGTCCCAGCATTCCATGATGGTCTGCACTGGCACGCCCTTCAGTAAAGCGTTTTTGAGGTTGAGGTTGCTCTGGACGATGTCACCCAGCTTTGCAGTTAAGTCGTCCTCCGTCGATGCGGAATCTTGGCCCACGGAAGGCCGAATACACACGGGTGGGGCAGGAATGAACTGCCAGAGGAACATCTCCGGTCGTGCTTCTTGTGGATTCAGACCCAAAAGCTCACAATCTGTGTCTGAAACCCGCTTGAACAGCTTCAGGACACGCAAAGGGTTCATGTCATCCTGGGCCTTCTTGTAGTGTTTCTCCACCTCGCCATTTGATCTTCTCACTTCCTCAAAGGACGCATCGAAAACGACTTTGCTCGGCGGCGGATGCTTCTTGGCCGAGGTCGAGGCATTGTAGGCGCGGAATTTGTCGTGGGTGATCTTGAGTGCGCTAGAGCCAGTCTTTTTCACCACACCGTTCTCCGTACCGCAAATCCCACAGTGTCGAGTCTTCCTGCAACGCTCGTTGATCCGTTTGGCAATTTGCATGCGCCGTAAGTTATCCAGTCCTGGACGGCGCATTTCGCGAAGGAAGGCTCGGCGCTCCGCCTCGGGGAGTAGGATGTGCGAACATTCTTTGCAGATTTCTTGCAAGATTCCGATGACGCGCTTGAAGTAACCAACATGAAAAGCAGGAAGAACCAATCTGACATGGCCAAAGTGGCCGTTGCAAATGTGCAGCCCACCTCCGCAAGTCTGACAGGTTCCGGTCTTGTTCGAAATTCCCATGCGCGCGTCCAAAGGACCATGCGCCACGACCGTTCGGTCATTTTCAAGGTCGAAGAACTTACGATCCGAGACTTCGACCACAGCTTGTCCGACGATATCATCGTTCGTCCTGGAGGGCGGGTCATTAGCGACCAATTCTGCGCTGGCCAAAATGTGTCATCGCAGGGCAGAAAAACATACAGAACACCGAATTTCAACTCCTTGATCACTTTAGGGACACGGTCGATGACCTGGGCCTTGCCCAGGTCGACTTGCGCACCTTCAGGAGGCTGCATTGCCGACGTCAGGAACGGGGCATGGCAGGGCGAGCTGGTATGACTCGATTGTCACCAGCAGAGGTCAGCCGCAGCCCGTCGTGACACTAAGTGGGAAATGAGATAAAGCTGCTGGGGGTAATAGATACGGTTTGGATAATGAAAGGGAAAGCTCAGAAAGCCGAGCGAGAGGAACAGAGAAGAGGTAGAGGAGGTTGGCGAAGAAGAGAAGCAGCAAAGACAATGGCGGGGTTGGCCACGAACTTTTTTCTGCCGGCGAAGTGTTCACCGCCCTCGCGAAGTATGAATGGACAGACAGTTGTTGGGATTGTGTACGATTATTCATTTATTTATGGTTCTTCATAATACAGGGAGTTCCTTCACTTGGACAGGAACTTTTGGAACGCTTTATGCTCAATCACCACATTGCCAACGGCCCTCAGCCTCTTGCGACCCTCCTTCTGTTTCTCCAGGAGCTTCCGTCGACGACTAACGTCACTGGCATGCAACTTGGCCAACACGTCTTTGCGGTATGGTTTGATGGTTTCGCGGGCGATAATCTTTTTGCCGACGGCAGCCTGAATGACAATCTCAAACAATTGTCGATCGACATGCTCCTTGAACTTGGTCACCCACTGCCTTCCCTGGCGGTTGACCTGACTCATGTGCATGATCCGCGAGACGGCATCCACAGGCTCCCTGTTGACCAGCAGCTGGAGCTTGACGATGTTGCCTGCTCGCCAGGCGGACTCCTCGTAGTCCAATGTGGCATAGCCCTTGGTCGACCCTTTCAATTTCCCGAAAAAGTCGTCCACCAGATGCGCCAGAGGCAGCTCATATTTGAGGATGACCTGAGTCGCCGTGAAGTATTCGAGGCTGACTTGCTCGCCCCGGTTGGCCTCACATAGCTCAATCGCCTTCCCCAGGTATTCTTCTGGGAAGGTCAAGGTGGCGCGGACGTAGGGCTCTTGGATCTCGGCGACCTTGAGACGAACGCTATCATCGTCGGGAAACTTCGCCGGGTTCGTGATGATCTCCTCGGTACCATCTTTCCACACCACATTGACCGGGACTGAAGGCGGTGTGATTATAATACTGGCGCCATGTTCCTGGCGTAACCGATCTTCGAAGACCGAGCAGTGAAGGGTACCCAAAAACCCCATCCGGAACCCGGCTCCCAGAGCTTCAGATGATTCCTTTTGCACCGTGATACTCCGGTCGTTCAGACAAAGGTGGTTAATGCTGTCTTCCAAGTGCTCAAAAAGGTCGGCATTCACGGGATATACTGCCACGAAGACCATCGACTTGGGCTCCTCGAACCCGGGCAAAGGCTCTACGGCCTTTTCGGAACCAACCCGAGTGTATGTATCACCGACCTTGGCTTCCTTGCTTCGCTTCATGCCCGGATTGAAATAAATGTATCCGACCTGGCCCGCACGCAGAACAGTCTGTGCTGTCTCGGTGGGATACATGATCCCCACTTCGCCAACATAGTATTTGATGCCCGTTGCAAATGATACAAGCTGCTGGCCGGCACGGACCTCGCCATCGAACACACGTACCAGGAGGATTACGCCTTTGTACGAGTCATACCAGGAGTCAACAAGAAGCATGCGGAGCGGTTTTTCGCAGTCACCAACTGGTCTATGCAAGGATTAATATCAGATCAACAGATTGAACGAAGTCCCACATACGCTGGAATTTTGTCCACAACAGTGGGCAGCAAAGATTGCACATTCAACCCAGTCTTAGCCGAAACTAAAACCGCGTTGTCGGTCTCAAGCTCAAACGAGCTCTTCATCTGCTGCAAAGCCCGCTCTGGATCGGCGGACGGCAAATCCACCTTGTTGATCACGGGGATCAACTCGAGTCCCTGCGCGAACGCCAAATAGAAATTGGCGACAGTTTGCGCCTGGATGCCCTGGCTAGCATCAACTAAGAGCAAAGCACCGCCACAACTGGCATAGCTTCGCGAGACCTCGGCGCGAAAATCCACATGGCCGGGCGTATCCACCAAATGCAATAGATAGTCCTCGCCCTTGTGGTTGTAGATCATCGTACACGTCTGCGCCTTAACGGTGATTCCTCGTTCTCGCTCGACATCGAGTTTATCCAAGACTTGTTTGTTCATGCCGGGCTGGATGGTCCCCGTGAGTTCGAGTAACCGGTCGGAGAGGGTGCTCTTGCCATGGTCGACATGCGCGACGATGCAGAAATTGCGATAGCGCTCAATTGGAATTGCAGAAATGCGCCGCTCGAGATCTATGTCTGGTGTTCGTACCGCGGAGCGCGCAGCATTCCAAGACGCCGAGCTGGTGAAAACCCGGGCTGAATGGCGATTATAGATCGAGAGGCCAGTCGGCAGCCTGAGGAGACTCGCGGCTGGACTTGGCGCTGCGCTCAGCCATCGGGCTAACTGCAGACATCCTCGCATCTGGATCCGTGTGGCATGGGAGCGTGGAAGTGCAAGAGAGTAAGTCGTGTCCGGGCTCTTTGCGGAGAAAACCCGTAGGCGGTGAGGGGCGATTGCTGCGGCGACTATCGGCATAAACAAAGCTCCCTTTTCCCCTCGACACTCGCACCATAACAACAATCATGCCGGAAACAAAGGATTCCAAGGACAAGTCCAAGGTGCACAAGCTGTCTCTGAAGGGTAGGGTTTCTTGTCTGTGAATCGCGCCCCGCAACTGACACAAACATTTCCAGGGTCGGCCAAGCTTGTGGCCGAGTTTGTAAGTCGCCCTTCTTCCAAGCAGTCTGTGGTACTCTACTGACCGTGATCTAGTTTGAATATTCGATCAATTCCATTCTGTGAGTTGTTTCAATTGCTTTACATAGCTGCAGGAGCTCATGTGTCTAGCTTCCAACGAGGTGTCTACCCGCCTGAGGATTTCACAACGTAAGTCGCTCCAAGACCGTATCGGAACAGATTCTGATCAGCTTTAGTGTCAAAAAGTATGGCCTCAATATGCTCGGTGTGTTGCCCATGTCCTACGCCTCTAGCATACCGAACCTGACTCCAGATAGTGTCCGCGGACGACCAAGTGAAAGCCTACATAAAAAAGATCATGGCGCAATTGAACAAGTGGATGGTTGGCGGGAAGATCTCTAAGCTGGTGGTCGTCATCACGAGCAAGGAGACCGGAGAGAATGTGGAACGGTGGCAGTTCGACGTATGTTAATTTCCAACATATGGGATGTGCGGGTCTGATGAAACATTCTACAGGTCGATATATTCAGCAAGTCGTCCAAGAGCAAAAGTTCGCGCAAGTCAGCCGACAAGGAGAATGCCTCACCCGGGTAGGTTACCTGAACTGATCATGGAAATCTCCGGACTAATCTCGCAATCACCAGAGACGCTGACCCCGAAGCCTCCGACGCCCCGGTCGAAAAGACCGAGAAGGAAATCCAGGAAGAAATCCAAGCCATCTTCCGCCAGATCACAGCGTCGGTCACTTTCCTCCCCGTTCTGGATGGAGACTGCACCTTCAACGTGCTGGTATACGCAGACGCAGACTCCGAAGTGCCCGTGGAATGGGGAGACAGCGACGCTAAAGAGATCAAGAACGCCGAGAAGGTTCAGCTTCGCAGCTTCAGCACGAACAACCACCGCGTGGGCACTCTGGTCAGTTACCGGCTGGCCGATTGAGGGCTGATCCAGAGAACCGAAGGGGATGGCGAGCTCATCATTACAAATTGGCGTTTTTTGGCAGCGGGAAAGGATGGATATTTGTTACTGTGTATTGTAGCAACAGCTCAGCATATCGACGCGCACAGCATCTGTGTATGCCTATCTGTGTATAATGAAAACGATTACGACTCTAAACCAAACCAAGGTAATTCCTCCATCTTAGGAAACCACTCCTGTTTATCCCAGCAGATCAACTCCTGCACAACATCCTCCAGTCCATCAAAAGACACCTGTTCCATACCAGGACACCAACCGCGCTTCCTCCTCTTCACAGACAATTCCGGCCCAACGCCATATGGATCAGATCTCCATAGCCCAATCCCTCTCTTCAATTCTCCCCGGACAAGAGATTCCACTGGCGTCACTTCCTCGGGCGGATTGATGCCAATCACCGTAACGCGAGCATTATCTCGTTCTGTCGTAAATATCTCTGCTGTAGATGTTGATGTTATAGGCAATAATCCCAGGGCAGGAAAATGGCATTCCATGAATCGAGCCCTCTTGAAATCGTGCGTCACAACAGTAACTCTGCGAGGGTAGACGCCTGTGTACAGTCGAAATTGAAGCAGTGAGAAAAGGACATTCTGATAGGAATCCGTGGCGTGGGGTTCCACGATGATTCTCGATGCTGGTATTTCATACTGATCTTGGAAAAAGTGGTTGTCTCTCGCCAAATTCTGGGATATTGAGTCAATCGCATACTTTCTCAAGATTTATGCTGGAGAATATCGCACCAGGTATGATTGTCCTTCGCTAAGTTCAGTGCGTGATCTTTTCGTTGGTCCTCTAGGGCACAACTTAGGTGAAATACCGAAACTGGGGATCCGATTCTTACCCCGAAAACACGAGCAATGCATACGGGTCCATGGATAGGGCTCTCAGTCCTGTTTTGGCGTGGTTCATAAATGTTGGGGTTTCTCCCCGTTGAAACGGCTCGAGTAGCCTATGTTGACAGATACCGTTACTCGTACGTTCCAGGGAAGTTGATTCTAACTTGTTGGGGTTTCCAGAAGAACATGCTCACCATTCATCTTCAGAAAATCCATCATGAGATCCTCCGATGTAAATTGCGTGGCAGCAGACAATAATGAGGTGATTGCATGTGCTAACCTTGGGGTCGCTATTTGACCGCATTTGCCAGTACTTGTTCTGGACGATCAGTTCACGTGCAGTGCAGGTAAAGCAAGAGGTCAAGTTAAGGACACGAGCAGATGCTGGTGTCGTTTATTACTTAAGCCGGCTAACCGCCAGCTCATCTACTCTAGAAGTATCCACTCAAGAAATTCGAATACAAACCACTTCAAGTTCTGCAAATTGAGATATGACTCGGTAATGTACATATGTCTCCGTCCACTAGAGACAAAAGATGAAGAAGAAAGAATGCGCCATGTCTTCTAGCACAGTGGAACGCTTGATGAGAAATGCAACCATGAAAAACATGATAAACTGGAAAAGGAACAGTAAACAGACTGGAAAAAAGAAACAAGCAGAGATTGAAAAACGCCGATGCCCCTCGAGGAGCATGCATCCATCTGGAACCGATGCTTGATGTTTGCTCGACTTTCCTTTTTTTTTCCATGGCCATGCAGCGTTCTCACCGACACAAATCAACGCCATACCTTATTTCGCTGGGAAGGAAAATCCTCAAGTCATTAACCGATGCAAAGGGGAAATAAAAGCACAATCATGACCGAGTGCAAACAGGATGATAGGAAAGGGGGGCAAAGAAATGAAATGCAAACAGTGAATAAAGGGGGGATGGGGGTAGGTAGGTATCGTATCAATTGTCATGGCGGAAGGTGCAGTTAGCCCCTTTTCTGCACATGCCATCTTTCCAGAACCTGCAGGCCACTGATCCAGCTTTGGGATGCGACATGGGTCCGCTTTTGCTGCGCTTCTGCCGACTCCATTGCTCCGCGGTTTCGTCATCGTACGTGTTGCTTCCGCGCATGCGTTTGCGCTCAGGATCCTCGTATCCGTGGCTCTGAGACTGCTGCTGAAAAGCTTGCTGGTTTTGGCCAAGAATTTGGGATAATGTCGCGCCAAATCCCGCTAGCGTTTCAGCCTGTTGTGGCTGCTGGGCGTGCGAGGGCATGAAGCCTTGCATCAAACCCAAGAACTGTTGCATATCGAAGCCTTGTCCTTGTGGCTGGAAGGTGGGAAGCTGTGGAGCCTGCAGCGGCTGAGGCTGTTGGCTGAGCATCTGGACTGTCTTTTCGAGATCAAACGGTGGAGCCTGCTGCTGCTGCGCAAGCTGTTGCGCTGCAGGGGCAGGTTGCCCGAGCCTCTTCAGAAGATCAGCGATGTCCGATCCTGGAGCTGCGGTATTGGACTGCGGAGCAGGTTTAGGTTGAACATGGGTGTAGCGTTCCTGGCGAGCCTGTCGCAACAGTTAGCATTTCAATAATTATTTCAATCCAGCCAAAACGTACCTTGATCATGTCAGGCAGTTCCCCGAAAGGAACCTCGGCAGGAGCAAGTTCCTCGGACTCAACGGCAGGTGGCTCCTTCGGGGAAGGAGGGATCTCGGCAGGGTTGGTGTAAAAGACCATGAGCGTAGTAGACTCGCGATGCTCTTGGGCTTCCTTCTCCGGGCTCGTGGGCTGATTGTTGCCGTGACGTTTAAAGAAGTTGCACCCCTTGAGATCCTCACTTTCAATGACGATTTCTGTTACGGTCAGTAGACTTCTTGGTGCTTGGAGGAGTAATAGGGACACACCAGAGAGACCGTGGTACTCGTGGAAAATAGTCTCTTTCAACCCAGGGTCTTCTTCCTCAAGCTCATCCATATTCTTGTGCAACTTGAGCACGCTACCTTCACCCTTGACGTCACCGGCTCCGCGCATTGAGCCATCACCAGGGCCCAGCTCTTCATCGGGATCATGGGTGAAGAGTCGAACTTCAGTCAGAGAAGCATCTGGTTTCCAAGTCACGCGCAGCTTGCGACGAGCCTCCTTCCGCAATCTCTTTTTACGCTCTTCTTCGGTCTCGGGGGGTTGATCCTCCACAGGCTTTACGGGCTCGGGCTCTTTGGGCTTGTCGAGTCCGGCCATGATATCCCCAAGAGAGGTCGGAGGAGGCCTCGGAGGAGGCGGTGCCGTTGTCTCCTTCTTTAGTGGAGCACTGTTGATCATGTCAGCGAGACGGCTCACAGTCCATTTCAAGACAGATACGTACGCAGGCTTTGCGGCGGCTGCGGCAGCCTTTCTCTCCGCATTCGTCGTCCCTGGTTTCTTCGAAGCAGAGCTCAAGCTACCAAACAGGCTAGATGGATTGGGGGCGATGATGTTGGCCTTAGGACGCGCAGCTACAGTAGTCGACTTGCCTGGCTGGGCACTTGGTCCTGTCCGCTTCGCCGGACCATTGGTGGCAGTAGCAGTCTTAGTGTTTGCAGTTCCAACCATTCGCTTCGCGGGCTGGGCACTGCCCTCGCCCTCGCGAGGTCGTTTGGAGCCAGCTACTTCGGTCTTGAAGCCATTCACCGAGGCAGAGTGCATGTGACTCTTCGTGGGTGAATTCTCTTTAGAAGTAGACTTTCCATTGCTCTGTTTCCGCTTTGTAGAAGCCGCCGCATTGTGCAAGATCTTCTGGGAAAGCTCTTTGGCTTGCCCACCTTTCTTCACCAGTTTCGTCACTACTCGGGTATTATTCGTCTTCTGTAGCAACTCTTCATCCACGGTTACGAAACGCGCAAGGAGCTGGCATAGATGTGTGAGCTAAAAATGGGGCAGATGGCAAGAAAAGGAACGTACCCTCAGAAGGTTCAGGGTAAATGTGCCTTCGAAATCGGCTGCCTGGAAGCGGTCCGCAAGAAACGAGTTGATCTGCGCCATGATCCTTGGGTGTTCCCCCAACCTATACAGATCACAGGCAATTAGCATCTTAAAAGGGGAATCTGGAGGTCAGACAACTACATACTTCTCGACAACCGTAGGGTGACCCATCTCCAGTGCCGTGCTCACAATCTTATCCATCATATTCCTTTGGAAAACGACCTCATGCTTGAGCATTGTGGCCGTGACGTTGTCACCCTTGTTTTCGGCAACATTCATCGATTGAAGTTTCTGTTTCCATGTATCCCGGACCACCTGTGTAAGTTGTTGGAATCCAGCTAATGCACTCTTGACTTTGTCCACGCTCGCTCGCTTGTTTCGTGGGGACCATACTGCTTGAAGCGTGTCATATTCAGCAGCGGCAATGGGCTCGGTCGGTCGGATGGGAGGGATCGGGGATGGCTCGGGAGGGGCTTCAATCTCAAGTTCGGAATCGTCAGAGCTACCGGTATATGACGCTGGAGACGAAGGCTTGGATGTCTTTTTGGCGGCTGCCTTGGTGCCTGTCTTGGTGCCTGTCTTCTTGGCCGGGGCTTGTTCTTTGGCAACAGTCTTCTTGGTCGGGATCACAACCTGTGGATATGGGACTGGGTTTCCTTCTGAAGTTAGCAAACACAAGGTGGAGAAAGTGCGGGCACGTTGAGGGCACACCTGGCTGGACCGACAGTCCCTGAGGGCCCGGTTGATTCACAGCGGGCGACTGTTGTGGCTGAAGCGAAAACTCGTTTTGAAAATAATTAAAGTTGATTCTAGTACGAAAAAGTAAGCCTGTGTCCTGCCCACAGACGTATAGCAATCCATACTTTCCACTGTCTGCCCGTTCAAACTCGGCGGGATTTACGTAGAGGAAGTTGTTGGGGGCATGATACTGCTGGGTCGGGGCTTGAGGTCCAGAGTTCAGGAATTGGGGGTTGATAGTGTTGTGTTGAGGGATGCGCTGTTCGGGGTCCGCGTAGTCGTTGGCGGTCAGGTCAATCGTATTGTTCTAGTGCCAGTCAGCCACGATCGTTTGTCCATGTCAAAAATCTACCTACCAGCAAGCCATGTTGAAACCCCGGGTAGCTCGGTTGAATAGGCCGATACCCCGTTGGCCGTTGAGGTGGTGGTTGCTGCCGAGCAGCTTGCTGCGGAAACGAGTCATGAGCCGAAAGGTGCTGAGGGAGGTAGGTTTGTTGGAACGAGTAGGATGGGAAGGCAGAGGATTCGGAAGGCGTCAGGGGGCGGGAGTCATATGACATCGAGCCCTGTTGGTATTGAGGATCTTGGGAAGCTGGATGGTACTGTGCTGCGTAGCCTCTGGATTCGGGGTTCTGTTGCAGTGGATTCGGCTGCCATGACTGTGGGATGGAAGAGTAGATGTCATGATTTTGGTCTGACAGCTGGCTGACCCGCTGCTGTTGGAAGATCGGGCCATCCCAGCTCATCGCCAATGGCTCTTGCTGGGATTGGGGCAGTTTCTGGGATTGAGGTGGTTGGTCGGCAAAGATAGGGTCCAGACCCGCCGGCCAGTACTCTGAGGGCAGGGAACCCTGTGGAACAGCCGCATTTGGCATGCCTGGTAGGGGGTTCTGTGTAGAGGACTGCTCCATGATGAGCTAGCTGCTGCTTTTTCCCACTGGAGAAAGCAAGTATGGCGGTCACGTGAACAATGATCTGCTGGTGTTCACCGCCCCGCCTGGGTGGAGCAGAAGGGGCACGCTGATTGGTTGGTGGATTCCTCAGAGAACAAAAAGGGTTTGGCGAAGTGAACAGGATTTGGTGTGGAAGGAGCTTGGGATCACCCCTGGCGGATGTAGGGATCTCGGAGTGATCTCACACGCAGTAATACTGGTGCCAGGAACACAACCCCCACCACTGCACCGAAACGGTATCTCAGGGTTTTGGCCCCCAATTTTCTCAGTATGTTGCCTGTCCTGACTTATGACGATGGCCTGGGGCACACAGACACCACCAGAGTATGTATAGGTACTGAGGTCCAAGCCTGATGTTCACTTGGTCCTTGATATTTGAATCTGGTTCTGGGTCACTGGCTGGGCACCAGTGCCTCTGCAGACGGTATTTCCCCCTTTTCAGCGCTTAAAAAGCCTGCCTCAAGATCCTGGCCGGAAACAAACAAGAGCAGGCTCTCATACGACAAGCCACTCTAGAGCCATAGCCCATTCGCTTTACGAAGAAAAAGTGTAGACGGGACAACAGGGTAGGGGGGAATGGGGAAGGGGATGAGGGTGTAGGAGATGATGGGGGGGGGGGGGTGGTGGATGGGGAGGTGAAGAGAGAAAGACGAGGACAAACGCGGGAGAGAGAGAGAAGGTATGATTGGGCGCAGAGCATGTGACAGGTTGGTTTGGGCTGTTTTGGCGGGGCTTAGTCAGCCCTGGCCCACCGCCCACCCGGCAGAGACACCTAGACCGAGAGCTGTCAACATAGCAGACCTATCTCCTGCGCCGGGTTTCTTTGTCTGTCGAGGTCTCAGTTGCTGGCAGTTGATTCTCTATGTTGTGAAGCTCAGCTGAACTCTGCCACGTCATCTGTCTCCCGGTGCCCACTACTGCCATGGCATCGTCGCATCCAATGTCCCTGCGGGACCGACAAGTCGGTAGGTGGATGATGCTCTTAGGTCTGCAAAGGGACCGGCCATTGACAGTGTTGCAGTCTCTATTCAAAAACTCCTCAACTTGAATCATGACCCCCGTCCGGCTGATGATTCGGCGCTGGACTCGTCCGCGCACGGCGGCCTGATCTCTCACTCCACCCCGATCTTGAATGAAGACGGGGATCCAATCTGGAAAGTCCTGGTCTTTGACAACTTGGGCCGCGATGTCATTAGCAGTGTGCTGCGCGTCAACGATCTCCGGGCGTGGGGGATCACTATTCACCTGTACGGCAGCACTCCCCTCTTGTGTGTGTGATCATACTGACTGATCCCCTCCCAGAAACATCAACTCGCAACGATATCCTATACCCGACGTCCCCGTGGTCTACCTGGTTGAGCCGACGCAGGAGAACATCCAGGCGGTCGCACATGACCTGTCGCATGGCCTCTACTCCCCTGCCTACGTCAACTTCTTATCCTCCGTTCCACGGCCACTTCTCGAGGACTTCGCCTCCCAAATAGCTACATCTGGCGCATCCGAACACATTGCGCAGGTCTTCGATCAGTATCTCAACTTCATTGTGGCCGAGCCGGATCTGTTTAGCTTGGGACTGGGCAAAGATGCATACTGGAAGATCAACAGCCCCAAGACCAGCGACGAGGATCTGGACGCCATCGTCGATAAGGTCGTGAGTGGGTTGTTCAGCGTGAGCGTCACAATGGGTATGTTGGAAGGCTCTTTTGCAATGAAGTGCTTGACTAACAAACTAGGTACTATCCCCATCATCCGATGCCCGAAAGGTGGTGCGGCAGAATTGATCGCTACAAAACTGGACCGAAAACTGCGCGATCACATCCTCAACTCCAAAGACAATCTGTTCTCTGGTGGTCAAAAAGCCCTGCCGGGGGTGCCTTCAACTCGGCCAGTACTCATCATTATGGACCGCAACGTCGATCTCGTTCCGATGCTGTCACACTCCTGGACGTATCAGTCGTTGGTGCAGGATGTTCTTGAGATGCGGTTGAACCGAATCACTGTGGACGCAGATGAGGGGGGCAAGAAGTCATATGATGTCAACAGCAACGACTTCTTCTGGCAGCGCAATGCCGGGGCTCCTTTCCCTCAAGTGGCGGAGGACATCGATGCCGAGTTGACACGCTACAAGGAGGACGCCAACGACATCACGAAGAAGACAGGTGCTTCTTCGATCGAGGATCTCCAAAACGATACCAGCGCATCTGCGCAGCACCTCAAGGCCGCTATCACTCTACTGCCCGAACTGCGGGAGCGCAAAGCTGTCCTCGATATGCACATGAATATCGCGACCGCGCTTCTCAAGGGCATCAAGGATCGGCAGCTTGATAACTTCTTTGAGCTGGAGGAAAGCATCACCAAGCAATCCAAGTCACAGCTGTTGGAGCTGATCAATGACCCGGCTAAGGGCAATAACCCGACGGACAAGCTCCGTCTGTTTATCATCTGGTTCCTCAGCACCGAGACTGAGCTGAACCGCACAGAAATGACACAGTTCGAGGAGGCGCTCTCCAAGGCCGGTGTTTCGGACGTTAGCTCTCTTGCCTACGTGCGCCAGGTGCGTGAGATCACACGTATGACGATGATGACCACCTCGGCACCACAACAGCAATCTTCTGATTTGTTCCGCGGGTTCTCTTCGCTCTCGAATCGCCTTACGGACCGCATCACTTCCGGCGCCCTGGGTGCCAATTTTGACTCGCTCATCTCCGGCGTCAAGAACTTCCTGCCCGCCAACAAGGACCTGACTGTGACCAAGATCACCGAATCAATCATGGACCCGGCCGCGGCATCTAGCTCCGCCATCGCCAAGACAGAAAACTACCTCTACTTCGATCCCCGGAGCGCCAACGCGCGCGGCGCCATGCCCCCCGCCTCTGCGTCGCGCAACGCTCAGGCTCCGGGTGCGACGGGTGGGTCCGGTCCCGGTACTGGGGCCAGCTTCGGCCAGCGTCGTCAGGCGTTCAGTGAAGCTATTGTGTTTACGGTTGGTGGTGGAAGCATGGATGAGTACGGTAATCTGCAGGACTGGGTGCGGCGAACCAGCGGCCAAGCAGGGCAGGAGGGTGCATCATCCGCTCAGCGTGCAGGGGGCGCGCCCGGAACGCGGCGACGAGTGGTCTACGGCAGTACGGACTTGCTGAATGCCAGCGAGTTCTTGTCGGAATCCTTGGCCGCGCTCGGCCGGGAGAGCTGAATTGCTAGCGGAAAGTGGCTGTAAAACATACCTATAATGCAAAACCTTGACATGTCTAGAACTTGTGGGAATCTTTGGATTCAACGTAATCCTTGAGGCTAGAGTTGCAAGCATTAGCCTATTTTTTTCTTCTCTCAACGGACCTTGGACTCTGCTGGCTCCACGGTGGTGGCATCGAAGAGTCGTGAAGAGTGCTCGCGACATCATCCGCCTCCCGCGGCGACGGCCTGGAACCGCATGCCCCGAACATAACGAGGAATCACAGCGCGACCAAGAAAAAGGGGCCCGCCGCCTCTCGGTTCCATTCCAACCATCGATGTTGCCTCGCAGGCGACTTCTCCGCTACTCGCCGCGGGGCTGATGTCAGGACAGGATCATCTTTCCGACTCGCCCACGCCACGAGATGAACCCTATAAAAGAGTCCGCCAAAAACGAAAAATGAAAGAGATCAGATTTAGATCAGATTCTGTGGTACGGATACAAGTTCAATCAAACTGGGCCGCCGTCGCCAAAAATTTCAAGACAACAACCATCTCCTAGCCCTCTTCGCCGCTTCAGAGGAAGTTGAAGAACAAACCATCAAAATGGCCACCCACTACCACGATAACACCTACGACACAACTACGTACGGGACCACGGGCTACGGCACGACCTATGACACGGGCTACGGGGCTACTGCGTACGACCCCAGCACCGGCGCCTACGACCAGCACCTCGACTACCGCACCGACGGGTCGCAGCGGCATCATCGCGAGCGTACCGATCCCAGCGGCACCTATCGCCACCGCGACGTCGACCGCCGTGACGACGGCACCACGCGCGTTCATCGTGAATACGACAATCCCAATACTGGAACCAGCTACCATCGCGACTACGAGAGCTAGATCGGATTCAGGGGGGTGTGGGAGGATTTGACGCGTTGGGTTTTGATCCAAGCTTGTGTATAAGATGAGGTATATGATATGGGATATATATATGGCTTATGGGTATTTATGATGAGCTTATGCGTTGTATACGGACGAAAGAAAACACAGAAAACGGATCAGAAAAAAAGCAGAAATAGAGAAAAGAGCAAAAAAAAGGGTTTTGTTTCAAAATGTCATTATGAGTAAAAATCTGATTGGTGCTTTAGTCTTGTTGTTTCAGCGAGCGACATTAGGAACAAATATCACGATCGTTATGCCAACTCTCCACTTCGTGATACATTGAGGTGGTGGGGACAGCTGTGCATTTAAGCTTATTTGGTTCTTGGCTTCGCTTGGCAAGGACATGAAGCGTGTAACGTGGCCATTCATATAAGTGAGTTAATGCTTGTGTGATATTGAAGTTAAAATCTTTATCTGGTTCATTCGTTATTCATCATCTTTCTGTGGTAACGTCTATATATAATCCGAAGATGTATAATCATGATGGGTGGCTTGTGAACCAAAACGGAGTGTGCAGTCAGTGAGATAAAGCACGAATCTCTATATTTCGATCCACTAAATACCACTATGTATAAGATCGCACCGATGGGATTAGTATTGGTCCCATGAACTACTATGCTCCGATCATGCAACTCTTCCTAAACAACACACATCGTGAGTAGTGACTAACGAGGCCTGTTCAACTGACCTAAATGCGGTAACATGGTAGGTTCTACGGCAGAAGATTGATAATATCAATCCAATGAGACAGTATCCCATGATTCTTACATCCATTCGACGTAGACGTGATCAGGCAGCAGTGCTGCCTCAGGCACCAACGAGGCTGACTCCGCATGATGTTGGCGTCTCAACTTGTCCCGCAATCCACCCAGCTCTGTATGCCGGGCGAACCTAGCTCTCTCTCTCTCTAATCCCCCTCGTCATTCTCATGTCCCCGTAATCATGTCACGGAGGACGCTGGGAGGAGGGCGTGTACTGGGTACTCCGAATACTCTCGCAGCAGCAGCAGCAGCAGCTCCTGCCCCGTCGAAGCAACGAGTGCTATCGCCGACCGCCAGCAGCGTCTCCCTCAGTTCGCAAACCTCTGCATCTCAGTTCTCTTCCGAGGCACAGGATCTGACCTCGCGCATCTCTCTGGAAAATGGCGACACCTCCATCTCAGCGGCACCGGCTGCGCCGGGAGCTCAACTCTCCTGTCCGATTTGCAGCGAGGAAATGGTATGCCACTCCCTTCCGTGCCTGCCTGACGGTACTAATCGTTTTCAGGTGACTCTACTTCAGCTTAATAGGTACCTCCCCATCGATCCTTTACCCCCCCCGAGCCCCGTGGCACTGTCATTAACGCTTAACCTAGGCACCTCGACGATATCCACCAGAATCTAGAAGACGATCGGCAAGATGAAGTCAAGGACTGGTTCAAAGTGCAGATGGAGAAGGCGAGACGGTTTCAGCCTCTTGCCGTCCTAAACCAAAAACTCAAAGGCTTGGATGTGTTTGAATCCAACGAGAATCAGCAGTCCGTCGCTGTTTCAAGCCGCCCCCTCGTGCCCCAGCCAACCTCGCCCGAACCACCGACATTACTTGACCCTGCCGACCTTATTACGAAGGAACACTGGCAAGTCGGCGCCATTTACGACGTCTGCCTGGAGCCATCATGTGGGAAACGGCTGAACGGTACCAACGGGTGCGTGAACTGTCGACAGTGCGGGAAGCTCTTTTGCGAGGAGCATACAATGTACCAAATGAAGCTATCGCGGTCGGCACAGTATGAGCCTGTGAGGGGCAGCTGGGCCAGAGTGTGCGAGACCTGCTACAAATCGCGGGAGGGATACAATGATCATAACGGTGGGGGCTCCCCGAATTCTTTTCGTCTCTGGGAAACTAATGGAAATCAGGAGCGACACGAGACCAGACAAATGCGTTCAAGTCTATGCGGAAGCAGATCGTTGACAAGGATTTTCTGGAAGTTTCTCGCCTGGAGAAACGGCTCACACGGCTAACCCAGGGATTGGCCAACCTACCCCCAGAGCAAATTCAGCCTGGGGCAACCAAGCTCTGGTCCATGTCGTGGCAGAACGATCAACGAAAAGCTCTGGAGCAGACGATTGTCAGCTGGCAGGATGATGCGAGCGTCTCACGCTGTCCATTTTGTCAACAGGAGTTCTCAAGCTATTCATTCCGGAGGCATCACTGCAGGACCTGCGGGCGGGTTGTTTGTGGGGATCCCAACACAAAGTGTTCCAGCGTGGTTGGGCTTAGTGTTGCTGCTGGTAAGTTGAGCTTTCCCCGGTAAATCAGTGGCAACTAAGCAACTAACAACATATAACAGTTACGGGAAAACCCTCCACGGAAAAATCCAATCCTAGTCTGGTCGACACAGATGTCCGACTCTGCAAAGATTGCAAGGCAACCTTGTTCGATCGACGAGACTTCGAGGCGGACATCGCGCGGAAGCCCCCAGAGATGAGGGCATACGAGAATTTGGTCCAGTTTGAGAGAGGCATCCGTCTACATCTTCCCAAATTTCAGAAGCTCCTCACTGCTTTGCAGTAAGTTCATCACCTCTTCTCCATAAGTTTTCACTAACAGTGAACCCCCTGCAGAGACCCAAAACGGCCACCTTCGTCTCAACAAATCGCAGATGCTTCCAAGGTCCGTAGGCGGCTCATGGACTCGTTTAACAAATACGATGTGGCCGCACGGCGGATCCGTGACATGCCCACCCAATCACCAACGCAGCAACGGCTGCAGAAGGCCATCTACCAGAAGGCCACCAACTTCCTTCATCTTCATATGTTGCCCTTGAAATCCGTGCCGAAAGTTCTCAAGCACGCATCCACCACTGCAGACCGAATACCCAGCCGCACAGCTTCTCCTAACACTCCGACCAATGGCTCACCAGCCCCGTCCCGGCCCCGAGAGTCAGCTCTCGCCTCAATCAAATACAACAGCGTTGCCACGAATGGTAGCAGCAGCAGCGTCGCCAGCGATACCAGCAGCGCTGTTTCCGCACTGGAAGCAGAAGAGAAGTCTCTTCGAGACCGGCTGATCGTTCTCGAAGAGCAAAAGTTCTTCGTGTCTGAGATGATCGCCGACGCCAACCGGAGGCGCAAGTTCGACGAAGTCAGCAGTCTGGCGGTGAATGTCGAGGACCTCAGCCGGGAGATTGACCGTGTCAATGGGATGCTGGCCAGTCTTGACTTTGAAGGTGTCTACACCGGCAGCAACCTTTAAGTCAGCACTTGATTTATTCCTTGTTTGCTATTCCCACACACCAGCGAGCTCATGGCGTCTCATTCTTTCCTTGATTCGCTTTTTGTTCTCTGTCAATTATTTCACCTCACTTACGATGATATGAGCATAGCATTAGGCGTTGAAGGTTGTTTGGGTATATACTGAATGGCTTTGGCTATTTTTTCCATCCCATCATTTATCTATCATTTATTCAATCAATTTCCACTGTCTAAGTTAAACCCAAAGAGCAAAAACAAGGCGCTAGCTACTCTCTTATCTCATCATCGGGTGAATTAGAAAGGGGCCAAAAAAAGAGTCTCAAGATGTTTTTAGGAATAGCCGAACGCGGGGGTCGAACCCGCAGCCTTGAGATTAAGAGTCTCACGCTCTACCGATTGAGCTAGCCCGGCAGGGCTTGAAGGGCGTCGAGAAATGTGGATTTATCAAAGAAAACTCGAATTTTTCATGGATCCTATGGCCAGTCCATTCTGGGCCTAGCTCGTGCTAATTGGCTCAAAGGAGTGTGTAAACAAATACACACAGGATAATGTCTGGCAGTGGGGCGTTTCCCATCTGGGCTACCGACCACTTTTGTGAGGGCGCTCAGGATCCGGCTCACCAGCTTAGACATGGTGATCATGTTCTGTGCGGATGGCGGCCTCAGCAGAGCCCTTTCCACCAACAGCAATCATCTCGGCATCAGCATCCACATGCGATGTGGGGACCCAGTGAGTGCCCGGAACGAATAGAGGGGAGTTATGAAACAGCTCATCCATATCCTCCAAGTTGAGGGCCTTCGTTTCCGGGAGGAATGCCCAGAAGAAGATGGCGTTAGTGATGTTGGTAATAATGAAGATGAAGTAATATCGCCAGCCAATGGATGATATAGCAATGGGCGTAACCTGCCCTATCATAGTATTGAAGGCGAAGGATGTCATTGCACCAACTGCCACGCCTTTGGAGCGCATAGCAGTGCCAAAGAATTCGACTGGCAGCGCCCACGACAGGGGGCCACTGGTGATGAAGAAAATAAAACTGAAGAACCATGTCATGACGATAAAGGTCCAATGTGCTGCTGTACTCGTTGATGTAGGAGGAAATACTTTGATGAGTGCACAATTGACCGCGAACGTACATGCCATGAGCACATTCCCCCATATTTGCAACGGTCGTCGTCCGATTGAGTCAATGACCATAATGCAAACCGAGGTGCCCAAGAAAGCAATAATAGACTGGACACCAGTTAGAAGCAGTGTGGTGGCTGTTGGAATGCCGATCTGCGCGAATATCTCAGGCGAAAAATATCGGATGGCGCTGACCCCAGTCATTTGAGTGCTGGCCTGTGCAGCCATGACCAAGATTGTGCGTCGAATATTGGGCCAGCCTTTGAAAAGATCGAAATACGTCTTCCGTTTCTGCGTGTGTTCCTGACGGATCTGCGCCTCGATGAGATTATACTCGGCGATTACATATGGATCATGAATGTTTCCATGCGCATGGAGCTGGGCTAGAGTTGCCAGCCCTTTTTCCCATTGGTCGTGGTCACAGAGCCACCGTGGGCTTTCGGGAATCATGTACACAAAGGTAGCGAGTAAGATTGCTGGGACAATCTGAATCCCAAGAGGGACACGCCACTCCGCACTATTCTGCTTCTTGTCCCAGGCGGAATAGCATCCGTAGCTGATCCAAGTCGCAAATATTTGCCCCACCGCATCAAAAAGCTGCTGCAGGCTAGTGAGTCTCCCTCTAATACGCCGGTGACTGATTTCTGCTTGATATATGGGAACAATCATCTGCATATGGTAAACATCGGCTAAGTTCAGAAATGAGGAGGAACGGAAAAGACCAACCGTCAGAAGACCAACACCGATTCCCGCGAGAAGCCTGCCTATGTATAACATCGAGATAACAACGCCTGCTGTCTGAATTATGCCTCCTATCATGAAAATTCCGCAGGCGAGTAGGATCGTGCCGCGACGGCCCAGACGGTCTGCGAACCCTGCTGCGAAAGCGCCAACAAAACATCCTCCAGTGAAGAGAGCAACCACTGTGCCACTGCGGGAGTCGGCACTAGATTGAAGAAACTGGGCCTTAAATGAATTCGATGCAACAGCTTCCGCGATGACGCCCAGATCGTAGCCAAATAGTAACGACCCAAGCGAGGCAAAGCAGCCTATCAGAAATTGGTAGATTCCTGGCTTCATTCTGATGCGAGAGGCAGATAGGGCGTAATAGTTAGCTTGTGCACGATCCCAAGAACAATCCTCGAGATCTAAAGCTTAGGAGAGCCTTTCAAGTAAGGAATCCTCTGCTTTTGAGATGTTCCACCTGCGGAGGCAACTGATAAACAGTCAAGGTTACTCCTCTTTCCCCGGAAACCCACTTTTACAAATCCCCCAGGGAGATACTGGGGATGCGGGGCTGTCATGTCCCAATTTATGGCTCACGCGGCGACTTGCCGATTGATCGCAGTATAACCGATTCCCGCCGCATGCTCGATGGGGCCGTGCCCAGACAATCACTGGTGCAGCCAGCCCCGAAGAGGGCCTGACATCCTTCTCATGGCTGCGACACCTCACCGGATGCTACCTCGTCGCAGCTTTCGGCGCTGCGCCGACACTCTCTAGGGAAGGGCGTGTCGCATCTTATGCCCGGAGCAACTCCGAGGTTCGAGGCGGAGATGGTTGAGCTAGCATGCAACTATTTTCGAAGGACCGGGCATTTGGTCAGGCAATTACCCGCTAAAGTTTTACGCAGAAGGACGTGTGGGGGAAGCAGAGCGACCTCTGCTGGAAAAGGCGTCCAACGACCGATTGCTGTAGTCAGGGAAGCTGGTTTTCCATCGCATTTTGCCCGTAGGTGGCTTCCTCCCAAGCTCCATGCGCTCGATCCTTCCAAGTCTAGCGGATGTCGCGGTTCAATTGTCACTAATCGGATACCGGACCCCGCGCGCCCCTCAACGTCGGAGTTTTCCAAGTCTCTCACGGGGTTAGTCAATTCGGGTAAGGGATCGCAGATAATGAGGTTGGACGACTTGAGTTGAGCCTGAATTGGCCCGTCCTCCCAAGGTGGACGACGCTCGATCCAATCTTATTAAAGGCAGACTCTGTCCCGAATTGCGAGGAGTTCCGTGCTGTATGTTTCTAGGACGATCGTTCATTTGAGTCGGCAAATTACCAAAGTAGTCAGTCAGCTCTCAACATCTCGTGCTGGGCTTCGTTGCATTCAATCCTCCGAACCATGGTCCTCAGTATTCTCGCCGTTACGAGTCTGGCGGCCACCGCAATGGGGCATCAGGTCTCCGTTTCGGTTGATGCCTCCTCTAGTCTTGGTCCTTGGACTCCTATCCACCGTTTCTACGGTTGTGACGAGCCCAACTACGCCTACTACCCTCATGGCTCTGCACTCCTCAAGGAGCTGGGCAACCTTGGCAAGGACCAGACTTTTTTCCGGACTCATAACCTTCTAACGACTGGTGAGCCCGGCCTCGTCGGTGTTCCAGGCCTGAAGTGGGGGAGCACCAACGCTTACACGCTGGATGACGCCGGTAACCCCATTTACAACTTCACCATCATCGACGATATCTTTGACCACTATCTGGCCGCCAACGTCAGGCCATATCTTGAGATTGGATTCTCCCCTAAAGCGCTGGCAGTGCACCCCAACCCTTACTTCTTTGACTTTAACCCTGCCGCTGGTGCTAGCAACATCTACACTGGATGGTCGCATCCTCCCAAGAGCTATGAGCGCTGGGGTGAACTGGTGTACAGGCTGGCCAAGCACCTCGTCGACCGCTATGGCGCGAAGGAGGTCAACCAGTGGTACTTTGAGGTTTGGAACGAGCCAAACATTCCATGTACGTTTATATAGCAAAGCCAGTGGCAAGGCCTCTCCATTTCCCTTCCCTCTCCACAATGGACCCGGCAAGTCGGTCGACTGACACGAGGACAGACTGGAACGGCACGACCCAGGAGTTCTACAAGCTCCACGACTATGCAGTCAACTCGGTCCGCAAGGCTCTGCCCACCGCTCGCATCGGCGGCCCCGAGGTGGCTGGTGGTGCCGATGGATCCTATCTCGGCGACTTCCTTGACCATTGCGCTAACGGCACCAATCATGCAACCGGCAGCAAGGGAACGGCCCTTGATTTCGTCTCGTTCCACGCCAAAGGCTCGCCGCTCTTCATCAATACTACCGGAGACAACGGCTATATCCAGATGAACATGTCGCCCCAGCTGCAGCAGATCGATGAGGCCTTCGGTGTTGTCGCATCCTTCCCTCAATACAAAGACAAGCCCATCTTCATGAGTGAGTACGATCCCGACAGCTGCGCGGCGTGCACTTCGGCCGCCTATGGGTACCGGAATGGCCTTCTGTACGGCGCATACTCCGCCGCGTCCTTCTCCCGTGCCATGGACCTGGCTGCCAACCGTAGCGTCAACCTCCAGGGAGCGCTAACCTGGGCCTTTGAGTATGAGAAGAACGCCATTCTGCCCAACGAGACCGGCTACTTTGACGGCTTTCGAGTATTGAGCACCCAGGGCATCGACAAGCCGGTTCTCAACTTCCACCGCATGTGGAGTATGCTGAGCGGCGACCGCATCAAGGCCGAGAGCTCCGGGCAGGTCCCCCTAGACGTGGTGCTAAAGGAGGGCATCAAGGGCAAGCAGACCGACGTCGGCTCCCTCGCCACGTTTGACAAAGATACGCAGGCACTCTATGTGTTTGTGTGGCACTATCACGACAACGACGTGGACTTCCCCGATGCCGAGGTCTCTGTGGATGTCGAGGGCCTCCCTGCCAACTTTGCAAACCATCAGGGTAAAGTGATAGCAATGCACTACCGCGTGGATGACGACCACAGTAACTCGTATGCCAAGTGGCTCTCCATGGGCTCCCCCCAGGACCCGACCTCAAAGCAGTACAGCGAGCTAGTCCGTGCTGGCAAGCTTATGACGCTCGGTGCTCCCAAGTCCATGCGCGTATCGAAGAAGGGCACGCTATCCGTCGATTTCTCGCTCCCCATCCGAGCCCTGTCACTGCTCGTGTTCGAGAAGAGCTCTGCCTCCTAGTAGAGAAATTTAATGTGAAACGCTTGTTGATATCGACGGATAGATATGTTACGTACATGATACCATTGCTGTATCGGGGTGCTGATAGTTTCTGCTGACCTAGCCTAAATCCTGGTCCAAAAGTTAGGCCGAAGAGTCGCAGATGAAACAACTTAGGTGTCAACCTAGAGGCGCGGTAACATTTAAATCAATCTCTGACTTTAGATCTACGAAATAGTAGCAAGACCATTGCATGCACAGTACAAAATGTCAAAATCAAAAGCAGTTCAGTGCTGTACAAACTTTTATCTATAGATCCACTATGGCTGGCATGCTGACACTCCCTCAGCGCTACAACTGCGCACTAGATTTTCCCTTTGGGAGGGAATTGAAGCTACATCGTAATTAGTAGAGAGAATTTATTATTAGTAGACTAGAATGTTTATAATAAATTGAACTAAAATGGTTCATCAACAACTACACAGCAACCTCACAATACCCATGGGGCACTAAGAATTCAAGAAATATACCCCTCATGAGAGGCAGATAAATGGCACATAAATCAGGGACCCAATATGATTATTCATGTACATATCTATACAGAACCCCCTGTCCAACGCCACTGAAACACCAACGGCAAACGAAGCAGACTAACACCCTAGGAGCTATCCTCCGACACATAAAACGTCTTCTGGATATTGACGCCATGAAAGAACGTGCCTGATTCCTTCGGATACAAATCCTCCTGGCTACTCGTGCGACTATCCTGCGTGGCAATGTGCACAGTCGTGGTGATCTGCGAATCCTCCGGGTCGAGGTCCGGTCTCCAGTACCGTGGGCCCGTGGGGTCTGTCGAGCGGGACGCATTCATGCTGGAGAGGGGCATGCTCCCTCCTGTGTGCTTCGACCGAGTACCCTTGCTACTGGGGTCGCGAAACCAACGGAATAGAGGGCGGAGGGTCACCAGACTGCCTGCTGCGATGCCCAGGCTGGCTTCGACGTTGGACCAGATGGAGATGTTGGCTGTTGCGTCTATTTAGGGGGAGGTAGTTAGTGTCTTGAGGAATGGAAAGATAGGTCGAGACTGGAACTCACATAAGAAGTCGGGGTTTTTGTAATCGTGCAAGTATGGAATGCGGATGATGACGGCTGCGCTAGCACTGTGAAGAAAAGTCAGAAGAGAACTTGCAGAAAGCGAGTCCGAAAACATACACACAGCCCATGCCCAAAATACAAGCCAGCGCCACCTTGGTCTGAGGAACCATCTGCAAGTTCCAGATCAGAAACATAGGCAACACTCCGAGGGCAAAATCACAGCACACGGCTGTCACGCTGTAGACGTAGGCGACAGCAATGACAATGTCGATGTCCATGCACGAGCCGTGGATGTCGGCCGTCGGGTCGATCTTGAGCAGGATGCGTTGCCAGAAGTACGAGACCGGTTGGCACTGGAGGGTCAGGACGAAGAAGAAGACGATCCCAACGACGGCGGTCACCCCGATAACCGTGTACAGGATGACATTATGGGCCCGGCGAACGGTCAAGCGGAGCAGAGCCACGGCGATCGAAGACTTTGCGATGGCGCAGACCCAGACGTAGCTGGTTTGGCCGAGCCACCACCACTAGGACTGACATTAGGTATATTCCGAGAGAAAAGGTGGAAAAGGGAATCAACATACAAACATGGCAGTTTCGGCCGTTCCTTTTAGCAGAAGAGGCTTCGTCCTCTGCCCGATACCATATAATGCCCCCGTGATACCACAGAGCGCGAACAAGATGTTCAGCATCATGGCAAAGACCATCAACGCATCGTCCCACCCGAAGGCCTTGACGATGCGGAGGCGGACAAAGCATCGGAGACAAACAGTAATGAACGAGATGCCGAGAAAAATCGTCGTGACGATGAAGATCGCCGTGCTACGGCCTTCCAAGTCCTTCATTGTGAATGGTGTTTGTTCACTTGCGATTCATGGCACACCAATCTACCTAGTCTCTTGGCACCCTCGGAACTGGTTCAACGAAGGGAGGAGGGATTCAACAGGCGACACCAGGCGTGCGCCGTTGAGCTGAGGTGGAAAGAAGGCAGTAAAAGAAAGAAGGGAAAAAAAAGCGGAAGAAATGAAAACCCGCTAGTAACGGGAAAGCACCACCCTCGCCGCCGTCAGTGGCGAGGGAACGCAACGCGGCTTAGTTGGGTGGGGGGTTTTTAGGCGGCGCTGGCCGAGGGGGTGCCTGAAATCCTGAAGAGAGAAAACTATGCCCAAGTTGGTTCGGCTAGCTCGTCCGTAGTGGGGGGCAGCAGTCACAGTGGATCGAATTCTCGAGTAAAGCCGCAAGTTTGGTGGAGAACCCGGTCGCGGACGGCCTATCCATACAGTACATGGTGAGAGATGGCGATCGACTTCTACTTTATGTTTATCTACGGGGATCGCTACCGTTGTCCATGCGGCAGGGGTGTCCAGGACATGGCAATAATTTTTAGGTTTGACAGAGTGTGGAGAGGCCAATCCAAAACATCCCCGAGGAACAGGAACACGTAATTTGCTCGCCATGTGGGAGGCGGGCACCACCGTTCCATGGGTGAGAAAGGGTTTGCAGAACGGGCTCCTTGGAAAACCCGCGACACCGGTTCAGCTGATTCGGTGGCCAAGGTTCCACATGGTTGGGTTTTGAGACTGGAACCTAGCCAGATTCAGGGCAAGACCGTTTTGCTTTCTCTCCTGCAGGTGATGGACCCCGGTGAAAAGGGGCTCGAGGGTGGAATCAACCCACTAGTCTGCCCTGGGCGCACCATAGAATTTGCCGCGATCTGTTGGAACAGAACGGCGGATCAACAAGCTCTGCACACGGGTGCTTCTAGCCCAGCCCCAACTAGGGATGATCGGCGAGTGCAGTGGGGGGCCGGAAATGACAGTTAGTTCTGAACAAAGCCAGGTCTTGCCGAAAAGACAGGAAATTCCATGGATTCTATCTCGGATCTAATAATGGGTAGACCGTTCCAGCCATGCGATGCTAGCGTGTCATCCCCCCTGTCTCATACGTCTTGGCGATACAGTCACCCCCTCAATGTCCATGCGAAGCGAGTTTCCGGGTACAATTGCCATTCGTGCCGGGGACGCGGGATGCCAGAAACGCGAGGTGATCCAACACGGGCTAGCAATGGGTTCAAGTACTCTTCTGTCGGATGTGTGAATTCTAGCATGCACTAGAACGGGGCGCACCAATCATTCCAATTGGGAAGTCATGATGTCTGGCCTGAAGACTATCTCAAGGACCCATATTTTCAGTGTCGACTGCACACAACTTGGTCGACTTGATCCACTGAAAACTGTCACACCCCAAACGGTGTCAACCTCCACAATTTCCGTTCGATTTCCCACTCCTTTTCATACGTACGCCCGAACGTGCGGTCAAAGATGGCTTCCAAAATTGGCTGGCAGTGAGCGGCTCTCTTGGCCTTGATGAATTCCCAGTACTCGGGCATATAACCGGCGCACTCCCAATCAACAATACCGCTCAACCGGCCATCCTCAACGAGCAGGTTCAATGAAAAAAAGTCGGAATGTGTAAAGTAGGAACGATGATCCTGGCGCATGGTCAGGCCATCGAGAACTTCGTCTGGGGCGCATCCTAGATGGCTCGTGAGATGATTGTTGAAATCGGCTTCGCTGGTGAACGGGCCTGCTTGTCCGTCTGGGAGACGGTGATCAACCACTGGACCTCCAACAGTGTTTCCGAAGAGATATGGTGTGGCGTTGGGGATTTTTCGCAGCTGTGAAACGCACTTTGCCAGGTCGTCGGCAAAACGTTGGCGTTCAGCGTAGGACATGAGATGCGTCACGTCGGTCAGATGCTGTCCCGGTAGACGCGTCATGATTAGATATGTTTTGCCGTTGTATTCCCCAACATCGACAATTCGAGGGGCTGGGATGGTTGTATACTTTTCGACTAGTCTGAGGGCGTTCGGTTCGCTTTGGGGAGCTCGGATGCATTCCTTCATGATTAAACCAAAAGGTAGTCGCTGAACCCATAATGGACCTGTAGGTCCCCGGACTCTGCATCCAACTGGCCAGAGGAGAAGGTAGAACCGCATGCGTATCCACAGTGGTATACAACGCGCTAGCTGGTAGAAAGCTCGTCGGATGAATGGGCTGATGAAATCTGGGAGTCTATTAGCTTCTGCACAACGTAATTTAGAATATTTTGTATACTTCTTTCCGGTTTCGGCCAGCCAAGTGCAATCTTATCCTCGATGTAAAAGAGATGTAATGCGGTTGCGAATCGGCAATGGACCTCGATGAGAAAGCTGCTTGGTAGGCTCAGTGTAGAATCAGGTGTAGACATCTTAAAGAAGTCCGCTGCGCCAACTGCCGTTCCATCCGCGTAGAAGAGATCAGATGGTGCTTCTGGATGAAGTGTCTTCAGGATATACTTTAGAAACACATGTTAGTACTACCATGCGTGTAGGATGTAGTGCCCTCTTACTTGGTCGTTGTACTTCAGGCGACCACACTCGTCCGGTGGGTATCCTAGTTCAGCCATTTTCGCAGCTCTTGTCTGTATCTCTATCTGGCCTTCACGAAACACTTTGTGGATGCTTGGGGACAAGCACCACAGGTTCTGCAGAGCGGTCTGGGAATCGCCCTGGCTTTCAACTAGGGACTGTAGTCGAACGACACTCCGTGGAGATATGAATGCTTCCAGGATTTCAAACAAGGAGCTCTGCAATTACAGAATTATCAGCCTTTGGAGTCGGTCAGATGCTCCGTAGATCTTACCTCGTCTGATGCGAGATTTCGGATCATAGACGGAGGAACCACGTATGCCGACTCAATAGCTCCAACCGAAGCGCCCTTTTTCAAAAACTCCTTGCTCATGCAGCAGGATGGGCCATCTCTACGGCGGACTAAAGTATCCAGATGTGTTGGGATTGGGTCGAATGTTGCCATTGTGAATCATTAGTTTGCTGGTGGACTGGAGTGTTTTAGAATCCTTACACTTCGAGGCAAGCTTTCTCCAATCCTGCTTGAACGAGCGCAGACAGGCCTCCACCCCCGCGTTTACGTCCTGTTGGACATCAAGTACTGGGCGGCTAAGTCTGGATCGACGGCTCTCTTAACAGAATGCTCTAGGAGGAGGTGTTCAGTGGGGGAGAGATTCGTCGAGGAGATAACTTCCAGCGCGGTGCTACAAGGAGCCATGGGTGGATATTGGGTGGTGAATGGAGGATAAAGGCCAATCAACAGATCTTCTGGCGGTAATTTAGGCAAAGAAATTGAGTCGAAAAAAAGCGGCCAGGAATCAAATAATCCCCTTAGGGCCGTGAAATGGTTATCGTCATCTCCACAGGGGCGCGTAGGGAGTCGCGCTCAACCCAAGTGGTCTTTATTTGACCAATAAATACCTATAGCCCCGTGACGGAGCAGTCAAGATGGAAAATAGCGCGGACGAGAGAAAGAAATGAAATTCAAAAGGAGTTCAAGTTGGACTTTGTTAGCGCCGAGCCCCGTGACACGGCCATGCTGTCTACGGCTACGCTTGACTGATAAGACTCCAAACCCCTGCATTCGCTCTACGCAACACACTCGCAGATGAGACCAGATGAAATATGTACAGATCACCACCGTTCACATGCACTGTTCTACTTCCACTGGGCGTCCTTGCGCGCCTGGAAGGTCTTGAGGATCGCCACCACCTTCTCCAGGGCCTCGACTTCGCGGTTCATGGCCGTTGCGATTTGAGCTTGGTCGTCGCCCATCTTGGCATAGAAGTCTTTCCGGTAGGGCGTGGCCGACATGGCAGCGCTGAAGATGGGCTTGATCACGAACGAGTGGTGGGGCTTGAGGGTGCCGCCGTAGGCCTCGCGGAAGGAGTTGGACAGCTCCACCGCGGAGTTGTCCAGGTTATGACGAAGGGCTTGGGCCGTGAAGTCGAGGCCGCTATGTAATCCAGTCAGTGAGGAGTTCGGGGTGTTTGCAATGGAAACATAACATACCGGACCAGCCACAGCAGACCTTCGGTGGCAGTGTGCTTGCCCGCCTTCAATTCATTCAGAACAAGGGCCTGCAGAGTCTCTGACTCGGCGGGGGCCGCCAGTTGCCTCTCACGGACTTTCTGTAGTTTGGGGTTAGAGGTCAATGCGGGGGTTGGAGGGGCAGGGGCAGCTGACCTTGATGTTGCCTAGCAGGTCATTCTTGACGGGCAGGAAGGCCTTGGAGCCGAGCAGATCTAGAATGGACTGGTTAGAGGAGGCAATTGATCCATTGATCCCGTCGTCTTCGGTGGGGACTCACCAAAGAGCGTGGTGAGGGACTCGGCGGCATCGAGGAACTCGGTGGTGGAGATGCCATCGTTGGTGGCATCAATGGGGACGTCCGCAAAGGACTTCTTGATGGTGTCGAACCAGGTTCCACCGGGAGGAATGGCAACAGACATGGCGGGAAATAATATAGATGGTAATGAAGCGAGGGATGAAAAGGAAGACAAACAACCTGAGTGACTCGGGCCACGCACGCCGGACAAACAGAACAAACAGAACAAACAAGCAAACCGTGCCAGCACCGCCTCTTCTTCAATGACGTCATGTGGCTGTGCTGCCTCACGATCCGATTGCGGGGATCGAATGAAGCTTGCTTTCGTTACCTACCCTGAGACCCTGGGAATATCTACGGTCCGTCGATGCATTGCTCATAGCTACCTCCAGTCCTCCGGTGTGCTAGCTGATCAGTGCCATGAGCACTCCACCAGCCTCCACTGATCAATCCAATGCGGATCCTCGCACGCCATACCACGAGCACTACCATGGCCTGCCAGAAGGGTCCTATACGGACGAGAAGCTGGTGTGTTGTACAATCTGCCTCGGATACAAGTACTGACTTCCCCAGCGCCATGCCTCTGCCCACCACCTGCACATGACCAGCCGCCGCTACTTCATCGGCCCAATTCCAGAGGGCTGGCTGCACGGCAACCGCAAGTCCTGGTATCGAAGACGGCTCCGCTTCAGGAATTACACCTCGCAATCTCTCTCCTTCTCCGTGGACCCGGTCGCATCCTATTACCGCCAGCAACCCAGCCAGGGCAGTGAGACAGAGCAAGAGTCCGTCCCACCAGCGGAGGAGGAGGTCGCTCTGACACTCACAGATACAAGCGAAGGGGCACCGGAACAGGCCGAAGATGCAGAGCAGGAGTCAGAGGAGGAGCCATCGGGCGAGATGCGGATCCTCTCTCATCCAACCACAGAGGCAGAAAATATTGACCCTCCGCCGGAACCGGAGGACGAAGATTCAGACAGCACGCCGAAGGCTAGCACAAGGGGGCGGAGTGAGGTATACGCCAATACTGGTGCTTCTTCATCATATGTCACAGCCAGGGAAGATACGACCAGTCTTCCGAGTACGGCAGACACGGACCAGACATCATCGACCGTGCATATCAAAGGATTAGCCCCCGGACAACCGGTCGAGTCGTCAGAGGATTTGGATACAGCCGGACCCAGTGAGACCGACGGACTAAGCCGCAAGCGCTCTCCAACTACATCTCCAAGCGAGGCCGATTCAACGACACGTCTCCTGAAATCAAAGTCAAAGGGCAAAAGCAAGGTCAAGAGCAAAGCGTCTCGCATAACCCTGGAGCAACAAGAGCCCCAGCAGGAAGGGGATGAAGAGGATACCCACGGAAACATTAATATCCATCGCAGCAGATTCACCAAAAAGGTGACGCGATTCAATCTCGATGATAATATCATCGACAAGCAGCAACGATTACGTTCTCGCATCGCGAGGACCCAAAACGCGGTGTCTGCTACCATGCCTCGTCGGCGAAAAGTTCAGGATGGACAGATCATCAAAGCCGAAAAGATGCTCGTTCGCATCGAGGAGACTTTGCAAGGAGAGCTGCCTGCCGACTACAACGAGAACGATAGTCTCCGGATGGAGACTCGGGCTGTGGACAAATGGCGCGAATTTCTGGTTGTGTGTCGTAAAAGCTCGTTGGAGCACACTCCGTTTGTCTTGCAGATGTATCGCACCCGCGTGATTCCCGACATTCACCACGCGAATAGCAAGACAGCGGCTTACTACGAGCTGCGCCTCAACCACAAGCAGACCAAGGCCAATCTCTACTCAACTCTTGACAAGACGATTGTCGTGTGGCATCCCCGACGGCAGGGCACGAAAATCTACATTATTCGCCCCAAATCAACTGCTCATGCTGCCGAGTGGTACACGTTCATTCGCCAGGTGCTCGGCTGGCGGCGACCGAAATCGCTTCCCATTAATGTTCCTGAGCTTGGGGTATCACTGATTTTCAACCATCCGTTTGAGCAGCTTGAGACAACCGATGATAGCGGCCACCACAGTGCCATTCTTCAACGGTCAGACTCCGATGATAAATTCGCTGCTGCCACTATCATCCGGTGCTGCATGCAGTTGCTCGAGGGTCAGCCCGAGTGGACAGAGGTGCTGAAGACCTGGTCCAAGACTGAGAAGATGGGGCTTGCCTGGAAACGTTACGACCGGCTCGAATGGATTTTTGGGGCGAACGAGCAAAAGATGTATGGGACAATTGCGATGGAGTCCTCGCATGAGCTTGAGCTTCGGCCACGACACCATTATCCGACAGTCGTAAAGCACTGGGGACGAAGGGACGAAGAGCCACTGCCGATCGAAGGGTTCTTGGTCAGGCTCACGTCCCAGAAAGGCGTGCATCAGCGGACGTCCAAGATGTTCTTCAAACGGCTCTACTTTTTCACACAAGACCATTACTTTTTGTTTTGCCGACCGGCTAAAGCGCAGCCACCCGCGCCGCCAAAACTGGTTGAGGAAGACGCGGGCGTTCCGTCTGCCCGACAGATCCTGGATGAAATGCCGCAGTCATGGGATATTGATCCGTACCCCCTTGAGGGCGGAAGTATTGCATGGCTATCTAGTGGAAACCCCGAGTTTGTCCAGCGGCACGACGAAGAGGCCTATGCTCAAATGCAGCGGAATGTACACAATGTCAGCCACGCAGACGGATACATTGACCTGTGTCGGGTCCAAGAAGTGCGCAATATCCTTCGTGGAGCCAGTCCTGCAGATCCCAACATTGACGCAGGCCCTGCCGTGGAGTTTGATCGCGAGGCAGCAGATTCGCGACAGGATGATGGGGCAACGAGAGAGTTTGATGATGATAGGACATTCGAAATGGCGTTGGATAATGGCTTGGTGGTTCGATTACAGGCCCACGACACTGCGTCTCGAGACCAGTGGGTTCAGCGACTCGGTGCACTGGTATCGTACTGGAGGTCGCGCAGCGCCCATGACGCAGCAGAGCTCAAAGAGGTGCGAGCGCGCAATCTCAAGCTTCTAGATATCGATGAGGAGATGGAGTCGATTGTCGGGCAGTTTGCAAAGAAGTGGGAAGTAAAGAAGGCAGAAGCGTCACCGCACACGCATAACATGTGTGCGCTGTCTGGTTGTCGGACGATCAAGGTGAGCTTTCCCACGTTTCCAATCTGTCAAATATGCTAACCCCCGAGTAGATGTCCGGACAACTATACCGCAAGCCCCGTCGACACGCCACCTTTAGTCGCTGCCATGTCATGCTAACGGAGGGTCACCTGCTCATCTTCCGAAGCACGCTGCGCCGCAGCAACGGCGTCGAGATCCCGCACATCCACCAGGAACTCGAGACCAGCATCGACCTGCGCGACTGCTACATCTACTCCGGCCTCCTTGCGGAAGATGACTTGTTATACGCGAACCAAACCTTCGACAGTAATAACCCCGGTCTTCACGCTCTACCACGGGTCTATCTATCTACAGATCGCTTCACCAGCCGCGACGAGGACACATCCATCACCTTCGTAGTGTGGAAACCACTGAAGAGGAACTACTTCCGCGCACAGGAGAAACTACGGGGCGGCGAGACGAAGAGCGAGCTCCGACATGTCTCGACGTTGGGCAAGCACGGCCGCACGATCGTGTTCAAGGCGCGAAGTCGCGTTGAGAAGGATCGATGGGTGCTGAGCATTGCTTCGGAGATTGACCGTCTCCAGGAAGAGAAACAGGAAGATATACGCATTGTTTCTCTGTAGCTTTTTCTAGGGAATAGCATTACCATCCGGCGTTTGCTCTTGGAGTTTTTTTTTTTTTTTTTTTTTTTTTCTGTAGATGCGTTCAAAGTCATCAGATAATAATACATGGTGATATCTATGCATCAAGTCTATATATATATATGTACAACCTGAAGAAATAATCATCCCAGTGGTGGCCTCTCAATCTTCACAGCCTCCTTTCCAACTCTCTCTCTAACCTCCCTCCGATAATTCTTCCCAAAAGCATCATCCGGCTCCGCACCATCAACCCTCCCATCCTCCCACCCTTCCCAATCCAACCACCGCCGCCTATGTGAAGGTCCCAGGACGGCCATCACGCGGCCTGTGATGAGACTGACGCTCACAGGGCCGTAGGTATTGCTGTCCAATGACTTGCGCGGATCGGCGGCGTCGCCTTCTAGCCAGACGTGGTTGAAGGGAACGATTTGGGAGCGTTTCGGACATGGTTCCCGTGTTGTGATCCTGTCCCCGGGGAGGCCGATTATGCGTTTGATGGCGATGTGGTGCTGGTTTGCGGGAGATCTAGCAACCGATGGTCCCATTAGTATCAGCACACCTTAGGGTTACCCCATGGCAAACGAGAAGGGGGCCCTACCGGAACGTAACCACCATCCCCCTCTCAAGCCTCCTCGAAGTCTGCCCAGGCCAGATCTTCTCCCACGGCCACATATTCACAAGCACCATATCGCTCGCGGTATTCATCTCCTCGTAATTCTCATTCAGATACGGCGTCATCGACGGCCCACGCACCCACATAACCTGACAGACGTGTTCAGAGAACCAGAGCGAGATGGGGAGGAGTGGCGCCAGCACGCGGGCTACGCGCATCGATCGGCGGATGGGATGTGGGAGGGCTGCGTAGCGGGCGCGGAGGTTTGCGGTGAATTCCGAAGTGAATTTGGAGAGCCATGTTCGGCGGGAGAGGGTTGGGCCTACGGGCTCGGAGGCATGGTAGGGGGATGTAGTTGGGGGTGGTTCGGGGATGGTGCTGGCGGTGCTGGGTTTTTGATTCCGGGAGAGAGCTTTCGCAATGTCTGGGCGGAGGACTTTGTGGCCAGTCGGTGTGTTTGGTGGTGGTTTGCTCATCTTGGTAGATAGTGCCTGGGGTCAGGCCGAGATTGGAGGTTATGGTGTTTGGATTAGTGCTGGCATTGTGGTTGTATGTCTTGAGGCGTGAAGTTGAAGTTCCAAAGCGACTCGGTCATCAACCCCGAGCTCAGGGTTTGCACTGTTTGCATTGCGTCTATCGATCTAGAAACCACCCAACAACTGCACAACAAGCATAGCATTCATTATTTGTGAAGAAAACAAAATGTATTCGTAGCTACGTGATATGCATTAACCTCACCAGTCCTTTCCCAGGCGATTCTCCGTCTCACTTCCGTCGAGGATCCCGCTAGACTGAACGCTCTGTACATCGCCCGCAGAAGGCGCCTTGTCGATCTCCACCGGCTCGTCGTCCAGCATCTCCGCCGGCTCGCCCTCCGACCGGTGGACCTCCTCCCAGTCATCGTCAAGCTTGGTGGCATCTGCATCAGTCTTCTGCTTCTTAGCATCTGGCTGGCCGAAAGAAGCGGGGTCCGCGGTCGGCGCGTCTGGGAGCCGGGCGGCGAGATCCGAGGGTGAGGGCGAAGGTGCGGACTCACTGGGTTCAGAGGGGGGAGATCTTTGGTGGTTGGGGGGAAGATTTCACTGGAAGAATTAGCAGGGGAGACAAGGCAAGAAGAAGGCATGGTTGGTGAGGCTTACGGGATCACTTCCTCGTAGGCATCCTCATCCTTGCGCTCGAAGTTGCAGAACACCACGCGTTCCAGCTTGCCCATGTTGCCTGGCTTCTCAAGGAATCGGCGCACCTCCTCGGCAGCTGCGAGCGCCGCCTTGTCGCTCGGATATCCATAAACGCCCGTGCTGATGGCTGCAAAGGCAATACTCTTCATATCGTTCTCGACCGCCACCTCGAGACTGCGACGGTAGCAACTGCGTAGCAGAGACTCGGGACGCGAGGCATCGACCTTTTTCTCGCGATGGTAGATAGGCCCGACGGTGTGGATAACGCGTTTGCAGGGAAGATCGTAGGCATCCGTGATCTTGGCATCGCCGGTATCGCATCCTTTCAGGGTGGCACATTCCTTGACCAGATTTGGCCCAGCAGCACGGTGGATGGCACCATCAACACCGCCTCCGCCGAGCAGAGAGGTGTTGGCGGCATTGACGATGCAGTCAACCTGGAGCTTGGTGATGTCGTTGCGGATCAGCGAGACGATGTTGTTGAGGGTCTGCTGTGGTGTAAAGGATGTAGTGGTCGGGACCAGTCTCTTTGTCCGATAGAGCAAAGAGGCGGTCGGGATTTCAGAGAGAGCGATGGCCATGGTGGTCCTTTTTTCGGTGTTGGGGGAGATGCGGAAGGGAAGGGTCTCCGCACACGTGACGGATATACATTGCGTCATTCACAAGAATGAACACCAACTAGAGCAAACACTACAAAACCAAAGTCATGTTTGGGGATCATAATCCGTATAGTATTGGCTAGACTAGTGGAATGTTGACTAGGTGAATGGAGTCACATTGCAACTTGGAAATCTACAGATCGCAAATATATATTCTGGGCACATATAACCAATCAAATTATGACCAATGGTGTAGCACACCAGTCAGACCCTGACAAATACAAACCTGCCGGGCGTACGCTAGGGTGAACCGACAGCTGTCTGTCATATTGGCTGCATCTGGCAAGCTGCATGCTCAATGTTTCCCGCATTCTCCGGGGCTAAATCCCGCACCAACTCCACGCCCCCTAACTTGCCACCGTTGGCTCTGCCTTGGCCGTACATGTCCATACATACATGGTATAGTGTTGCATTCGATGCTCTTTAATTACTCCTACCACTATTTACTCTTCGGGGCCTACATCTTTGGTCCATGATTATTAATATTAGGTTCCAGGGAGTTAGAAATCGGGGATCCGATGGAGTCCAATTATGGGGCCCCTAGTGGACCCCCTGACAGCCTGACAGCCAGTCTGACAGCCGTTATGGTTGCTTTGATTGAAGATTGCCGATCCTTCGGCTGTTCTGCTGCCGCCGATCGCACTATGGATCGGTCGCATTTTCGCTAGCTCGTCCCAGTCTCCTTCCCCTTGGAGCATCCTCCTGGGCCTTGATTGGCCCGTCAACAAATAAATGGGGTGGGAAATCATTATTCGCTGCTGTCCGAACCGGTTCCCAGTTGACACAATAAACCCGTTTGTTGTGAGTGGCCCCCCCCCTACTGATGCTCCACCACCCCTGGATCGCACAGTGGATAGGTATCATGGCCCAAGTCTTGTTTATGCCATTTTTAGAGACTGAATGGATCTCTCCACTCTAGAAAATTTGCAGAGGCTAGACCGCTGGGTGCATGGCAGCTGTCATGTCCGGAAGACCAGGACGCAAAAGTACCATGTAGAACAACGGGTTCTAGACTCGAGCACGAGCAGCTGTCAAACACCCAAACGGGCCATGCCTGCAGCTGCAGCGTGCAGAAGACCAAAGCATATCCCGACATCTGGGCCGAATGCGAATTCCAAGCCCTAGACGGTTCGCTTCGACTTTTCATAAGCCTGCGTCCCTTTTTTACTTTTCATGCAGCAAGAACAGCGACCGTTTGACTATCTACTGGCCTAGCCTGGCGAGAGCATTTTCTAGCAAACCGACAATTCCACCTCTACTAGTTTCCTCGTATAAACCACCAAGCGATTGAAATACTCGGCCAAAAGGTTAAAGGGTAAAGAACAAGCTGAAACCGGATTCGACGCCATCGCCTCTGCTTGGAAAGAGCCGGACGGGCAAGACTCGCGCGAGGCCGGGCCTCTCTAGTCCCAATTACAGCGGATAGCAGTTCCGATGCATTAGTTAGACCGGCCATTCCCCCAGCTGGAGCGCGGTGCATGCCATCCATGCTAGCGAAGGTGCCAGATCGGAGAGATTGTCTCTTTCTCCGCACAGCCTCGATCGATCGGGCTGGCTGGGCTTGGGGCGTCTGGGGTCTGGTGAGACTCATCATACGATGCGAGATACACCAATTCGAAGTCCGAGGGCCGCCAGAGGAGAACAACAAGAAGGCCTAGAGCATACTACTTACTCTTGTACTGCGTATTGCTTCTCTTCCGCTCTCGCTGGATCCTGAACCGCGCTCTCCCGCCACCGTTTGTTTTCCCATCCCTGAGACACAGGGGCCAGCCCGAGCGCCCGGGCACTTTCCATTTCACGCAGGAGGGGCGCTCTGGTCGGCTCTCTCTTTGTTTTGTGCCCTGGGCACAAGCCAACTTCCGGCTCGTGCGGGAAACGGCCCCGCTTCTTGATTGTCTGCCTCTGCTTCCACTTTGAGTGTTTGCTATTCCCGGAATCTTGAGGTCTAGCCGAAGTGACAGGTCACAGGAGTATCACCAAAGTCAATTCAAATGTGATGTTCAAGGGACACGGGGATATCCATTGATTGTCTGCTTCGTTTGTTTGCTTTTTGGCTGCTATGGAGCCGAACCACAAGCATATGCCCCGAAAGAAAGAAACAGAAAAAGACGCCAGAGAAAAAGCATAGACCAGGTCGGTACCGAGAATGGTCACCTGTAGTTTCTCCACGAACCACTGACTATATGCCCATGCTCGGATGTAGCTAGTTTGTCCCGCATACGGTGTTAGTCACGTTGATATGCCTGGAAACTTGGAAGTTAGTGGGACGGGTGTAGCTTCGTCGAACGAGAAGCCGACAAAAAACTCCACATGGTGTATCCACCCCACCAGCGGATCATAACTGGAGTCACTTCTTATTTCTCGCGTGGTCCCCTTCTGGGGCGCAATCTCCGAGGAGTTGTTCGTCCAGAAGATGGGCGACACGAGTTACTGCGTTGAGTAGTAGATAGACAGAGAGGGGAATTGTTTGTCTGATGGGATATTCGTATTAGGTACGCTTCAGCACGGATCAGTTGCTGTGTCCCCCTCGCA